CTACACGGTTGTTAAGATATACATCTGCAGAGGTGCGCAAAGTTGGTGGGGTGCGCCGCTCGCTTGTACGCGCCGCTCGCTTGTAAAACACGTTAACTGCTAGGAGATTCCATTGGTCTCTTACACTTGCGGGTTTGTTTTGGTTACTAATTATCTTCTTATGCTATTACTACAGGACGCTGATCTTCAATTGCAGGACGTGATGGATTGATATACGTGATAGAGATGTACTAGTACAAACTACGCATACAAGAAAGAAAACTATTCTTGGATGATAATCTTTTTCATACTTGTCTAGAATAAAGATGAAGAAGACGATGATGCAAGACAGGATCGCACTGGATACGCTAAGACGGGGAAAGGGTAAGGTTTGTAAGAGCTGCAAGAGTACCTAGTGTTCTGTGCTAGGCGCTTATGGTGGGGTTTATGCAAGCTGCAGGTAACAGCTTGGCGGTGATGGAGGTCGTTTATGCCATCAAGGATCAAGGCTCTGTCCAATATTTGTATCGCGTTCTGTCGTAGGTTGCAATAGTACGCGAAGATTTCCATGCAAATAATAGTTGCCCAACGATCCTGTGCGACGCCTATCGTATAAAACATAATCAGAAGTTACAAAATCCAACAGGACAAAATATCTCGTGTGTTTATTCCTTACAGTCTGTTTCCACTCTTATGAGACAGAGGTAGACCACTTCCTCAGGGTCAGATGTTATATTGTTGGGTCACAATATCGAGGTTGAGTTGTGAAGTTTAGCAATGACCACAAGAGATCTCGAGGAGTCATTTCTAGGGTTGTGCTACTAACGTCTCGGAAACCTCCACTCACCCAATATGTACTTATCTTCGAAGTCGACGGTATGCGCCTCTGTCCTCAAGTTAATGTTGACCCTATGATCGAGCAGAAAATTGACTCGTTGCAAGCCGACTCCAGTCCATTGGTCGCTATGTAGAGCTTGACGCAGTGGAGCCCGTTCAAGTGCATTGTATTGATCTTCATCCTCTCCGTGCTTTAGAAGAAGCCTTGCAGCATCAAAATTTCTCCCATCCAAACTTTTGTGAAGGGGTATATTGAGACTTGCCCAGCGAGGCGCATTTGGAGGCCTATAGGACTCAGCGACGCAGCCACCTGCGACTTAAAGTATTTTCTCAAGTTTTGCTGGGACCATTTGGCATTCGGGTTCAGGCCCTCGTTCAACGCTTTTGTGATGTCTTCGAGACTGCAAGGAGACCGCTCTACCGAGACAGCCCGCCTACTTCTGTGCCAGAGTAGGATTCAGGTAGAGCCGGTGGCGGCGGATACACGTCTTGCATCATGTCGGCTTCAGAGGACACGATCGCTGAGATGTAGTACAACAGGCCTTCTCATACAATTGACAGCTGACGTGGTTCCAAGTCAGCGGGAGGTTGAAAGCTTTCGGCTGCACTTGCCTTTCGAAGCCGACATCGGCTCCACTTCCACTGGCGGGGACTTCGCCGTAGCCAACCAAGTGGGATGTATTCGCGTCTTATCAGCAGAAACAACGACCCTCGACAGACCCCTCTTGCGCATCGGGCGCCTCCTTGTGCACTCCTCTCACGACTGCAATGTCCTACGAAACAGCCATCGCGGCGATCGACGCTGCGCACGCGCAAGACCCGAACAAAATCACCATCGCTGGCAAAGAAGTACCCTACGAGCTGCACTATGCCGAAAAGTGCACGTCCTACCTCGACAAGCGCAGCCCTGATGCTTCAGAGGCTCTGCGTCTTGCAATCCGCGCACAGCACTTCCGCCGCTGGGAAGTTCCGCGGAACACATACCCCATGACTCGGGTGGGCTACCATACTTGGCGCACGTATCTCAAGAAAAGGCAGGCGGACCTAGTCATGACTATACTGGATGAATGCTACGGGACGTCTGCAGTTAACCGCGATGAGCACATGGCGTTCCTGAACAGGGTCGGCAGCTTGATAAAGAAAGAGGGATTGAAAGAGGGCGATGAAGAGGCAGGTGTATTAGAAGATGTAGCTTGCCTCGTTTTTCTAGACGATCAATTCGACAAGTACGCGAAGCTGTGGGACGAAGGCGAGAAAGGAGAAGGCGGGTTAGACGAAGAGAAGGTGCTGGGCATATTGAGGAAGACTTGGGCGAAGATGACGGAGAAGGGTCACGAGTTGGCACTGCAAATTCCGATGGAGGGGCGGCCGAAGGAATTAATTCAGAAAGCTTTGGCTGGTTGAAGATATGCTGGATTGGAATAGATTGGATTATGCTATATCACTGTGCCGGAGCAGAGTGGGTATCGTTCAAATTGTGGCAAAAGGAAAACCGCGGTCCTAGTCGTCATGGTCGTCGTCGTCGCGGTAGTGGGACACACGCCTATGCGCCGCCTTCACGCTTCGCATACTCTTCCTCCATGCGCTCTTCGTACAGCCTCTCGGCTTGCATCTCAGCTTCAGTCTTTTCTGTGTGCGTAGCCGAGGCTACGCTTTGGGTGGACGACTTCTCGACATCTTGAGCGGTCTGCGAAGAAACTGAGGATGTGCTCTTGTCGCTGGACTTGTCGTTTGTGGAAGGGAGAGGGACAGGCATCTTGAATGTGTATGGCGTGGGAGTGTTGAGATATTGTCCGAAGGGAGGTATCAGAAGTTGTGTAGTGTGAAGTGGTAGAGGATGCAGTGTATCGTGGAATTATGTGGAGGATTGTAGCTTTAAGGACCACCACTTCTTACGTCATTGTGGCGGTGCAGACGTGGCTGGAAGCTTCCCTCAGCTGACTCGCCGAGGTACTCTCTTCTCCCCGACCAGAAGGTGGCAAGCATCGCAAACTTCTGCCGACGCTTTTCGATCGCGATCTTCAGTTTTTCGATCCTTTCCATTGAACTGCTCTACTCAAAATTTCGCAATGGATCTCAATTCCTTTTCCATCCCTACTAAGGAGGGAGTCGATTATGCATTCCACTCATGCAACTTTACAGCATTGTAGGGCCGTTGAGGATTGGTAAGACACGGGAGTAATGCGAGAACTGTGTGAGCAGCAACAGAGAAAATTTTTGCAATCGTCTCCCCCCTTACTAAGTAGTGGCTCAACTGGACTGCCGAGGTTCGCTCATGGACTTCTTCGCCGTCAGAGGAAGAAAGGGCACCAGGTGCATTTAGCTATTTATCAGTGCCGCGGCTTGGAGCAGATATAAGGGGATGATCAGGCGGCGGTATATTGGAAAAGGAAGGCAGATTGGTCATGGGTTGGTCACGGACTTTGCAGCGTTTCTGGGATGAAAGCCTTCGGGAGCACACCAGACAGTTGCGAGACAGCCGGACCAGGAGTAAATGCAGAATCATCAGAACACACTGAGAACAATCTGCATACAATAAGTGTGACTCTTGACAACCAGAATGAGCGATATTTTCATCCATTGCGATACTTCGCGCGCTTTTGCATGCCGTGGCGAGACGCCATATGTCTTCATACCAAGTCAAGATAATAGTCTGCCATTATGGAAGTAGGATCAACATACCCTCTCACCCTGATGTCCTCGCCTCGGATCTCTTGTGAAACTTGGTTACTGTAGAGTATTTCCAAAAGTTCAGGTTCGCTTGCAGAAAACGTATCGAGCATCAACTCTACATGGTAGGTAACCACAGGTGCTTTGGCTTTGTCAAATGCCAAAATTACCTAGCTACATTATGTGGGACTGAGTATATCTCCGTCGATAATCAAACTTGGTGATAAGAAGGCTAAAGATATCAAGTTATTTAAGCCCGGAAATCATCGTCGTAGCAGAGATCATCCGCCCGCGTGCTCAATGGACTGAATGGTTTCCTTTCGATCGTGATGACATGCCGTTACCGATGTTGGACTTAGAGCTGATATCTTACGGACGAGTCTTCGCTTAGCGAATCTATTAAGTCTACGTAAATCCTATCGATCTGCCTCGTTGCCAAAATTTATGCAAGAGACAATTAGGGCAGCTCGGGATATTGCGCGAAGATTAGTAATTTCAGTAGTCAATAGCATTGCGTTAATATCCAGGAACTGGCCAGATGACACAGGCGTTCTCCGACATATCTACCTTGACAATACAGAGAAGTTCGCAACTGTCCACACCGAAGCCATTACTGCAATTACAGTCATCCGCGGAAAACTAAAGGTAAATAGTTCGGAGAGAGAGAGAGAGAGCCAAATACACGTGGGACGTGTGTGGAAGCAGTGATGGATGATCTCGAGGTCAGGATCCATCATTTCTAAATCGTCAAAGCAACGGGAAAGGACCCTAAAAGTTGCAGTGAGTTGCATATTGAATGAGGGACTCACCCGGAGGCCAGCCTCCGCCATCTTTGGATCGGATGGTGTTCTATCGTTCTGTACTACGTGCACGCTCTAGAAGACATTTTCAAAGGTCGAAGTCGTCACAACTTAGACTCGCGTAATTTATTGAGTCTTTATAAACTACAGTGGACTTGTGGTATGAGCGACATTCTTCAGGTGCAATGCTGGTAATTCCGTCATACGACCAAGTGTAAACCACGTGCATTGTACTAAATCCAAATGTAGGTATTATATAGCTCCTTATCGGGTAGAATTTTGTACTCGACGCCCCGTAGACAAGATCTACGCGCGGCGCTGCACAATTTCCAAATTGCACTTTCATCAAAAGCCAACTCCCGTCGGCAGTGCAACCCCTCAGAGCCCCTCTCACATACCGCTTATCTATACCTACTACTGTATCCACCTCGCGCTAACGAATGAATCACCACACTTGTGACGCGCTCATCGCCTGAAAAGGCTGCCGCCCCAAGTTCATCCGCTTCGAATCCATCTATCCTTGGCCCGACTGGCCACTCGCCGCTCTCACTGTTCCGGACCCGACCACAGGCGCGTTCGACCACCAGAACGGCTTCAGAGAAGGAAGGCGTTACGCGCTAAAACAGACCGAAGACGTCCACAAACTGCTGCAAATGGTACCGATCACCAAAATCCAAGACTACGTCAGGAGCAACTACGTCGGCCGGTCTTTGTTGGACAAGAAGGGTACCTTGGTGATTCTGACGCATGTAACGGACAACACGTCCGTATATACGAGCTTCTGGATAGGTGGAAATTTTGCCATCCAAGGACTTCTGCAAGGTCCTATTCCCGCAGTGGCGAAGATGGAGGGACTGGGCAGTGCCTTGCATACTTCGCAGGGGAGTTTCGCGCGGTACACGACAAGGTGGTACAGAAGCATGGATTGCAGCCAGATGTGACCAAGGATTGGAACAGCTTCCCCTGAATTGTGTTTATAAACATGCAGGGATGATTTGGGTATGTCTAGCGCGTGCCCGATAGAGGGCGCATTTTGGTGAAGCGGCATGATGGCTATGGAAGTTCAGCATTCGGTGGAAAGTCGAGGTGATCACTCTCACTTTCACTTAAATTTCATATCAGTAAAGGTCCACATTTATATTGAATATCGTTTGTCAGATACGCTCCCCGCGTTTGCTGACCGCCGCGCAAACCTGGCGGATATCAAACTCGCCAGCCCTTCCCATACGATCGCCGACCCATCTTCTCGTCTCTAATATTCAGAGTGACCAATGCCGCATGAACCTTCGAATCAACACAATGGAAAGTGACACCTATACCGACCCGCTTGCGAGCCTCTTTCGCCCAGCAGACAAACCCCGGTTTGCTAGCCTCAACTGGCCTGTCTGGGATGGCGCGATCTTCGATCCCAACATGCGAGCAAACAGGGACAGCGATAAGCTAGCCTTCATTGCCGGCACCGTCTATGTCCGCCACGCCGTCAGCTTAAGGCGCCCGAAAATTATGCTCAAGCTCCTCGACCAGGCTACCCTCAACCACCTTGCTCGGTGGGGTATCAATGGATTCGTTATCGGCGAAGAACGGGCGTCGGAGCGAATAGAAAGGGACCGTGATCTCCTGGCAAGCTTTCGGTCCGGCGTACTTCTTGCCATGGACGAGCTGAGGAAGGCAGAGGTCCCGAACAACGTCAACCAGGACGACTTAAAAGAAGTGATCGACGCACTGGAGTCTTATGTCCATGGACATTTTGTGGAGATGGCTGAGCTGGGGCCTGCCGTTGCAGAAGCGGTGAGGGCCGAAGACGCCCTCGCACAAACCAACGCGATGACGATGGCTGAAGAGTTCGGAAGTGATGGAAAATATGGAGAATCCGAGGAAGAGGGTACCACCGCGCGCAAGTTACAATATGATGTCAGCGCCGATGAGACAACTGCACCAACAGACAGGAAATCACCTAACGACAGCAACACATCTGCGACAGACTATGATGGCGATGACGACGATACCCTCAAATACTTCGAGCAAGTCGAGATTCTTGGAGATATTTCCTCTTCAAGCAATGACGACGGGGGGGAAGAAGACGATATCGACACAATGTCATCGAGCTTTGCCGAAAATGAGCGCGCTCATGGAGCTAATGCCACCCATGAGAGTGAGGTAGCTTCCGTCAGGCGTGCAAAGAGGGCGAAGAGCAAAAAGGCTAAGAAAGCGAGGAGTCAAGCTAGGCGTGACAAGAAGAAGGTAGGGACGGCGCAGACTGAGTCTTGAGTTCTCTTTATGGAATACCCCCCAGATCCAGGAGCTCGAGACATATCGTGTCACCCAAGGCGAGGATGGACGAAAACCGCAACGAGAAGAGGAATCTAGAATGCTTAGATGAGACACAAGGGACGGTCGGAGTTTGACCTATTCTTCTAAGACTTCCCGCAAACAGGCCATTACTCTGGATTGGGGAATGGTGTGGGAGTGGTGGGCCTTTCCAGGATACAGCTGCGGACTGGACCATTCACGGGCACTCCTTCACTCTTTTTTGTTCAGATTTCTTTCTGTTTGCACTGTACTTGGCACGATTCTTTCAATACATCGTCTACTCTACCTTCGTGCTCATACCTACAATCGTCAACTTTTATTAAATTCGCACCCTTGTCTATGAAACCGAAATCGGTATGTGCTAACTTACTTTAACTGAATGATGACTTGCGTCTAGAAACGTTCCACAAGCTCTCGTATAAGACCAGTCCCCTCCATCAATCTCTGCTACACCGCTCAGTCAGACTTTCCCTGCTGTCCTTACGTTATCCTTCGCAAGCCAAAGCAGTAAAAGCAGTCGAGGTTTGGTTTCGTTGAGCTGGCACTGACCTCCTCCAAACAGGAGTCGAGGAGTATTTGCATTCAGTATAGAGTCATGCTGCGCTAAACCACCAACGCTGTATCCCTTTCTATCTGTAGGTCCGCCATGTTTCTTCTCTCTTTTGAATAACCAATGAATCCGAAATCAAAGACCTGACTCTGTCTTTCCAATCACCACAAACGTTTGCATGAACTCTTAGCTCATAAATAGGACCTAGGGTTTCTTAGAGGTCGGCGATGACAAACGTGTTTAAATTTCATGTTTGCCTCCTTCCCCCGTCCCTGGGCTGTGTGCCGCCCTCGTCGGAGTTCGGCTTCTCCGCGGAGCGATTCATCCTTTCACCTGTGTTCAATTCATATAAGTACAGGGTCGTCGGTCGAGAGAACTCGTCAAAGTTGGATTTATATACTATTGCTACTCAGACGATGTTATGCGGGAGGCACAGCACGGTTGAGTCTGGTTCTGGGGTGGTACTTACTTGAATTTCGTTGTTTGGATGACTAGAGGGAATGTTCGACCAGTATGGAAGAAAAGGTTCTTGGCTTAAAGGGCAAGGTGATTTCGCGGAGGATAATGAACACAAAAGTTGAGAGTCTTATATCTTTGAGACTGTAGAAGCTCTCGAACACCCTGTGTGGTCTCATCAAATTGCTTCCTGGCATGTGGTCTCTTCCCAAAATCTTTCTTCGATGTTTCATGAGAGATTTCTCGATTTTTTATGTGGTCTCGCGTGTATGCCTCATTGCCTCAAAGGGTACGGGCCAATTGGTATTTCTGATTTCTGTTTGCATGGGAGAGATGTTACACAAAGCTCTGCTATCATGGTTGGTATGTCGATTTCCGTGTGGCCCTCGCTATTATCAAGAACCAGAGTAATTGTATTTTTATGCCCTGATTGCAGCTTCCATCAATTGTGCTGCCTCTCGTTACATGCATGCGACCATTTTAGGGAAGTCCTTTGAAACTCGAATAGCATTATTACCTCTTCGTGCATACCTGTGCGAGAATGAAGTTGAGATGCTTCAAAACATGAACTGTACATTATCTTCTTATTCGACAGATGCATTCGACACGTGCATTTTGCGTATTTTGACGTGGAAGGGCCGCGCTCTTTGGTGAGATCTGCCGTAAATGATGCACGCCTGCGCGGTTCGCGATGTATGGAAGTTCATGTGGTCTCCCGATAACTTGAGGGGAAACAAACGCGCCAAATGATCTGTGCGTGTGGTCTCACGGATACTCAGGGGATGTGAGACCACGTTATTGGCTCTGATAAGCATCATCGATAGTGTTAGCCGTGGTGGCGGAGCGTGAACCCTGATAGACTGCATGAGCTTCGGTTATTGTCCTATCAGCGTGCAAGATGTCAGTAAGGCAAACTCAAGGCACCGATGAGACCACGCCTGGGGAATACTTAAGTTTGTGAAGTCCGCCGGGTGGCAGTTTTCGATTTGACACTCCATTTACTTCCTCGACTGCCGGGGAGGCTGCAATCCCAGTGTGGACCTACTACAAGTTTCTGCTGTGAGTATATTTACGATCTCAGCCCATACATCATTATAGGTTAATCTTGAGGAAGGCTCAGCAATCGAAACAAAACCGCGAGTGCGCGCGCGGGGCGCTGACTCCGCGCTCGTGCAATTCTTGGACACTACGATGATCATCTAAATACTCGCTCACACCCCACCGCGCGACAAAACGAAGATCAATTCAGCTATTCTGGCTTGGATGAATGGCTGGCCAGCTACGACTGGGATTCATGGTCGAGCGAGATTCTGTTGTGTCCGGATCAAGTCTGGGACTCGATCATTGGACCTTCTACCTATGGTATCTTGGACCACGCTCCCTTTGAATCCCAGCATGGCCATTCATCCAACTTTGGTATTGAAGAGCCGCTTCAAACAGTGGATCCCAAAGTCGTAAATTGGGATTTGAAAGTTCCCTTATCTCTCGGCCCCGAATCCTGGTCTCAACCGGTACTACACCCTCCAGGCGCTTCCGAGAGCACGTCCTCCAGCAACGAGAAAGGTTCGCCATATACAAACAGTGCCATGACACCTTCACCCCAAATTGAAGGCTGCCGTGTCCCTGATCCTGTCGTCACTCGACGTACCCTGTAAGCGTCACCCTCCAGGTGATGGATTCGGCCCGAAGATTTGAGGTTATTCTTGCTCTCGATTCTAACATTAACAGGCCACAACCTGCGGCGATATCTCCTACACTTTCCATTTGCAAGATTTGCAGCCGAAGTTTCGCAGACCGCAAATCGCTTTGGAACCACGATCAATCTATTCACAAAAAAAGGCGATACGACTGCGATGTCAGGGGGTGTACGTACAGGGCGACTAGGGCGGCGAATCTTAGGAGGCATAAAAGAACTTGCCATGAACATTGAGTACCTTAGGGGGCGATGTTCACGTTTGAAAGATTTCAACGGACTTCCTACCGTCTAGTTTGGATTTGACTCGTCGTCAAGTGGTGGTGCAGCGCTCCCAACAGTACGTATGGAGTACGGCAACGCACAGGGGCCATAATCTTGTAGTAGCACGGTTCACATTACAGTCTTTCTGTACCTAAATTGAGTGATATGTGGATAGTGCTACTATGGTAAGATTACGGTCCCTGTGCGTTGCCGTACTCTATACGTACTGCTGGGGGTGCTGTGGTGTTTGGGCTAATTGGGGTTATGATGATCAAGTGGGGTGAGGGGTTGACGCAGGGTGAGTGCCACGACATTCTCTCTGCATTCTGACAAGTTACCATGTTCCTGAAAACCCGAGGACACACGGTCATACATCTTCGCTTAGACACGTCGAACCACGCTAACTCGGTGCAGAGAGCGTGAAACTTGAACGCTGTAGACAGCGTTCAAGTTTGTTTGACACACAGAACATTGTTCGGACCAATCTGATGGATTCTTGCGCGCAGTGGCAGGAGCAGCACTTCCTATGGTATATCTGGAAATTCCAGGTCATGCTCGGAGAAGATTAGTTGCAGAGGTACTTCCAGCGTGATGATTTTTTCATTGATTCGGCACATTGGGGTTCAAGAGGTGCTTCTGTGGTGATTGTCTCTTACATGTATGGCTTCGGCATGCTGGACTGAAGCAATGCATGTAAGAACCCATTCTCACAGAAGCACCTCTTGAAATCCAATGTGCCACCTTTAATCCTCCGCCTTAGTGGTGTTGAGGGCAGGAACTGGTCCAAGCATATTATACGTTATTTTTCATAGCATGCATGTTTCTCATTTTGGGACTGCCTAGCGATCTCTTGTGTACAAAAAGAGCAAATTTGTGTACTCCCCCTTCTTTGCTTAGTATGTTAGTCTTTGGGCTTTCAATAGAAGTATACTCTGATGCCATTTTAATACCAGTAGGAATTTTCCGCAACTTTGCCCTTGTGTCAACCTGTAACTTTGGAACTTCCCCTCTTCGTCACGATCTCCTCGACTAGATAGGCTCGACTACCTTTATCTGATCCTCGCTGCTTCGGTACGGCTAGATGACAGGAAAATGCCTTCCCGCACTTGTAGGCACTCTGAACCCACGATCACTTCTATACGGAACCCTGACAAATCCCAGCAGCACAAATGGCGCTCAGAAGCCCAGAAACGCAAAGTTCGAAAAGGAATACAAAAGCGCGTACATCATCTATCCTTCGAGAAAAGTCTGGCACTCAACGATCGATTGATTCCACAGGTGCGCTTGGTCAACAAGTCCTTGAGCTCACACTCTCTCGAACTTGCAAGCTACACTATCTCCTCCATGACAGCCAAACCGCCTCTACATGGGCGACTATCACCAATTTTGTCTGGGCCTGCGAGGCTCGTGCACTCTGCGATGCATGCGCAACGCAGGGGACGAGGATATTCGAGCTTCATGTCTAATTTCGGCTGCACCAGAGTAAGGGCCACATCAGTATGATGCCCTTTGTCTTTTCCGCAATAGTGTGTCCGTCGATACCACGCCAAAGACCCAGTCTAGGTCACTCGTTGAACGCGTTGGGCCACAACTCCCTGTGTACCTACACGCTAGCTGTCTTAGGGATGGTTCGAAACCAGAATATTACCCTTGGGCGATGAGATCGAAAGAAGAAGAAGAGGGTTAGAAGCTTGGAGGATTATAATACGGGGATATGAGATTATCGGGGACAGAAGGCCCTTCAATCTGGTGGACAGGCAGCCTGATGAGGTGAGAGCGTTGGGCTCTCGGTCAATCATACACACGGTCGATTGAGTGTCAGGTTATATTCATGGAAACTTAATATCACTAAGTCACCCCAGGATGCGCAATAGAGTGGGTGAAGCGACAGCCACTGGAAGGGGCACCCCGATACAACACAATAAGTAGAGCAAACTATCCATCTCGATTCTCTACTCTCTGGGGCCAATGTGCGGGACCGAAGGCTCGAGGAGCCACAAGAAGAGCTCGATGGTATGTGCTCCAAGATCGTACAAGAACAGGTGTCACATGACAGAGAAAAGGTACTGAGCGAGTGTAGAACCTTGAGAGACGTTCTCAAACGAACAAATAAGGCGTTTCCTGAGCAGTGTTCGACAGCAGACAGAACGAACGTCTGTACACAGGGGATGGGTCGGCCCGCCCCAGGTAGACCGCTCAAGATCAAATCCGCAACAGCTAGTCCCAATAAAACAAAAGACCAGAGCATAGGAAAGGATAGCGTTGGATTACATCCCGCATCTGGCATTCATACCAACCTGATCTGCATACGTCTCCAGCCAGCTGCGAGGAACTGTTCTCGGAAAGCTTTCTCCACCTCTTCATCTCTTCGCTTTAGATCGAACCGCAATTTGGCATACCCCACTCGCTTAGCAACCGCTGCTTTCCGGCTCACCCAGCTCATCATGAGCAGGTGCAATTCACCGCCAGTTGAGAACAGCTCATGTCCATACAGAAAAAGATAAAAGTCCAAATGTCCATCGCCACACAATGTTTCTTCTATTAAGCCAAATTCCCCCATATTCAACTTCGCAGACGGATCACTTTCACCCTCATCGACCAGCGGCAAATCGCAAGAACAGGCGCGTGCGTCACTCGTATCGAAAGTTTCCTTGAATTGGAAGGTGTGTTGCTTATGGAGCTGCATGCAAGCGGAGGTTCTGGGCCGGGTAATGCAAGCACCCTCCACAACAATGGATGAGCCTGTTTCAACGGTGCCATAGACGAAGCAAGGATCCTGTAGGCAAATGTTGTTCTGTAGAAGCTTGATACCGAGTTGAGCCGTCCAGATATCGCTGTATGGATTCAGGTTGCCGATTGGGTATAGGAAGATGTCTTCCATGAAAACAGCGCCATCTACGCTTGCCCAGCTCCAACTAGGCGCTCTGTATTCGGGGGGTGTTGTCAAAAGAGTGGAGCTATCCCTTTTCCATGACAGACCAGCGACAAAGTGTTTGCTCCATATGCCTGAAAGATACTCTCCCATCTCCCCGTTGTGGTTCAGAATATCGGCAACACCTGAAATGGCATAAAGTTTGTCCGACGGGAAGGTCAAAAGGCGGCCTGTGTAATTTTGTACGCAGGAACTCCAGCCTGCAAGGCGTTTTGACTCCTGTATCGATGTCTCCTCGGTAGTCCCACCTACGGTTTTATGTCGTCCAGGCGCTTGTAGAGCATTTGTCACGAAAGGTTGGATGGCGCTCTTATCCAGATCTTCCACCTGTATGAAGTATTCCAGGCTGGAAGCTTCGAATTTAAAGCCGTTTCCACACTCCCAGATCATCTGTTGCGTCGTGTAGTGTAAGATTCGGGGTGCAAGCGTTCGTTCTTGGGCAGCCCAGCCGCGCGTTGCCAATGCGGAGTTGCTGATGTCTTGGAGGGAGCTGAGCCTTTCGTCCCGCAAGCAGTACTCTTTTTGCCTGCCAATGGCTGGCGAATATTTAATGTGACGGTCGATTAAAATGCCTTTGCTGCTATCTTCGGCAACAGTGGCTGCAATCATGAGCGTCGACAGACCGTAGTATGATGACATTTTGGGTGCTTCCTCTGCCCACTCCGCGGCATTGTCTTGACTGATACAAAGCGCATCGATCCACAAGTAGCGGAAACCAAGACATCTTGTGATTTCGATCGCATCCTGAAAATTTTTCGGGAGCTCTCCATATGGGATAGCATTGTGGAATGTGGAGATCAGCGAATCCTTGAGCTTTGATGCGATGTCCGACTTGCCCCAACAGTGGGAGAGAATCACATAGTGACCCTGAACGTGACTGGCGGCGCGCAATCTGCATGGCTGCGCGAGATCCGCGGGTATCTCAATGACCCGCTTCGGCAGGGGTACCTGAGCTGGTTTTGCACAAATCTTGTGGTTTGCACATTCCTTCGCCCACGAGCGTACCAGATCAAAGCATTTCTTATCCAAAGGACTAACAGGAATGTGATGCTTAAAATCGATATGTGGGTGGGGTGGATCTAGGGTTCCAGTTGCGATGAGTATCTGAAAAATCATCGGAGGGAAGCAGTTTACCTGTCAAAGGCTCTTCTGTACATAATTGTAGGTTTGTAATCATCGTAGCACCACTCGAAGGATCTGGCGGCCATGCTTCCAAACGAAATGCTGGGAGACCAGCTCCAATTTGCCTCAGGGTCAACAACCAGCCCTTCGGCAATGGCGAAAGGCGATGCCACTCTTCGGAAGCACGGAAAACCGTGCAAAAGAACTCGCAGCCACCGCAACCACGTCGACCTGAACTCACGCTACGTGATCTCTCCAGTAGCTCTTCGTAGAGTCCAAGCTTTTGTGTCCCAACGCGTGCCTTGAGATCGATGTCAAGTTGTGAGCAAACACTACACAAGTCCATACCCGCTCTTTGAGATGTTGGACTACAGTCCATGGTTGGTTGTTCTTTTACTGGTTGTTTTTCGGGAACAAGAGTCAGGGATCTTCTAGTGGCTGTTGTAGGCGAAATACGTAGTCAGGTACTGCACCGATAGTACGGCAGTACAGCGAGTCCTGACGCATTGGAACCACATGTCGCGGTGCGTACGGTGTTATTAGGAGTGGTGAGATGCCAGCATCTGCATCGGGCTGGTAGCATATACCCAGCACGGTGGTCGGGAATATGATACGACAGATAACCGCCGGGAAGATTGGCATCTTTTCACGGATCACCTTCTTCTTTCGTCCTACTATACATTGACGAAGAGTGCAGCCTGCTGCAGTCATCTAAGTCCAGGCAATATCTGCAAATGCCTGCGACGCAAACCACCGTCAGTGTAGTCGTTGTCAACTCACCAGGTCGTCGCTCTTCCCCTGGGAAATCGATCGCTTCACCTAACAGCATAGCTAACCCATGATTTTCACAACCTCTTTACAGTTCCTGTCCATCTGCTCGCTCCAAACAGCCCCGGTTCTCAACCTAGCCTGAAGTAGATCACTTCCAAGTATCGTCCACCACCCCCCACCATTGCTAACTTGCGACCCACCCAGCAGATCACCCCGAGCAACATCACGACCCTGACAACTATCCCCACCATCCTAACACTAATAGCCCGAAGAGCGCAATGTGGCTGACAGACGCTGACAGCCAGGCGTGCCACCAGCGCGCCGGGCACGTCTCAGCAGCCTCGCACTAGGGTATCCCGACCAGCATCGACGTCGTGCCCATGCGCGCTACTCCGACGACCATCACTAGGATATTGCTGGCAATTCAATGCAGGAAGAAGGAGTTTGCACATCTGCTCGCCCAAAATGGTAGACGTGGGAGCCGCACGTAGTGGTTTAGGAAGTGACGCAGGTGGAGAGGTGTTTGAAGGTTTGCATCACGTGTCCGACCGCTATCACGACTGTTTATTATGTGGAGCGCCACACTGGACTGAAAAAAGACTGGGGGAAACAACGTTAAGAAGATTTGGATGTCACAAATTTTGCATTCAAGGTGGTATCATTGCATCACCTTATCTCCAACTATCCTTTATCCCTGAGTTGGCCTCCTTCCATCCTCAGGGTAAACAGCCTCGATGGCAGCCTGAAGGGCCTTGGGGTTCGCGCCAACGACCTCGCCGACCTGCTCTTTGTTCTTGAAGATCTTGAAGGTGGGCATCGCGCGGATGTTGAGCTCCTGGGCCACATCGGGAACCTCGTCAACGTCGATCTTGTAGAAACGCGCGTCGAGGTATTCGTTGGAGTACCTGTTCGGGCGTGTTAGTAGGCGTCATGGCGGAACGGGGATGCCAATGCATACTTGACGACCTGCGGCGCGATGACTTTGCAAGGACCGCACCACGTAGCGAAGCAGTCAAGCACGATAATTTGATCCTTGGCTTCAAGCGCCTCCTCCCAGTCGGCCTTACTACACAGGGAGTTAGTATCGCCCATCCATCCGTTCGCGTTGCGCATGACGTCGTGTTTCTCTTGCGAGACACCACGCAGCCACACCGCGCGGCGGTTCCGGGTCTGCACTCACGAGGCTAGGTTGTGTACGCCTTCCTTGCTCATTGCGGCGGTATTCGAGAAGAACTTGGGGGTGAAAAGCGGTCGGTAGAGGGTCGCGGCGGTGGCAGGGATGATGTTGGTAGCTGTTCGTGCGCGCGCAGTGGTAAGTAAAGTTCTTGCGAAGGCTGACGTCGACGGGGTGAACATGATATATAAAGAACAGGAAATGAGACAAAGTATTGGGGGAGGGTGATTTCAAAGATGGAATGCACTGGGCTACTGAATGGCGCGTGCGATTACAATCCGGTGATTGATGGGAAGAGGCTGCAAACTCGGCAAAGGCGCAAAGAGTCCCTGCGCCGATTTGAACAGTGCGGGCAGGGCGGTGCCGACGGCGCGCAGACACAACGGGTAGGGAAGCTGTTTTGACTTACGAAGCTGACTTTGGTTATCGTCAGGCGTGCGAGAGCGTATCCAGGTGCTAAGAGGGGTGCTGGTGGAGTTTTGCGGATGATAAATCCGAGGTGGGCTGGTTGATTACAGAGAGGGCCTGCATTTCAATCAATGACGTGCGCTTGCCGCCCGAGACTTGCCCGACAAAGGCAGTTAGTACCCCGCCATCGCAGATGCTCGGCAGCTGCCATGCGAACAACAATACCACCTCTACGCGCCGCAGGCGGCAGAAACGAGATGTTGACAAATAAACAGCTCCAATTGACAGCCTTATGATGACAATTCCAGATCGCAGGCACGCCGCGGGCCCTTGATTGCACATCGACACGTCCAATGCTCGCGTTGCCCCACCATTGACCCTGATTTTTCCATCTTCGGAGACTAAGGGATGCAGTCCTCAGCCCATGGCTGCAGACGATCAGGCACGTTTGCACCAGTCACGAGCATTGTGAACAGATTCATCAATACATTTGCTTCTCTAAGCTGAAAGCCGCAAAGGGGCAACACCACCACGCAATTCCCTGTGGGGAACGCACGTCAAGTATCCCGAAAAAGTAAAAGCATATGTCGCTGCACATGCCGTGAGAAAGAGGATGGCTGAGCACCGCGCGCCAAATGGGATCCGAATTCTCGGCCTGGTATAATATCCGTCTATGCCTGTATGCGAGATCCCAGGAGCTGTGATGCGTAGGTATAAGATGTGAGATAAAGAGCCTGAGGCGGGAAGGAAAGCCGGCCAACGTGTCCAGCTAATGTACAGTACAAATTGGTATAGAGCCACAAAGACCAAGTAAAGCAACGCTAGATACCGTGATCCACCAAACACCATGCTACAGATACGCCGAATTTTCCTGTCCAATGTCTTCAAGGAAGAAAAATCATGCCGCAAAAAGAAACGACGCAAAGAGAGTGCGATCAACCTTGGCTCGTGGGAGAGACCCGAGACCCGACCGTTTGCCAATTCCATGTTTGTCGTTTTTGAGGTATGTAACGTATAGGAAAAATGAGTGAGTGACTGGGGTAAGGTGGCTCCGTAAGGACAGACAGATACAAATGAAATGCAAATGAGGGGCGCGGTCTGGCAAACGTTCGTGGTCTCAATGTTTCTCCCGTGTCTGTGGTTTGATCATTACTCTTATTGCGTTAGCTTGCTTTGCGACGATGAACTTGCTCGCTTTTGAATGTCCAAAAGCTTTGCTGACCCAGCACTAAGGTGTCGGAAATGGTGCTTGCCCAAGTCAACGCTTCGCGCGCGCTGGACTGTAACAGGTTCATTTTCCGACGTGGGTGATTCACCCTCCACGATTTCAGCGCTTTCACCTGCGAAGTCTTCAGGCGAAGGCTTCTCCTCATGGTAGAAGCTCAACAGTCCCTCTCTAGACTTCACACGTGCTTGGTGATGAATGACCGTGGGATGCCGACCAATGCTGCTGTGCATGAGTTCCTCGTCTTCTTGGGATGTCCTCGATCTCGCAGGTGCTGCCTCTTCATTGTCGGAATCTGCAGCATTGAGAGGATTCTCAAGCGGGGACATGACCATGCTGCTGGGTTTGCGGGACAGCTCCCTCGAAAGCAACGATGGGCGGTGTTCATCAGGCTGAGGAGTCAATCTCCTGAAGTATTCATCATCCGGAATTCCGAGCTCTTCATAAGATGCACTGAACGGCTCTTGTGTTTTGAGGGCAGTGGACGAACCGACGCTAGATCGCAGGTGAGATTTGTTGGAGCTGCGCTTGATGGGCTTTCCTGACAGCCAGGAGCCTTCTGAGTCGACCGAAGCAAGAGACTGGGACATCACGCCCCCATTGGGAACTCCTGGGCTGACCGGAGAATCTGTTCGGGCTGCCCCGGAACTGTCGGACTCAATACGAAGACCAGCTGGGGGCTGACTCCTCCGCCGAGCAGCAATAGCGCTATTGTGAATAATCTCGGGCGATTGCACTCTCGAATCCGGCGGAGTGAACTCGGGTAGATCTTCTCTGAACTTGGACCTGGTGCGGCGGGGAACGCTGGAGGGGCGCTTGATAGCGATGGGAGCAGTAGGTGGCGGTGGTGGTGGCGCGACAAGATGGGCAGGGAGTGGCTGGCGAGACATGGACTCACGCGATGTGTTCGAAAACGACACCTCGGAAGGTGTAGTACGCCCTGGGTCTTGGGACCGACGTTTGCCGCGCCTGAAGAACGAAGCAAAGACGGCCATGCGCCGCCCTTCAGAGCTGCGGCGGCGGTCAGTACTCATCTTGGAAGTCGCAGCAGTGTCGGTCGTGTCTACTACGTGCAGAGAACCGCTCGCGGCCGGATCGTGTGCGGGCTCGATCGACTCAATAGGTATTTCCTGGGCAAAACGCTCCGAGAGGAGCTCGGGCATTTGAGAAACGTTGGAAGGTCCGCGTGTATGAGTGGCTGAGACGCTTCCCCGGGAGTAGCGAACAGCCTGGGCATTGGAGATAACCGGTTCTTCCATAGGGCTTTCCAGAGGAGTGGGAAGTTGGCTCATCTCCTCGAGCTGAGGCGTCAGGGGGGGAGGGCGACGTTGAGATTGAGGCGTGGAGGGTTGTACGTCTTCCATAAGCATGTGCGTGGGCACGTCCGCATCGCGCTCAATGCCCAGGCCAATGGTACCTTGTGCTCCTTTCCTGGGATGCGTAGGCGTCCCTGGCGTCAGCGGTGCAGCCTCTGCTGCTTGTTGCTTCTCAGCGCGACGCTCCAGCCTTCGACGCAGACGTTCATCGTCAGCTTTCCTTTTCTTCTCCCTTCGCCGCTGGTCTCGGTCCATGATCTCTCGCAGCGCACCCGTATCAAGCTCGTCTGCTAGATCATCTATCCTGCTACTCCTCTTGTCTCTTTTCTCTTTCCAGTCTTGCGGCGCGTCTCTGCTCCCAGGTTGACGACCGCGATTTGTGTTGGACCGACTCTTGTTGGACAGTGGCGACGAGTCGTTACCACTGGCATAGTATTGCGAGCCCACGGAACACCGTACTGTGGGCCGTGGTGAGAACATGTCCAGGGCGCTCACGCGGAAGGCGCGGTGGTCTGAGTTGCCGGACATGGAGGAGTGTATGGAATCTTCGAGCGGGAGCGAGATATTGGACTCGGGACGTTCGAAGCGGCGGTTGAGGCTACCCTTGACTTTTTTGCTGTCTCGTCGCAGCATGTCACCCGACTTGCCTGCTGGTCTCTTCTGCGGGAGCGGCATGCTCATGGCTCGGATTTCCTCTTCTCGCAAATGTTCATGTTCCCGCTTCTGTTTCTTGCTCGAAATGCGCCGAACGAGGCCCGACTCATGGACAGACTTGCGCAGGGACTGGGGTCGTTGCAGCTTGCCCCGCTCGCGTGCGGTGGGGAGGCTCGACTGCGAATTGTTGTTGGGTTCCTTGGAGGAAAAGTTGTAGGGGATGGTGCCGTGTTGCTGCGATATGGGGCGCAGGTGCGGACTGTGTTCGAGGCGGCGCTGGTTGGGCAGCGCGGTGATGTTGTCGTCGGCGCTATTGCGTGGGAGGCCCTGCTCTTTGGCTAGGGCGGCGCTCTGGGCTTCCAGGGCCTTGAGGGTGGGCGAGTCTTTTTCGAGGTCGCGCAGGGATGCACTGGAGCGTGAACTCCTCCGGCGACGGCGATTGCTGCGTGTGCTCTGGCGACGGGCGGGCGAGCTGCGCAGGACGTCCCTGCTGGCAAATTCGTGTGCCCTGGCGGCTGGCATGGAGCCTGCAACAGGCCGCTTCCGTTCTGCGACGGCGGCGGGCCCACCCTCTTTTAATCTAGTGGCCTTGCGCCCAAACGGCCATATTTTGGGCATGGCGGACGACAAGGCCCGTCGAGCGCTGGGCGGGGAGGGTTCGAGGTGCTGCCCGCGCGCGCGGCCACAACGTGACTGCGCGAGCGCGAAGCGTGTCGTGTCGGACGGTGCGGCGTGCTATCTGCTGGCGCTGCGAGGTGATGTGTCGGCGGGCTGCATGGTGCGCGAGGATGCGGGTTTTTTTGTTCTTTGTCCGGGGGTGCGCAGGCGACGGCTGGCAAACAAAGAGCAGGTGAATGGCGGTGCGGACGGCGTGTTGTGGGGAGGGAGGGAGCCGACGAAGGGAGGCATTCACTGCTGGCTGTGACGCAAGGAACTGGCCGAACCTTGGTTGGACGCCAGCACTGGGGCACTGGGGCGACAGCTCTGGCTCACCCACCGCTGCAGGCCTAGACAGAGGCTAGCGGCACCGGTCGGCAGGCCTAGAATGCTTCGAGAAACACCGGGGAGGGACTGTCTGTAGAGCCGTTGTGCGGTGCATGCGATGTGCGCGATTGCGACGTAGGGCCCGCGACCAGAGCCCAGCGCAGCGTGCAGCGTGCCGTACTGCACTGCGCATGCAGCGTTTGTATTTGTGCGCAGCACTCCTTCGCCACTTCGCCGCGCTGGATGCCGCAGCCAGAAGCCATGCCCTCGCCCATGGCTCCAGCGTCACGCGGCAGACGGCGGCGCGGACCCAGCCTGCTCCCTCTCTCGACGATCGTGCCCAGTGACGCCCGCTGGTGGCGAGCGTCGCCATGAGTGGCCCCCAGGCGCAGAGCCGGCGCTCCCTGGTCGCTTCCTGGTCTCTCGTGGCTCATCAATGCCTGTGCCAATCATTGCCCCAACGCCTCCAGCACCAACGTCGACCACGAGCTCAGCGCCCATCCTGGCCCGACTGGGCATCTCAGCCGGGCGTCTAGCAAAGATCGGCTGCACTTCTGGCGACGTGGTGGCCGACCGCTGCCGTTGTTGCTGTGGTGCCGGCCTGCGCCAGACAGTCAGCAATACCGACAACGACAACGCCAACACAGCGCTGCCAACACGATGCACTGCAGCCGTCCGCAGGAGCAGCACTGATGCTGAGGCCTGTAGCGGGACGTCAGCTCGCTAGGGCTGCCGCACGCCACGGACCCCACTCCCCATCACACGGAATGCGACATGCCTGCTCTGTCGAGTTGCTGACGAGCATCCGCCCTCCGCTCAGGTACCAGCCATGTGCATCTCTGTGAATCTCTCCTAAGCCCCGCCAGTCCCCTATAGACACAGACGATAATACTACTGGCTTTGTACATGCCAATGAAGCACACCACCAATCTCCACGTCCCTTGTATCACAACCGGGCATGGTGGGCGGCGTTTCAGAAGTACCATGCCATGATGCAGTGCTTTGCATTTCTGGTCCGTTAGTCAAACTGGCCCGGTACTGCGCGGCCCACTGTTCATAAGGAATTTTGCTTGTCCGTCGTCATGTTTCTCGTTGCGAATGCTGACCACAATGAGCCCAGAACGGATCGTCATTGACAATAGTCTCGCTTCCCTCCCTCGCTAGACCTGTCTTGTGTGGTTGGCAACGGCACCCGCTCTCGGAGACTATCCGCACGGCTTCGGCGGGCCAATTTAGCGAGCTCGACGGCTCTTGACGCCAGTCGACCGCACGTGCGACCTCAAATCTCCCAGCGTCCAACTGCAAACCTCTTGCATTCTTGTGTCTGGAACTGGGTGATGTCTAGTGGATCGATCGTGTCTGATTGTGGCTTGCGTCTTGCCGACCCTACATCGTTCACAGTCAGTCACTGTACGACATGCGCAGATTGGCGATGCTAGCGTGAACCTTCCCGCAGTCTTCTTGCGACAGACTCAGCTTCGGCAGGTTTTGGCGCAAGCCCTCAACTTTGTTTTGTTTCGGAAAAGCAACGGCCGGCAAGTCTGTGTGCTGATCACACCTACTGAATCATAACCACACCAGCCTCTGCTATTTCTCACAGTCCCAGAACTGCGTACAGACTAATGCGCGGATTTCCACTAGCACGGTGCGGAGACATCAAACGGCGCAGCAACGGTTCGGTCACACTCGCACAGCAGCAGCTCGTCTCGCAAACGGTGCAGTAAACGCGCGCTGCAGCCACGAGATGGGCGCCTGGACGCATGTTGTGGGTAGGTCAACATGGCTGCAGATGCTCACGACATAGCTTCACATGTCAGCGTGCGAACAGTACAAATGGAAGAAGTTTCCTCCTTGCTTCCGTGTGTCGTTCTCTCATGCTGCGCTCACGCGTAAATATTGATTTGGTGCATCTTGCATGCAGTTTGTACGACATGCAACGACGCCTACCCGGTGATCACGTCAGGACAACTTTCATCATCCCGAGGCCGAGTCCCATTGCGCGAGCGTGCATCTGGACCACTGCAGCGCGCGTTACCGGAAAACCCATCCATTAGCAAGTTCGCAACGAACAACACCAAGCTCAATGCATTCATCGCTCCACTGTTTCGTCTTCAGTTGTTTGTTCGTGGCCATTTATCGGCTCCAGACAACCATCCTAGACTCTTAGTGCTCTCGCCACCACCTCTCCCTATTATCTCTTCGTGACTGGACAATATTTCATGTAAAGGTAGTGTCGGGCTGGAAAGTTGCGCTCCCGACAATCGTTCGCATGCACTATCGAGGGGCCAGACTTCGCAAAGATTGGATTCAGGAGTGGGTTCATGTATTTCATGGCGGAGGGGTAAGGACACTTCTGGATCACAAGTGATCACCTTCTAGGCATTTGCAAGGCTACCAGTGTCCTCTCTGACAGCCTCAATGCGCTTGTCCTACATTACGGAGCGATTCGGGTATCGTTGCATCGGCCGCTGGTCTGCAATGCTGCGTGATGTCCGTATTCTTCTCATGAAGTCGTTATCCTTCACCGGAGACAGATTGCTTGACTTGCAGCATGACACGTACGTGTGGTGCATTTTGAGGGGTTCATTTGAACGCACACGAAATGCAGACGAGCGCGCTGCCCGTAAACATGTTCAAGTACACATGTGTATAAGGCGTTGTATTGTGATGGGACAAGCGCGGCCCCGATTGGTCACTTCCCAACTTGGCCTAGCGGGATCTTGCCCTCGCAACAGCCTTTCGTAAACAAAACAAACCGTCGCCAGCATCACCACTACACCACTACGCAGCACACCACAACGTCGCATACGATTACATCGCTTGAAAATAACAAACCCTCTAAAAACATGTCTTACGGCGGTCGCATGAGCATGGCGCGCAACACGTCTTACGGCCAGCGCGCGCCTCCACCCCCGTCGGAAGATGTTTTCATGACGCTTGTACGCACACCTCAAACCAGTGGCAGACATTACGATCGATTTCTTTTTCCCTTGGCCTACAAGGTACACGAGAAGGAGAAAATACACGTATTGTTTCGGTCACTGCTGCCATGCTCCCCTGTGTTAGCATGCTGACAGTAAAACCCAGCCCGACAGCGAAATCGCCGGATGTATCACAGACATAGGAGTGCCCATCGGCCTCTCTTTTACCTCCATGGACCTGCAAAAACCAAAACCTGAGGTCATCCAAAGAGTCTTCGAATGGATGGCCGAGGTGATTATGAATACTACGCGCGATGTTGTCGCTCCGGCGATGCGCGCAGCGGCCGAGGACCTATGCGGACCAGACGCGGACAAGCTGTACTCCAGTGATACACGCGACTTGCTAGCTTTCTTCGTAACATTGAAGAGACTGCTCCGAGAGGTACGGGTAGCCCCTAGATCGCGGAGTGAGTGAGAACCCGGACTAACCTTATACGCAGTGCGGTATCCACGACTTCACCTTCGCAGACCTTTATAAACCGACCCACGCGCGCCTCGTCAAGATATTTTCGTACATGATCAACTTCATTCGGTTTCGCGAGTCTCAGACAGAAGTCATCGATGAGCATTTCAACAAATCACAGCGCACGAAGCTGCGGATTGAGCAGCTCTACGATGAGAAAGAGACAAAGGAAATCCAGCTTGCAGACTTGGAGCGCAATCGCATCGCGACTCAGAGGCTGTTGCAGGAGAAGGAGAAACGCTACAACGACCTGAAGTTGAGGCTCCGAGAGCTGGGCAAAGAACAAGAGGCTGTGCAAGAGAAAGTAGCGCGCGCGAAGGAGCACCAGCACAATCTGAAGGCGCTGTTGCAGAGAAAATACGAGGACAAGGAGAACATCAACCGCGAAGTGTCAAAATTGAAGCCCTACACCGAGCAAAGCCCTACAGCGCTCGAGGACTCTTTGCGTGACCTGAACGATCGGCTGGCCAACGACAAATCTCAGATCGAGTCGCTCGACCGCCGCGCACGCGCGCTGCAGACCTCGAGTGAATCATTTGCCGTGGTAGCCGCCGATGTCACATCGTGCACACGCCTGCTCAATGATGTCCAAGCCGACCTTGCTAAGGAAGAGGAAGAGCTTGCAAAAGCCGCGCGACACTCGGATGCGTTGACTGATAGAAGCAACAACGTACGAGACATTGAGCGTCAAGAACGACTCCTGCAGAAGCAACTCGGCAACGTGAACGCGCGAATGGATAAGATAAAAAAGAAGGCGGACGACGAGGCCGAGGCAGCGCGCAAGAGAATGGAGGAGCTGCATGACACGCACACGCAATTGACCAAAGAGCGCGGTGAGAAGGGGCGCGACATGGAAGAGAGGCGGGTCAAGATCGAGCAGACCGAGAAGAAGGTATGTCTACTATGTACACTCTACTGATAACAAACTGACGCGGGGCAGATGGCGCAGCTGAAAGACAGCATCGAGGCTGAGGTACACGCTGCTCACGATGAGTACGTAAAGATGGAAAGCCACATCAAGCTCTACATCACAGAGATGGAGCAGAGTATCTAAGCGGCACGGTCTCCGTATCTGCATGAATCACGATGGCGTCTTAGGTTGTTGCATTATGGTCAGATACCTCTTGTTGCAATTGTATGTCTATTTTACGTTCTGCACTGGGTGTTAGTCCGACCACCAAGATGTTGCTCGCGGTATGATGGAGAACTACGCGTCGCAGTCTGACTTTATCCTTGAGCGGTTGTGCACCGGCGAGATCAGCTCTGACTGCTGGCTACTTTAAGGTCCTGTCCGCATCGTGTGAGCCTCGCCAAACCCTAGTCTGCCGAGTGACTGGACCGCTGGGTGTGCGATTAACTCGATGGCCACACTTGCAATACCCGCGTCAGGTTGCGCTCGGTGAACCGGTGAGGATAGGCGGGTTTTGAAGTTGGATGGTTGAGCCTCCATTATGTGGAGCTGGGAGAACGGAAGTCTAGTACCTGTGCAGTTGACTGTTCTCCTGCGATTACGGAGGCACTTTCTCCCCACCGCCCGCATTCTCAACAAACCAATACTGTTTGGGAGTTTCGGCCGCGCACGTGGCGAGTGGGTGTTGAGGGTTGTTGGGTTGTTCGGTACCGGGCTCAAAGTTAGACAATGTGACAGTCGGTAAATGTTGCACTGCCGGTGCCTTGTTCCAAGCAACATTGAGGAATAAACCTGCTGCAGTAGAGAGATACCGCATCTTTTTGCACTCATATCATGCATACGATGTGACCAGCGCCTGGGTCTGTGGGTGCGAGACTTAGGTTATCTGGTTCGCAATGTGGGCCCCACATTATTCGGTATCCTTTGGCCTTGAAGCCGTCATCCCAACTTACCTGATGGCGGACCGGTGGAGCCTGCACCGTGTGTAGATTCTCCAAGGTGTTCAGAAGCGGGCATGTTCAAGTCTCCGCAGCAAAACTTAAAGCTGATGTACAGATGTACTCTTGCTCAAATCCCGAGGGCGCCTCCGTGAGCTAGACTTAATGGCGTAGCGATGTGAATAACCCTGAGGCAGCGGCCAGATCACTGCGCTTGACGCTGAAGCCACTGATCCCGACAGTAGTGATAGCACCGAATGTGGGATTGTACGCGGAGCGCCCCATTTGACAAACCAGGCCTAGGACCCCGAATGCAAAGCTACCAGCCAGATGCCCATGCGTGCGCGAAAGAGTGCGGTCGAGTGTACGACGGATGTCGGTCTAGACAGGTGCGTCCCTACCACTAAATTTCTCTTACCCACCTCAGTCTCTGGTAAATGCCGCAAGCTTCAACAGACGAAGTATGGCGTGGTGACTATTGGTATGCCGAAGGTTTTTGGCAGTGGGCGCACTCAACGAGGGGTTCGTTCGTCCAGGCAAGTCTCCTTGACCCCGTCCGCGCCGGGTCCTCGTCGATGGTAAAATTCTGCGCTTGAAGTCCCTTCTTCCATCTCTGATCACCAAACTACCAGCTCTTCTTCCTGCTCAAGTCACGAACCAGGAAGCTAGAAGCACTGCTTCTTCACTTTGGGAAGATGTACGCCTTGGTGATGGCGTGCGTTCTTTTCCTCTCTTTCCTCTCCAGCGTTCTGGCTAGTTCAAATGCCATTCCCTATGGCGACAAGAACACTGTAAAGGTCTCCCCGCGCACTGCTGGTCTCGCGAGCGGCGCGCTTGATCCTTTCCTCTTCCTTTGTAAGTGTCGCTCCCTATATAGCTCTATAAGGTGCTGATCTATTTCCTCTCCAGCCGCGAGCAAACCCTCACTGCTCCCTATCGAACTCCCTGCGGAAGCCGGTCTTCAAGGTATACTCACCATGGACAGCACCGAGGCGCAACTGTGTCCCCATTTCGCCTTGAGGAACTTCGCTCTGACGAATCCGCATAAGACCCGGTATTCTGCTCCCTGGCGTGTCGCTTGCGGCGTCGACTTCTACGGCGGTGATCTCTTTCCCGAACCTGTCTCTACTCAAGACGGGCTGGTTGGCTGCTCTGTCACCTGCCAGCAGACCTCCAAGTGCAAAGGCGCTGTATTCTGGCCGTCTTCTGATAACCCGCGCTCTGGCAGCTGTTATCTCAAGAAGACGCTGAACGATCCGATCTCTCGTGTTGGCTTTGCCGCTATCGTGAGGCGCAACGATATGAAGCCGGATTTCGCCGTGATGACTGACAAGCGTTTCTTCGAGGGCCAGCGGTATGACGCTATCGCGGATGTCTTCGATATCGACACTGACGATGGAGAGCATCGTCCTCATGAGAAGCTCTTCAAAAGCTATGTTCATGACATGGAGACGAACGCTGGCGTATCTACAGGCGCCGTCGTTTCGACGTCTTCTTCGTCAGTGTCGTCGTCGGCTACACCCTCGATATCATCTTCCGCCAGCACCTCGGCACAGGCCACGGCCAGCCCGGTGCCAATCTACTTCTCGACTTCGCCGAACTCAGCGGTAGTGCTATTCGTGCCGGCGTCATCGGAAGTGGCGAGTTCTACCAGGACTAATCTTCCAACAGCGGTCGTCTCAATGCTAACGGCCAGTATCACGCCCTCGTCGGTGTATGCTGAGAGTACTCTGAGTCCTGACAGGATAGATTCTGTAATCATCGCGACTCCAACGTCGGCAGCTCATACCGTGGCTTCAGCTGTGCTGGCTGAAGGTGTCTCGAGTGCTGCCTGGAGTCCCTTTGCCGCTGGTTTTATCTCTCCGCCCCCTTCAAGCACCTTGTTTCCTACATCTACATCTCCTTGGTCGACCAGTCTAGCATCTGATACTGCGCTGGTGTCTTCATTGTCCTCTGACCCGGTCGCAAGTCCATTCAGAACTACTTTCACCACCGACAATAAAGCAGAGCCTACTGCCAAACCCGCCTCGTCGTTCAAGACCCACTTGGATGGACTTTCTACAGTTGAGTGGAAATCTGCTGTCACTGCAGTTTCGAACAGCCTCGAGTCCATACGGCCTACGTTGTCGCCTACCGAGTTTGCACATGGCGTTGAGTCCAGCCAGGCTACATCGCCATTCAAGGTAAAAATGGAAGGCTTTCCGAATGATATCGAGTGGAATTTGGCACCAACAGCGTCTATGACCAGTCCCGAGTCTAACCGGGCTCCGTTGTCATTCAAAAAGGAAGGCTTCCCTTCGAGCGTCGAATGGAATTCGGTGCCCACAGAGACCGCCCGGCCTACCGTATCGCCCAAGGCCCCCTTCGACTGGACGCTGGAATGGAAGTCGGCGCCCACCGCGTCCGTAGCCGATGTCGAGTTCTACCAGGCTGATCTCTTGTCGACCGACATTGGGCCTAGGCCAACCCTAAGCAAACTGGACGAGACGGGCACGGCAACCCCGACAGAGGTTACTGAGCCACTTCGGCTTACCTCAACATACGTTATGCAATCGTATGAGGGCATTCCCTCTGCAACTGGAATCGCTCATGCATGCGCGATGCTGAACGAGGCCCAGCCCGGCAGACGTATGCCGCTCAAGGCCAGAGACGTCAAGGCGTGCGGCGCGTGGCTGAAAGCTGAAAGACCTGTGCCTAGCACGCAGTTTGACGACGGCTTCTTGCAGTTTCTGGAAGATACAGAAACTCTAGAGCGTATTTGGGGCGATGAAGAAGCCATGGATGAGTTCTTAGAGGCGCTGGATTCAAGGGATGCTAGCGAGAAAGCAGTCGTACTTGAATACCTGAACACTCTTGACGCAAAAGAGGCTGCCGAAGAGCCGAAGGTCCTGTCGTTTGGTAGACCTTGTCGCCATCCATGCGACTTGGCGTGCGATTCCGATGACAGTCTGTCGGAGGAAGAGAAGCTGAGTCGCTGTAACGAATGGGAGTCTCCACAGGTCTCGACAACTATGGAGAAGAATCCGGCACCAAGTCCTACAAAGGCTTCCGACGACACGGCGGAGGACGATGCTGACCCTTCTGAGGTTGATCCAGCGCCTCCGGCGCCAGCAACACTGACCAAGTACCTCATCTCTACCGTATCTGCTGGTCCTGTGAGGGTAACCCGAACACGAAGCGCCAAGCCCACGGTGTCCAACACTGATATAGCCACCACGGCAGACATTGAGACCAACCCAATAATCACACGATCATCTGCAGCAACGGAAGCTGCTACGTCTCAAAGTGCTCAAGAGACGGATACTATCGTCGACGCGGCACCGACAAGGTTGGGTACGCTTACCACAACATTGCTCGTCGGAACTGTGCCTGCCCAAGCAACACAAACGGCGGCCTGTGTCCAGTTTGGACACTCGTGTAAATCGATGGTAGTGGCTTTCGCTCCTCTGGTGACGCCGGCGCACTCTCCAAAAGAAGGCAACCCTGTCACTGGCCATGCCGCATCTTCCACGACTTTTGCGGCTTCAAGTTTTCCACCTCCAGCGAAGCCTTGGCCGACACAGACGCTCCATGTAGCAGCGAACATCATGCCAAGCGTGAATCCGATGACAATTGCCTGTAGTCTAGGGCACAGTAACGATGTCGACTGCAATGAGTTTGCGTCCATCATAATGACGGTGATGCCGATGCCTACGATGCCGTTGTCGGAATACAAGACGTTCATCACTCATGCACCGATCGAGCATGCAATCACTGAGAGCTCTGGAGCTCAGGCTGCTCCGACACCTTCCGCTGCGGTGCCACAGGTTCCGCCGATCAATGTGCCTGGTCCAAGTTCTCCAGCTGCGGTCCCGCAAAGCCCACAGACCAATGTACCCGTTCCGGTCCCGACTTTGCCTTCGATTACAGCACCTGTGGCAACGCAGCCGAGACCAGCACAGAACACGCCTACGGTCTCGTCAAGTGCGGTATCTCCAACGGGTTGGTTGTATGGTCCGCCTCCCCGACCAGATCTCCCACCTCCTTTTGGGAAAGGCGAAACCCTTTCGGCGTCACCTTCAGTTGCTCATGAAGGAAAGTCCTCTGTCTTGGGACCCGCGGCATCAACAACCCCTTCAACGCATATCCCTTCGGCGACAGTAGTGTCCATTAGTCCGCGGCCCTATGGTCCTGGTATAATGCCGATCAGTTCACTGCCCTCCGGAACCGGGTCTGTCACTTTTTCTGCATCTCTCGTGCCAACTTCGACGCTGGCGACAACAAGCTCACCAATGTCCTCAGCGGGCAGTGCTGGCAACGGGAACAGGCCTGGCGTGGGTAAGCCCGGCATGGGTGACCACAGCATCCACAACACCGCCAGCGCGGCTACTAGCAGATTCCCTGCACCTTGGCTCCTTCTTCTCATCTCTCTTTACGCCAGGATTCTGGTTATGTCGTAAGATACCAAGAACGGCTCAACATGGGGGTCGGTCAAGGGCGCAGAGACCTGGATTAAACAGCACCGAGACGGCTCCCTGATGGCCTGGAAAGGATGTCGGAAAAGAAAGAAAAAGAAAAATGAAGAAAACAGTGGCGGTTGAGTGGTCTCAAAGAAGAGGACGGAATCTCTTCCGAGGGACCTCTCGATTTGTTGCCCATGGCCAATGGTCGAAACCCGTCCCAGGGGCCTTGCGGTTTGTTTGCCAGCTTACAAGAGACGCTACACCGTGATATGGGGATATACCGGCATCACGTCTCTTCAAACGTCCATTGGTTCGCAATCCGGTTCACGTTGTGTCATGGATTGAATTCTGTCCAGGACCAATTCCTGTCGTTGTTGCTTGGGAAATTGCGTTCGCGCGCGGCCTGGCACCCCTTCACCACGAGTTGGGGACATACCGATGTCGCGTGCGCTCAGCCTCGAGACCTTGATCTCTTTTTCCGGCCTGTGTTTGATTTTCCCCAGGTCTGCTTACTTTCATTGGTGTTTTTCGTTTGCTTGTTCCATACCATGCCCGTTGCCGATGTGCGACCGTCTCAGCTGGATCAGGAGACAAGCTGTACGCGACAACATCGTCACCGACAGTAACGTCAGCTAGGATCCTATTTCCTGGACCAGCTCTTATCGGCTGCATACTCGGCATCGTGGCGGATGGGTACATCGGATGGGAGTGGGAGAGGACGACAGATGGGGTCGTCATGGCACTGGATGCCGGGTGAACGACAGCTGGGGTCGATATGGCACTGGAGTGGATATATGCGGATGGGATATTACACTGGATGCATGGCATGATGACGACACAACGACAGCGACGTTTGGACATTGGAATATTGAGCTGTACGATTACGCGAAGGACTCATTCGCGAGGTAGATGAACAGGAGAAGAAGGAGGTCATGGCTTGGCAGGACCGACATAACCAATGTTGTACTGATAATGGTGAGGAGTATGCGGAAGAGAGCGGATAAAAATATACCATTGGCATTGCAAGGACTTGTTGCAAGGAATTAAGCGGATTTGAGCTTCAACCATGTGGAGGTCTGCGATGGAAATCGTGGTTTTGATTTCGCGGATTCTGTTCGAGCGGCATAGAGAATGGGTCCGCGTTCCATGTATTGAATCTACAAAACCCAACAATGTTACCCTCGGCTTTCAATCTGCTCTCTTGATGATTTTCCTCATTATTCAAGTGCTCTCTTCCTCTGGGACGCGGTCTTGTCGTTTTCTATATATTTCAAAGTGGTCGCGCATTAGACATCGCAGTAAAGCGGGTTCCGTGACCGCATAGTGTTGCGCCAATGCACGACGACTTGCTGGTGATTCGTCGATTAGTCCCGTGCTGATGCGTCGACTATGTGGCATCCTTCCTGTGTTCATGTATTCAGGTAGGTATTCTTGTACGTATGCGACATCTTCGGCATTGGGAGGTGCGATCAGGTCGCTCATGTTGACAAATCCCATGGGTTGGTAGGGTGACACATCTGCGGAGAGATCATCGTCGCTCTCCATCGGGCCATTCCATAAACCGAGGAGCATTTCATCAAATGACAAAAAGAACTTGATGTTGATTTTCGAAAGCTTGGCGCGCAAGTTGTACAGCACGGGACCAAAATCCAACGTGTTGAGCGCCTTGGGTTCCATGTTTTTCTGCATGTAGATTGTGAGGTTTTGTAGGCGTGGAAATTGCATCAATCTTTCCCAGAGAACTCGAGGAACTGAGTCCCGATACATGTTCTCATGCTCCTCCAAACCGTCAAGACCGAAATGTTCCATGTACTCGGAACATGTAATGTCAAGGTGGCGGACGTCGTAGGGTTGTACGCATTCGCGTGTCCAAACGAGTGGGTATATTCGTGGGTCGTCGAAGTCCCAGGTAAAAGTTTGTGTTTTGGTGAGCATTTCCAAGGCCTCGGGAAGCAAGTCGGGATTTCCTCGCAGGATGGGTGGGATGTGCGGCAACAGGTCTTCAGTGAGTCCTACAGGACAATCGGCGTTCAAGACGTCGACGTACACTTTGTCTCGAAGCTCTCTAGGCAGTTTGTACAGCAGGTCTGCATTGTGGAGCGCAGACGTTGGCCATGATGGTCCTGGCATCATCGCCGAGAGGCGTCGGGATAAGGGTCGTTGGAGTACAGAAGCCTCAATGCCAGGTGCCTATGGAACGTTCGTGGCTGTCTGAGCTGGGCGGAAGTGCGGCGCAAAGCACAAGTGAGCGATTTCAAGCTGAGGGAACTCGGACTCGACATGATCAATGTTGATGCCTGGAAGGAGCGCGCAGCAATCACGCATGCCGAGGGCAGTTGCGGATGTACGCCCGATGGGCTTTTCCAAATGCACTATGCCTGCCTGCTCATGGCCATTGCCGACGCGCACGAGCGGCTGTACACGTCGAATTCAGTAGCTCGGCAGCCAAAGGACTTGGGACGGAAGAGCGACGAAGGTCCGCCGCACTGACCAGGCTGCCAAGCCACCCGCCTGCAGCTTCCCCAAACTTTGCGACGATGCGCAGCATCCTCGCCCACGTCGCCGCCGCCATGCCCGTACAATTCCTTCGCCGCCTCGTGCGGCCGTCCGTTCTCTTCAGGGCGTCGCTCGCGCCCGGACCGCCTCTTCGACCCTCCATCGCCAGCCGCCTCCCCAAGTCGCCGGGCTTCGGGCCCCTTCCCGCCTCGCGCGCGCACAAGTGCACCTTGATCCAGGTCCTGCGAATTGGACGGACACAACAAAGAGCCCGAAAGCTTCGATCGCCACAGCTGGCCGGCCGGCCGGAATTGAAGGGTGTGTGCCTGAAGGTCGGCACGACGAAGCCCAAGAAGCCCAACTCGGGAGAGAGGAAGATTGCGAGGGTCAGGTTGAGCAGTGGCAAGGTCATCACGGCATACATTCCAGGAGAAGGTGTGTTTTTCTGGTGGGAATGCAGTGGGGGATGAGACCCGGGAGGCTGACGAGGACATCAGGTCACAACGTGCAGCAGCATTCGGTCGTCATGGTGCGAGGTGGCAGGGCGCAGGATTGCCCTGGTGTGAAATACCATCTGGTCAGAGGAGCACTGGATCTCGTAAGGCCCAACAACGCTCTGGAAAGACCTTCGCTAACACAACTCAGGGAGGTGTCGGAAACCGTATCACATCGAGATCAAAGTATGGGACCAAGAAACCGAAGGCGGCATAAGAAGGCATCGGCTGTTGTAAAGTTATGTAAACACCTGTACCATATCTAGCATGCATGGCGTTCGGTCAAGGCAGACCATTTTGCACACCAGGTTCACTTTGTGGGCATATCATTTCAGAACTGTAGCGCTGTGAAGAGCGCATCCATGTCTGAAGAACTGAGATACGGCACCCTATTGCACTAGGGTTCGTAATCTGTCTCCGACGAGCTGGTAGGCTCTCATACTGTACGAGGAGCACTACACAGGCCCAGGCACAAAACAGTTTCCATAACATCCCTAATCACCGCCGCTACGATTCAAATAGTGAGGGAGACGCGAGATGTATCGATTTTTCGTATCTGTGGTGACACACTGCTACAATACTGCTACTCCTGTAAGCCAAGACCGGAGAGGCATACAACATGACCGTTGTGGGCTGCAGTATGTTGGCAGTTGCCCTGCATTTAGGCTATGTTCAAGTCCTCGTGTTGACGGATCCGATGCAACAGTGGCATACCACTTGGGTCGCATACGCACACTGAACGCTCAATTCGAAGACACAAACTATATCACATGTATTGACCAATTAATTGGGGGGCTTTAGGCGTCCAGAGTCAGAAGCGCAGAATTGGCCATAAAGACGACCAGATCACTCTGGTGCCCTCGAGGACCGAGACCGCGCTTTCTCATCCGCCCAAAGCACGATGGCACTGATGTCTCACATCATCTCGCTGGCCCTTTTCCTCGCGAGGTTCGACCCCCTCTTCCATCACGAAAACCACAACTAATGACCCTAAGCACGACCAACGCTCTGATCGCAAGCTCCAGATCTTGCCCCTGCTACACAGCAACAACCTACCCTTCCAATCCCGCCTGCGTGCCTCTCGATCCCCAGGGTCCTTGCTGGGAACTACCCTGCGTGACATATACCACCACCACGATTCCAGGCTATAATGCCGAATGCACGTCCACACCGACCGTGACTTCCCTGCTCCCATGTAAAACTGCGTGCTCCCTAGACTGCCTGACTATATCGTCTACACGCACGCTTGGATCAGGAAGGTGTTTGCCGCCTTCGTGGTCCCAGCTTGCGCCTACGGTCACCATTCCGCAATCTACCAGTTCCTGCTACACAAGCACCACGACCCTTAAAGGGCACTGTCCAGAAGATGACTTGAGCTGTCCGTCGCCAGACTGTGTTTACTTGAGTAAGTCGCGTCCCGGTGCTACACTCACTACGCCAACCAGGGTGCGGAGAAGACTGATGTGTGGGGTAGGCACAACTACGGTACCTGGTGGTGTGGTCGCAGGGTGCGAGACAACTCCTACGGTTACAGAGAATAGGACGTGCAAGGGGAGGTGCGATGGGAGTTGTGGGACGCAGTGGGTTACGGAGACGGCAGCGGTGCGGAAACGAGACTAGACTGGGCAAAAGGATTCTTGAGAAGATGAAATATGTGGTAAACTGAAGACGAAGCTTACACCGGTCTGGCTGTTATACAACACTAGCGACAATTGCTTAGGGGCTATCTGAATTCATGATCAGTAATATTCATACATCTGGGCAGGATTTCCTCCTTTTCAGATGCGCACCCTTACTAGAGAAGAAAATCAAATAGCGGCCTCCGATCGAAAGGACACAGGAAATTGATCCGCAGGTCGCTGCGCATCTGTTTCCGCAGGCACTCCCCGCATAGTTCATGTCCGCACTCTCTGAGGCGACGTCACACGAGTTTGAGAGCTCGACAGATGGAGCAGTCCCTGTCCAAGACAACATCCGCATTGTCTAAGACCGTAGAAACCGGACTAAATCGATCCACTGATTGTTAGCACCTAACGACGTGAATGAAGACGCGGTAGGATTATCAAGAAATGCGAACGGCAGGGGGAATGTTCGAAACGATAGGTCACCCAGGCGTACATGACATTCTACGAAGTGGTCTTCGCAGATGTACTGCCTGCCCTGATGAGTCCGCCATGCCAGTTGAGAACATGGGAGCCGCCGCGCGGGCCAGCCGCAACCCTGGGGTCGCGGAACCATTACGTCGCACTGATACCCGTGCCCTTCTCCGCAAAACCACCCCCTGGTGTCTTTTGTCACACACCTTCCGGGAAGGTTGCAGCGGCAGCATCGATTTAGCGCATTGTAGTTCTAAGAAGTACAGTAAGCATAATACCAACGACCAACGTTTCAGTTGAGTATCTGCGCGCGACAGCGACACGAGAACATTGGTTTTTCGCAGAGAAAGGGGCGGGGTCTGCTGGTTGACATTTTGGTCCTAACAAAGCTGTTTTAAAAAGTGATTCTTTTTAGCTGGGATGTCATTTATATACTATCTCAAGTGCTGGATTACCTTGTCGGGGAGATGATAGATTGCAACGATATCGTGATCTGCGGTACCTTTACGCAGCTATGATCTTGAAGGTCTGAGCTGAACTGTACGCGATGACCATAGACTACCTTAGCCCTTCTCCACTAAGTCAAGAACCCGGTACTGGTCATATAAGGTCACTCCTGGCCATAAGGCTATAGATGGCGCGTAGTCCATACAAATTGCCGCTCCTGCTCAGTACATTGGAAAACAGCCAGCCACTCCAACACTGATTAAAATACACACACGCACGTGCCTTAGCACCATATTTTTCCCTTCTCTTAGCGCTTGGGCCATGGCTTATAGCACGTAATCTTCTAAGTTCCTCAGCTGCCAGCCCTGCGAAGCGGAACATCAAGACTGATTGACTTATTAACATTAGGGCCTAAATAACGCTTATAATGCAGTAATAAGCTGCTTTCTAAACTCCCCTACCCGCTTCCTTATAAGTCGTAGCGAAGCTAACGTGACCTTAAACTTATAGAACGTCTCAAAGATTCGGCGTAGTAGATTAGTTAGGTATATATCCGTGCCTTTCCCTGGACCCCTCACAGATAAAGAGAATAATGAATAAGAGAGAAGGAAAACCAAGTCTTTATTTCTCAACTATTAGTGCTGGGAAATTCTAGTGATTATTTATCTCAACATTACACATCCATACCCTTCCGGTCCCTACACCTATACCGATCATATTCCCCAATACAGCTGAACAGCAAGGTCGGTAGTCTGAAGGTAGCCAGATTATATTATGTGAGTCGTGTGTTATCCATATTTTATCTGGGCTTAGTGTAGTGGCTTGGTACATCGGGGATTTAGGCTCTGGGTTAGTGGTGGTGTTTGATGATGGTAGTAAATCGAGATTAATAACACCGATGTTGGTCAAAAGGCCAGAGCTAGAAGCATTGAAAGACAGGGTCTGAAGTGAACAGCCGATATCGAGCGTCTGCAGGCACGCGCCGCTGCCCACGTCCCAGATCTTGATTGTCTTGTCATACGACGCCGACGCAAGCCACCTCGAGTTGGGAGAGAAGGCCACCGAATAGACCCAACCACTATGGCCCTCAAGCGTCTGCAGGCACGCGCCGCTGCCTACGTCCCAGACCTTGACTGTCATGTCATCCGACGCCGACGCCAGCCACCTTGAGTCGGGAGAGAAGGCCACCGAGTGGACCCCACCCCTATGGCCCTCAAGCGTCTGCAGGCACGCGCCACTGCCTACGTCCCAGACCTTGACTGTCATGTCATCTGACGCCGACGACAGCCACCTCGAGTTGGGAGAGAAGGCCACCGACAGGACCCCACCGCTATGGCCCTTAAGCGTCTGTAGGCACGCGCCGCTGCCTACGTCCCAGACCTTGACTGTCATGTCATCCGACGCCGACGCCAGCCACCTTGAGTCAGGAGAGAAGGCCACCGAGTAGATCGAATAGCTATGGCCCTCAAGCGTCTGTAGGCACGCGCCACTGCCCAGGTCCCAGACCTTAATTGTCTTGTCATACGACGCCGACGCCAGCCACCTTGAGTCAGGAGAGAAGGCCACCGAGTAGATCGAATAGCTATGGCCCTCAAGCGTCTGTAGGCACGCACCGGTGCCTACGTCCCAGACCTTGACTGTCATGTCATCCGACGCCGACGCCAGCCACCTCGAATTGGGAGAAAAGGCCACCGAGTGGATCGAATTGCTATGACCCTCAAGCGTCTGCAGGCACGCACCACTGCCTACGTCCCAGACCTTAACTGTCCTGTCAACTGACCCCGACGCCAGCTGCCTCGAGTTCGGGGAGAAGGCCACCGAGTAGATCCCACTGCTATGGCCCTCAAGCGTCTGCAGGCATGCGCTCCAGTTCTCTCCCATTAGCGGTTTTATTGAGATCCATGGCGGTGCTTCCTTTTCGAATAATCTCCGGACTAAACTGTTCTTAGGGCTAAACATTAGAGCTGACACATATACTTGAAGAGGCGCCGCCTCTATCGCCCCTTTGTGATACATGATAAACCTACGCGCATCTTTGACTAGATTGAGCAATATAGGAGTGCCTGTTTGTTTCTAGGTGATGTTAGCCTTCTCTATATATAGGATAGCACTTCAGACATTACATATATGAGAGCTTCAAGTGCTGCCATTGATGCTACTCCCTTTGGGATGCTCTTGCTAAGGCTGAGCGCCTCCATCCAATAGAGGTATTTCCGTCGGAGGAATTTGTCAACGAGTCCTCCTTCCTGTAGCTCAGTAAGGTGTCCTGTGGTAGCGAGAGAATTGGAGCTCTGCAGATGATCCACCCAGTAAATGGTCGAGTAGCGTGTTTTTTCTAATGGATCGGGATCTGGCCGTAGGACCTGCTCGATAGTACACCCAGGCGCACCTAGGCTGTACATGTCTCGTTGAAGTGAGTTGGACAAAATCTGGAGGGACCTGGAAAAAACTGCATAGTGCGCGCTATCCCTGCCAGACGGGAAAATAGTGTTGGCAGCCTTCTCGATTAGAAAGTCTTTTGCGGACTGGTGCACGAAGTAGACAATGCTCTCTCGCGTGGTAAGAAATGAGCCGCAGCGTCTAATAATGTCTTGTACAGATTCGGGGTCATCTGCCGTATCTTCGAATTGCTCCACAAGCGTAACTATCTCTTGTAGCGTAAGCGGCCGATATGTAATAGCGGCTACGGCTAGTATTTCTTTGCAAAGTTCGGCATCGTCTGAGTCGACTATGTGTTGCACCATCTGTTCGTACAGCGAGTCAAGCCCAGCGGGAAAGGCGCTTAGCTTCTTTCGAACATGCCGCTTCGGGACGGCTTTGAGGCCCTGGCACACCAACGCTACCCAAAGGAAAATGCCATCTGCATTCGAAGATAGATGGTGCTGCACTACTTTCTTCGTTGTGTCGTCGTACTTGTTTCTCTGCGATAGGTGAATCACCTTCTGTTGAATGAATATGTCGACGGCGGTAGATACAGATTCCGCGTTTACCTCAAGGCTCAGTCCCACCCCATGCCCCACCGTCGCAAGCTGCTGCTCGATTTCTGGCCAATTACGGCTAGATATGATCCATTTGACGCGGGACGATGCAGAAGATTGCTCGATAATAAAGTCTAACAGTAGGTCGCGGTCTACCACACATTCGTCGAGCGCATCAACAATTAAGTGCGTGCGCTGTATACTGGGGTCTTGCAGAATATTCGTGAAGATCTCGCGTAGAGCAACCCATGCATTTGCGTCTTCGAAGAGTTCTCGGCCTGCGCGGTCATGCTTGGCCTGGATATGAGAGACCAGCGAAGGCTGCTGGTCAACAAGCAAGTACAACAAGCCACGCAGCACGGCTGTGGCACTGTTAATGCGCGAGTCTGTGGCCTGACAGAAAAAGTAAGCAATAAGAGTTGTTAAAGCCATGTGCTCCTCTAAATCGTCGACAATGCCACAGAGTAGCATCGTCTTTCCCTTGCCAGGATCGCCCTTGATCCATAGCAGACGATTCTGCTGGTTGTCGCGCCATTGGCCAAATTTAGGATTCTGGAGGATCCAACGGTACGCGTCCTTGAACAAGCCGCCCTTGGTGTCTTCAATGCGCTTCTTATCATGCCGCGGGTCGGTGAGCCGCAAGTCTTGTAGGCAGCGCTTCAGCTTGTCAATCTGGTCCTGGAGCCGCCTGAATGCACTCTCGACTCCTTCATCGTAGTTGAGCATCATATTGACGTCGAAAATACCCAGCAGAGCGTACGCTCTATCGACTGCTTTCTTCGTCTGGCGGCGCTCCATCCATGAAAATCGCTCATAGTCGCTAAAAGAGGATAGACGCGTGCCTTGCAGCGCAGAATCCGGGATTCCAGTTATCTCCCGGATCTGCCGCTTCAGCGATGCCTTGTCGCCAATCTTTTCCCAGTGGCACGAAAAGAACTCGACCATACTGGGCGCAAGCAACTCTTGAAGCGTCCACCCGCGGCTGAACCACTCGCTCTTTCGGAACTCAAATTCCCATAGCGGTGGATCGGTCCTATCCTCGCTGTTTGACGGGGCCTTCGAGACGTCCGATAAGTACACATAGCATCGAGCTGCATCACGGTACCAGCGAAACATGGAGTTGATAGCGTGCGCGAGTTCGGCATAGTCTTCCTTATCAATGCAGCATGTATCGACCCAGAAATACTCCAGACCATCGCGAACAGCCTGTTCCGCGCAGAGCTGGATCTTTCTATAGCCAGTCTTACTCTTTCCCGTTCCGTTCATTATATCTTCCAAGGTCACCTCTTCGTTATCTTGACCTCATCTGTGAGAGAGTATGGCATAAGGAGGTATGGCCCCGTCAATGAAACGAGTGAGACTGTAATCATTCTCACTGTGGCGTCGTAAAAGGCGCATGTTCGTGCGTAGAGCGGAGTGGGGAGCGGTAGGACCCGATGGCGGCGGGGTCTCAGGGTGGCAGCCTAGCTGAACGGAGCAACATCTATTGCTCGTCTGGCGTTGATTCGAGTACTGAGTATTCAGATTAGCGACCGCCTTAGGAAGACGCTACTGAAAAGTTACATGTAACGTTGCAAAAGTGTAGAAACGCTGCGCTTATCTGCCACTAGTCTAGTTACTAGTAGGAGGGTGCAAAGCATCTAGGCTGTGGAGAGCGGCTAGCTGCACATCGCGAGACCAATAGTGTGGCGCAGCAAGGTTATCTTAGTCAGCAAGCATATGGGGAAACTGGTTTCGCCGAGGCCAGGTGTAACCATATGTAAGACCTATGCTTCTGATCGCGCCATGCTAACTTCCACTACTTCATATATAGGTGCCACTGGGGCTCTGTAGGGAGCTGCTGCACTCGTCTTCTCCATCCGGCTGACTCTATTGCCTCTGAAGACTCATCTGTCGCGGTTCGCAGAGCGGTTCGATTTTCAACCGTGTTCTTGCTTGCCTTTGGCTTCTGTGGTAGCCTTCTTCTTAGCACGCTTCGCTTGTGTAGTCTCGATAACCTCATATCTCATCACCCTTCCCTTGCCGAGTATTTCTGACTTAGTCTTCCGTTGAGGAGAAGGAAGTACGGGCTGCCTGATACAAATGCGCCATTTTTAGTTCTACAAGTGTGGGGAAGTATCTACAAAAGGCTTCAAAGAGGATATTTTTCCGGTACGCTGGGTGTTCCGGGAGGCTTGGGTATACAGTATTCAGAGAAGTAATAGTGTATAGTGGTTATTAATCCACAATCGGCCCGGTTACGTCCTCCGAAAGTTACGTCACCGCCGAGGTGATTGACGAGCACACCATTTCCATCACGCATTGCTACCAAGCTTTAATAATTTTACATACAGCGCGCCGCTACAACTCGGAACTGATAGTTTCATACCTGCAGCGCATAGCTTCATCTCTAGATCTTTTGTTCACATTGCACGTCGTCTTTCTACATTATGGCCCACAACGTCCTCCTCATCGGTGGCCACGGCAAGATCGCCCAGCTCCTGACGCCTCTTCTACTTGCACGGTCATGGAATGTTACGAGCATGATCCGTTCAGCAGACCAGACAGCTGCTATTGAGAAGCTTGGTCAAGGTCAGCCGGGCAAGCTCAGCGTCCTAGTTAGCAGCGTCGAAGACGTGCAGACAGAGAGCGACGCTCAGAAAATATTGGACCAGGTGAAACCCGACTGGGTTGTCTGGAGTGCTGGTCAGTCTTTCCGTGATCTCGAGTTCCAGCTTGCCAGGGCCACAGCGGCGTCGCGTGAAAGGAACTCATTCCTTTGACTCTTGTTCGATGCAGACGGTCCGCTGACTCAATGCAGGTGCTGGCGGCCGAGGTGGCCCCTCTCGAACCAAGGCCGTGGACCAGGACGCCGCTGTTGCGTTCACCAAAGCCAGCATTCACGCTCCCAGCATCAAGAAGTTCCTTACTGTGTCCTACATAGCATCCCGCCGCAACCGCGCCCCTTGGTGGACGGATGCGGATTGGGAAGCAGCGCAAAAAGTGAACAATGAGATCTTGCCGCATTATTACAAGGCCAAGGTCGCTGCCGACGAAGTCTTGACGGTGCTTGCGAAAGAGCGATTCGACGCAGAAGCGAAAAAGGGCGTGCCCGAGAATGAGCGCTTTGCTGGAATTAGTTTGAGACCAGGAACTTTGACTGATAAGCCGGCTGGTGGCGTCACCGTCGGAAGAATACCCTCTCGTGGTGACACTAGCCGCGCTACGGTCGCAGAGACGGTGGTCGCTGTCTTAGATACGGAGGGTGCAAAGGGATATATCGACGTTCTTGATGGCGACGAAGACACTGTTGGGGCAATCAAGCGACTTGTCAAGGAGGGCATCGATAACGTGGAGGGCGAGGATTTTGAGGATCAGAAGAAGAGAGCTTCCCAGCTATGATGACGCGAAGTCCCTGTTAAAGCAGTCTTAAACGTCGTCGCAGGCATAAAATGTAACACGGGATCAACTCTATCATTGATACAGCTATGACCCACAAAATGATAACTGGATCACTGAAAGGGCTTCACGTAGTGGTAAATGAAAGGCTTGTTCGACCCTCTGATACTCATCAACATTGAAGACAACGTTGTCTCGGTATTCCAGTGATCTTCAATAAACAAGCGTTGACTTCACTTATCACGCTCACCCTCAGCCACTGATCTTCTGGGATCTTGAAATGAGTCAGGATTCACTGTTGACCTTCGCTTGTTGTGCTTTGTTCGTGAAGGTTGATTCATATTGAAAGGGGATACATGACTGTACATACCCAATTGCTTAGATTATAGATAGGGCTCTGCATATCTGGTCGACATCTATGATGAGATAATGGCCTGCTCCCTCACGTATATCACAGACGGCCTGGCAAATCATGGAAGACCAATTTCATCCCCTCAAAAGGAAGACAACGATTCAGAATTTGTCACGTCGCTGGATCGAAAGAATTTCTTTACCGTTGTTTACAACTGGGATGACCACAAAAAAGATCTCAGTCCGTTAGAGACATCGGACGGAACCCCTGACAAAGTGTGGTTCCTCGAATTTGAAAAATATAGCAAGCACGTCACGGATGATAACCACGGACAATGTAAGAGTATTGGGGAGGATAGAAAACAAATAGGTTTCGTTTGGAACGACGATAGGAACTCTAGACTTCGTGAAGTTCTCCAAAAACTCAAAGCAAAGCGCAAAGCCACCATCACCAGAATCACAACAGTAGCTGAATATGAAGCCCTCACCCGGGATAAGTTTTTCCATCGGGGATCAATCACCTTTATCAAAGCCGCCCGCACCCGAGTCCGGACGGAAGGCGTAGGCTTCTATTGTATCCCAGCGGGTGAGTACCAATCGAGCCAAAAGCAAATGAGCATTGACACTACACTTCAAGTTTACAACCGATATGTGGCATGAAACCGAGTAAAGCAGCTGATAGGAAGTGCTTGCTCATGTTGTAGAAATGCTTACCCGCGAAAGCCAAGCTAGCTCTCACCGCCCTCGTGAACCCTCGGGAGATCTGCACTACACCCGGGCTCGATGACAATATGCAATTGTCCTATATTGCTCTGGTAAGCTAATGAGACAGTAGTGTATCAGTAAGAAATAGCCTGTAATCATTTGAAGCCCAAGTACCTGGGGCTCTACCTAGCTAAACAGTGACGTGAAGTTCAGAGAGTTGGGATCCATCCCAGATTAAGCAGTGGTAGTGCATGTGTCTCAGCTTGCCATGTCTCGAAATCTTCATATGTGATTATAAGCATCTGCATGTCGAAGGGAACCCGGGGCGTTGCGGGGATGTCTCGTAAATAGATCACGAGCACAAACTTCCTCAAGTGAAATGCAGCGCCGGACTGGGTCGCACTGCGGTGTCTGAAATCTTCAGATCGTATCGCAATCTGAATAAAGTTTCACAATGATTAGAAGAGGTTGACCACGAAAGCGCATGGCCTATGATATATAATGTATCGGCAACTTTATTGTGTGTTTACGGTCAACTGGTGATATCGAACACTGTTTGTACCAAGGTATAATGCTAACATAAAAGAGGGCTCGTGGCTGACTAGGGTATCTGGATTATCAGACTTTCTTGCCACTTTTCTCATCGTTGTCCCAAACGGTGAGGCTGTGTACCTCGTGCCTCCATGAGGGCACATTTCACAAAGCGCCTCGCGGGTAGAACATTCCACTTGAGCACGAGCAGCGGGGGAGGGTAGCAAAGTATGGCCAGCTTCTCAAGTGCACCTAGGCATCAAAAAATCCTTCCCTGTCTCTGGAAGAATCAACTCACTTTCCTCTACTCTTCTTTACTTTGCTGTGGGCAATCTGTCTAAGCACGACACTATTCAAATGCAAAAGATAAACCAACCGGTCTGCACTGCTTCCCACACTCAATAATACACAGCACAACCTCCATGCCTTCACTTCAGCCTTCCACGACCGCCTCTCCGCAGGGCTGCGTTGCAAAACCTACTACTTCGTGCTTGATGAAGAAACCACACCCATACTCACACGAGACCTCGCCATGCGAACGAAACACTACATTGAATCGCTACAAGGCGTTCAATCCTGTTGTCAGGCCTTAGACATTACCCTGAACTTCGCGGCGTTAGGCCCTTGTGTGGCACGCGAAATTGTAGAAAGTTTTTATAGGAGGATCACGCATGGAGTTGGATTACTTCAAACACTTTCTACGTATTTGGAAGCGGGTTTATTCGAGGTGGGCGTGCGGCCGTGCGACGCGGCGCTTTCTGCGATGGAGATATGCATAAATCGGGACGACACCGATGGGTCAGAGATACAAGGACTGTTCGAGCCACTGCTACGGCCTGAGTAAACATGGGCGAGGAACTTCGAACCCAATTTGGTGCTACCTGTCACGTTCCCGCTTCGTCTTGGTCTCCGCAGCTTGGACGTAAGAACACGACTCCAATCACAACGGTCCTAGAAGCTCTTCGTACGCTGGACGTTGTGGGCCAGAATGCTGAGGCGAAGAGCATTGGTGCAACGGTAAACGTCCCGTTGTTCGACTTGCTAAGTGACATGCGTTACACCGAACTGCCATTTGCCATGCAAGATGTGCACGCTGTTTGCAAAGCGTGCAGCCAGGAGGAATTTGAGGCCAACTGCAAGGCAGACACTCAAGAATCACGCGAAAACCAATATAGCGACAATTCCTCGCGTTTCTTCGTTGCTCAATTGGGAATTCAAAAGCTTCGTATAAGGCATAGTTGTGAGTCGAAGGCGGGTGGATGAAAGCAGCGCAACCCGCTACTCCATAAACAGCCCAGGCTCTCGAAGTTGCGGATTGCCTCACTGTTCTGTACTGTAATAACATGAACATTGTCAACATCAAAAAGAACTCCTGGCCTCTTTGAAATCTTTGAACGCTCATATCATTAAAAGTGGTATCTCGAAAGAGTGTTGGTATCTCCGCGCATGCAACCATCTGAACCGAAACCCCCAAAACACATGCCCCACATAAATCCCAAAGCCAGCATATTTCTCGTACCTACACGTACATCTATCATTACCCGAGACTCCAATTGCTTTGCCCATGCACATGTCGCATTACGGGTCGGCGCTCTTCGGATTCTGTACCAGATAGATATCTGGCACCTTGGGTACCTGTGGACTCTTTTGCAGCGCCTGTTTCACCGCTTCTCGCATCCGTTCTTTTTCTCGGTTGTCGCTGCTGCTCCCCGTAAGCCTTCTCATCCCACTTCGGATCTTGCTTCTTGTGTCTTGCTTTAGCCCTCCAATCACCGTCTCGATACTGAGTTTCTCTGTACTAGCGCTCGCAGAGATGGAGCGTCCGACGGCTAAATCATCGTCGGAAAATGGTTCACCGTGATCATCAAATGCTGAGGAGGAAAGAGCGGGAGACAGCCGCTGCGTTTGATTCGGCGCTGAGGGTGACGTAACTGAACGCGAGTGTAGCCCTGGACGTCCAGGTGGGGCGGGTGGAAGATGATGTTGGCCAGATGTGAACGAGCTGAATGCTCCGGGATTCATCACGCCCGGATCACGCGCTGGAGAAAGTTTGACGTCTGAAGAGCCGAACTGGAAAGAGCTCACACTGCCGTTTCGGGTGAGAGACTTGTGCAGAATGGGCGCAGTCTGCTGGTCGTAGAGATTCTCTCGGACGTCTTGTGAGCTATGTGGGTACAGTCCGTTTCCATAGCGATTGGTTCCGAAGATCGAGCTGTCTGGTAGATCGGTCAAAATTTCGTTTTCATCATCGTCTTCGAAGAAATCATCTAGACTGTCCAACTTCATCACCAACTCGCCAATGTGGCTTTCCCCGCGTGTGTCTTCAGATGTCATTGTCGCAGTGCGGTAGTCTGATACGGGGCTGAATGGGAATTCATCCTGGCGGAACTCGATTTTCGGTGTTGCAACGTCTGCAGCAGTCTCGGCGTCAAGGTTACTGCAAGTGTAGAACACTGCATGCACATTGGTGCGAGTAAGATGTGAATGGTGTGCGGGCACTGGAATCGACCAGCCAGTCTCCTCAGGAATGCCGTAAAGTGACTGTGTTGTGCCAAACTGCTTTTTGAACGCTCTGCTGGTATTTGACCCTGCCATACTCATGCGGATATGAGCTCTCTCTAGGTTTGGCGGTTGAGGTCCGCCTGTTACGTCTATGACCGAGTCCAGCACTTGTAGGGCATAGCCACACAGGTCGGTTTGAAGGAGACGTAACAGAGGCGAGATAACATCCGGGCCCCGGTGGGCGATTTCCGGCTTTCGCATCTCGATCTTCTTGATTAATAGAGTGAGCACTTGCATCGTGTTGATCTTGAACCAATCGAGCTTGTTGGACAGAAGCCCCAAAAGGAAGACGAGACTGCTGAATTCCAACTGAGGAAAGTAGTACTCAACAATTGCGTCCAACACTTGCCTCAAGAACTGATCGCCTTGCCGCGAGATTTTCCTGGCAAAAGCGGATAGAGATGATGCAAGGTCATCAACCTGATGCTCGAGCGCCACTTGTGCAAGGACTTCTGCGCTGTCTCGGACTGCAGGATCTTTGCCCGGTTCTTCGAAAGCACGCAAGAATCGCGGCAAGTTTGCGAGAACAGCAAATGTGAGACGACTCTCATCCCCTACAAGCTCACTGGAAGGTAGGATCACAAGCCGTTCGAGCAGGCGCAAAGATCGATCCAAGCACAGACTCGAACGTACACCTTTGAAGACAAGCTGAAAGAGGCCCTCAAAGTCCCCTTCCCATTTCGGGGGACGACTTTTCTTCAAAAAGACCAGAACATCGGGGTTGCTCAAGTCGACCTTATCCAAGAACTTGTCCAGCATCAGCATGCTCTCCATAAACTCCCCTTCATGTATGGTGTCCAGGCATGCACATGTGGTCCAAAAAAGCTGAGGGTATTTGAGCAGGTCTTCTGGTTGAAGGGCTTCGATGATTGCTCGGAGGGTCGTGAGAATTTCCATCGAAAACGTTTGAATGTCGCTCTCGTCATCCGAGATAGTATTAGAAAGTCGTGCCAGCATATCGGAGAGCATTGCCTGATCCAGTGTACTTAGAATGCACCGAAACAGCTGGAAAGACCGACAGGCCAAGTGACGAACAGGGCAGGAAGTCGCCCAATTCAGCGCCACTTTTCCCCATGCTTCGCGGAGCCCAGGGTTTGTGAATGAAAAGAAACGCATGACTTCGTTCGCAACGTGCGTCATCGAATCAGGCACCTTGTTACCAGAGTCCTCGGAGTCTTTGCCATTTTTGTCGTCGTAATTCCAGACAATTTTAGAGTCGTGCTGTCGTACGTTCTCAATGAACTCTTCAATAGCACTCTTGTCTATACCGACAGTATTGTCATCTTCAATCTTAGATATGACGAGCTCGTGGATGAGATGGACGAGCATTTCCCGGGCTTGATCCTGAACGACAGGAGTATAATGGTCCCAGAGCACCAGCACCACTTGGAGGAGAAGTGGCAGGTGTTCGCTGCCAAGCTGCAGGGGCGAGACCATAAGGTCAACAAGTAGTATCAGACACACCTGACCAAGGGAGAATCCGGACTACGAAATGTTAGTGCCGTATGATTGTGGGTTTGTTTTCACTCACCTGCTTGTTGCTCGTAGGCAGCAGGGCGCCAAGGTCCGCAAGGTAGGGAAGGTTGATCGCATCCGGAGGAGGAGGGCTAGGCTCTCGTTTTTCATGTACCATAGAGCGAGGGTTGATCTGAAGTAGCAGAGCCTCAACAACTTTCGCACCTGTCCCGGCCAGGTGCACCACAATTTGTTTGGAATAGTCGACGAAATTTTGTTCGCGTTTATCAAGGCAGAGGTTGATGATGAAGTTAAGGATCAGTTGTACATTGCCCCCGGAGCCCGCGGCTAAGGCTTGCCAGAGAGCCTGGATCTCATTGTGTAGAGCGCTACTGCAACGAACGGTAATCTCGAAAAGATTGACCAAAAGCATGTACGAGCTCGCTGTAGGGCCACCGTCGGGATTCAGCTGCAACTCCACACTTTGAATCCATGGAAGCATAGCTGCTACCATGTTACGTTGGTGATCGGGCTGCAGCTCCTTGAAATAGTACGAGAACTGTGAGAAGACCATGAACGCGAGCTCTGCGTGTTGATGTGCGAGCCGTCGGGAGACTTCGAACTGGGCAAGTTTGTAAACGGCGATGGTTTTGTCGGATATACTAATGTCAAGATCTTGAAGTTTTGAGTTCTTCTGTTCGCGAGCTTCCAGCGTTCGCAGCAGGCGCGCTGATTTCATACGCAGCTCGTTGTTCTCGTGACCGAGGGTGTAGAGACCCGCACTAAGCACTTTCCAGTACGGCAAAGTGTAATCTTCTCGTTGTGTGAGTACTTGCGTCACAACCTCGAAATAACTTTCAAGTGCCTTGGAGGATTTTGAAATGTAGCACATCTCGATGGCGCGCTCGAGGAGATATGGATGTTCGCGATTATGAAGGATCAGATTGGTCAATGCCCTCCGACCAATTGCATGAGTCCTGTCGCTGGGTGTCTCAAAGATACCGTCAATCCATGAGAGCATGCGCCGGACATCAAACTGAAGAACGACTTTGCTATCTGTCGTGATGCTGATGGGACCGCCGCAAAGGGTAGCCATTGCGCTGAGGGCGGCTGTACGAAGATCTCGTTTTTCGATTTCCATGGCAGCAGTGGCAATGCCTTTGCTGCTCATGTCAGCCTCACGGTCGAGCATAGATCGCCTCATGTTTTCTTCTCGCTGTCGGATTTGTGGCTGGTTGGCTGAGTAGCCGCACCAATCCTCCATCAGCGTAAAAGCTGCCTTTCGAGCCTGGAAAGGCATCCACTGCAAGGGATCAGGCGTCTTGTTAATTCCTTCAAAGAGGACTTCTACTAGGCCACAGTAGTGAGTACGCAGTTTCTGGAAGCCCCACTCGTTCTGCACTTCTGCGTCGCTGAGGAAGATTCGAAGGTCTTTAGTATAGTTGACAAGGTTGTTGAGAATCCAGTCATCGTTGTAAGCTTCTGGTAGCTTCAGGAATTGCGAGGTCAGCTTGTAGACATGAGTGAGTTCCGTTCTCAAGTGGTCTGTCCGTCGATTGCGCCGAGGGCTGCTGATGGTTCGAGTGTGCGATCCCAGCCTTGTCTTTGCTTCTTCGGCGCAAGCTGCCGCTTGACCATGCAATGACTCCAGTAAGGTACGGTATAAGTTGATATTGATCGAGCCCAGCCCAACGACGGTAGCGTCGCGCACCGCAGAACTATCGGAGGCAAGAAACGGTAGCACCCGTGCAAATAGTTCGCTTGCCGTATAGACCTTATTGGAGCTCTTTTGTGATGACTTGGAACTTTTCCTCGAGTGCTGTGCAGATGCACTTGCTACGGACTGGTTGTTAACGCCGAGGTTGGTCAATGTTGTGAATGCGAAAATCAAATAAAGCTTCCATTGCTCGACAAAGATCTCTGGGGCCGTCGATGGCATGCGATTGGCAGCTTTGTTCATAGCAGAATCGAAAGATGCATAGGGACTGGCTTTCGGGCCTTCAGTTATCGAGATCAAAGTTCGATGCATCTGGGACAGGCGAGCGCAAACAATGTCGCGCGTTAGGGTGACTGCAAAAGGACAGACCTCAAAACTGATGCGCACAAGATTGGGAAAGACCTTGAACCAGAGCGTTGAGTCGTAGGGTACATCGCTGCTGCAAAGCTCCACAAGTGTACTCTGAACGTTGCTCTTGCGCATACCTCGCTGCAGACGGGTCCGTTCCGCAAGAGAAAGCTTTTCGTCGCTGATATCCATAACCTTTTGTGGGCTTCCCTCCATCACGCGGATGATTCTGGTATTGGAGCCTCCGAGTGCGGTATCGAACTCTGTTATGAGGCGTAGTACAGTTACAGCGTAAGCTCTTACTCGGCGGGACGGTGAACACAGGAAGAAAAGACCGTGAGATTCAACTTCATCGACGTGTGCCCAAACTGATGACAAGTCCAAATGGATGCCTCTGTTTCCCATACCGTCATCAGGGGTGTCTAAAGCCGCTTTGCGGGTTTTCTCTTTGATCTCTTCAATCCATATCTCGAGCAGCTCAACATAGAGTTTGAGCGTTCTTTCAATATGGCCTGGGCCAAGCATACCGCCATCGGACATGGTGGAATAACGATCATCGAAAGTAAAGATGAACCGTGCGAACGCAATCGTGACTTGTTGGGCAAAGGATTGACGAGCGATAGACTTGAGAGATTGCGCAGATGAGGTCGCGATGTTGCCATGGACATGAGCTGTCCCTGTACATAAGAGATTAACAAGAGAACTGAACGGGATGTGAGGTGACAGGCAGCGAGGCAAAGCCTGGACAGCCACGTGCAAAAGGTCATAAAACCCTTGTCGCGGATCGGTGGGGGTCTGGTCCTCTCTTCGAGCGAAGCTAAAAGCTTCAGACATGGGTGTCTTTGGTGTTTGAAGGGAGAATTTCTCGTCTAGTACTGCTTGCCCACCGAACGCATTATCGCAGATGATCGTGATGTCGCCTAGAATCTTACAGAATCGAACATAATATTCTTTGGCTATTTCAGGGAACCCAGAAAAGTTCACGGGGCGGGAGAGGCGTTCCTCCTTAGTTGGAAGCAGTGACCTCATTGCTGGATGCTGCAGAGGGTGTGGGCTGACGATTGGCTGTGGATGGTTTGTTGTAGTAGAAGCGTTGGTTTCTGGTGCGAACGGGCTGGGGAAAGGTGGATGTTGAATCTCGCTCGCGTTCTCGAGATCCGTCATAATGGCAAGGAAAGATCGGATGCCGATGACCATGCGGTCGGGGTCCAAATTTTCAACGCGTAAGTCCCGCCCAGAAGTGAATGTTTCTGCATTGAGCAGCGGGAAGATTATGGCCCTAAAACAGACATCTTGGAACTTGAAACCAATGATACGGGTCAGTTGGATAAAAGGCTCCGCAATGGCAGGTTCTGTTGACAGGTACGATCGCTTGCCAGGTTGATATACCATACGGATGATGTCCTCCAACTTTCGCATAGCAACATTCGCAGGATCGGGGGCAGCCCTGTAGAGGTAGCTCCAAACCAGCTGGCATATTCCTTTTAGAGCAACGGCTCTCGTTGCACGCTCTTTCAACCTTGGTTGTGTTGACAAAGCAAGCGGTAACCACTGAGCCGCAAAGGTGTCAGCCGGTGATACGCAAAGTATGGCACACATGAGTGGAAACGCCTCTTGCCAGTGTTTGGGTTTGCTCAGAAGTAGCGATGCTCTCGATTTAAGTATGTCGATGACGCTTTTCCATCTAGGCGTACTGAACTGCGGCATGGTTTCCGATGCAATTCGGAGAAGAAGATCTCGGAGCACTTGGCAATATGCGTATTTGATTGTCTGGCCGTGGGCATTGGCGAACAACTTCGCCAATGAGAACATAAATTCGCATGTGCGGTCCCATAGATCCACGGGCGTTGTTTTCACGCGTAGGTACCGCATCCCTCGGACGAGGAGTGCGCCCTTGGCTTCGACCTCTCTACTGGACTGATTCTTGATGGAGTACTGCGTGTACTGGGAGTCGATGCCTTTTAGATCCGCAACAAATTTCTCTTGCACACTATGAAAGATCAATTCGCTCAATTCCCCCAAAAGTTGGCTGTAGATGACCCAGTTAGCTTTGTGCACCGACGACTCCTCCGCTTGTTCCGGGTCCACGGTATTCAACTGGTTGTAGAAAAGGCTCAGGAGGCGTTCAGCCATGTCGAGGGTCAGAGAGTCCAACGTCGTTTGGTTGATGATCTGAATTAGTACCCGGCATAGTATATACGTAGAAACGGTCGAACGCTGTTCGGCCTGAGCTACAGTCTGCTGCAGCGCAAGCATATATTCCGGACTTGTTGCGGCAGCGGCAGCAGCATGGGGATCGCCGAGCTGAAGAGGCTCCGTGTTGCGGCGGGGGAGCACTGACTGCGGGAGCGAAACTGCCTGACGGGCGTTGGCGAGCTTGATGCGCAGCTGGGTGGCATCCTCGCTCTTCCCTTTCCGCCAGATCATGATGGTGTCGATCAGCGACTTGGGTTTGTTCTTGGCAATGTGGCCCAGAGCCCATATGAGCTGGTCAAAGTTGGGGTCGACTCCCGGACCGCATATTCGCTCCACCCTGGCTTCCGGCTGGCCGTGGTCTGACATGCACTGGCTTATCTTCAGGTCTGCCTGGGGGATGAAGGAGTTGAAGAGGTGGTGCAGGGCGTACTCGCCGACCGTCTTGAGCTCGTGCTGGGCCTGATGGCGAGACTGCGAGCGGTGGTGGTGGTGCCCGCCCTTCCGCGACCTCGCACTCTGTGCGCGCTCCGGCCTCCGGTGGGATACACTCGCGTCGGTTGCCACGGAGCCGGTGGGCGCATGGCCATGGCCGTTGGCGGCGGGTGCTGGTGCGCCCTTGGCCGCGAAGGCTTCGGCTATCGTCTCCTGCGACATGGCGGTTCCATCGAGCGAGGGGCCCTGGGCGGCGATGACTTGGGGGCTCAGCGGGCTGGTGGCCGGCGAATTGACGAAGCTCGTGTTGCGCGAGTGCTGGATGCCATGCACGATGGAGGTCTGGCGGTTGTGGGCATACGGCAGCGAGGCCTTGCGCTCGAGGCTTCGGTCGGGGCTCGAGTTGCTGCTGGGGGTGAGGACAGGCGTCTGCGAGCGCGGCGAGAGGATGCGCGAGGATGCTGTCAGCGCTCGCCCCCGTGTCACCGAGGGCTCACGGGAGGGGATGCTGGGCCCCTCTATGTGGTGCGGCGAGTTCCCAGCGGGTGGACGGCCTTGCGCCAGCGGGGATGGAGCAGCTGCAAGAGATCACAGGGGTCAGCCAGGCACAGGGAAGGAGAGGGTAGGCAGAAGGCTGGTGTTGATATAAACTCCGACGTGCAGCCCAACCGCGCTTCTGCTGCGGCTCGCGGCAGACGGGCTCTCGTCCTGAAGCATGCACTGAAACGGCGCAGAGGAAGGGCCACTCACACATTGCCGCCGGCCGCTTCGGATCCTCATCTGGGGGCACTGCAGTGCGGCCGGAGGGGGCTCTGGGCCGAGCGCTGGGGACGGGAGGAGGGCGACGAGAGGTCCTGGGTGTTTGTCATTCGGTCGGTCACTGTGCATGCCAGACAAAGCGCCAGAGGTAGGGACGAATTCGCCTGCGCCGCACTAATCCGCTTGCAAGATAGCCACCGGTATTCCCCACGCCGGGCGATCTGCGTGCTGGCGGGCCCGCGTCTACGGGACGTCGCCATGGCTGCCCTCTCTACTACTGCGCAATACCCAGCAGTGCGTAGCGCCCAGGGCGCGCGCGATGGGCGGTATGCTGCGTGGGCCGAGGGGCGCCGCCGTGCGCCGAGTGCCCACCGTGTCTGTAGCTGTTGGGCGCGTCCGCCAGCAGCTTCACAAGATATGCACACACATGCACAGAGTAGGCCAGTGGGCAATCACGAAGCACGTGCGCACCATCAGACGGGAAGGCCGCAGGCATCCCAAGCCGAATCAACGGCACGTCTGAAATCTGGACAGGCGGCCAGCTTGGCGGCCACCACTGCTGGACATGGACGGATTCTGGGTAGCGAGCCCGCCCATCTGATGCCCGAGGCTGTCCCGGTTGACGTCTGGATGTTTCCGCGTCTGACAGTCAGTGCTGCCACACCACACCGACGGTCAAAGAGCACGAGAGCTCACGCGCTGACTACATTGCGGATGGGCCAACCAGACCTCTCTCCGTGCAGGCGCCCGACCATCAGCACGGAAGCTCTGTGCTGACGGACTCGGTGCCCTCCGACTGGAATTCGTGACTTGATGTTCGATTCCTAAAAATTAAGTGCCCCTGCCCTGACCGTAATTTTGACCGTGTCCCTTCCGCGATTGCCAGCATTCATCCCCGTGTCCATTCTCCTGTGTGCCAGTCACTGTGTTCCTCGTACGAAGCCTGCTGGCACACTGCTCGCACACTACCCCACACGTTGCGGAAGTCTTTTTGCTGTGGGGTCTGTGGACGGCCCAATTCCGCGAACGAGCGCCGACATTCGTGCCGCAACCAGCTCCCGTCCTCCACCGAACACCCGTCACGGATCGTTGACGGCATCACTCCGACTGCCTCTGCACCGAGCTTCGTCCGGGCCAACACTCGCTACTCTGCATTCTGCATTCTTATTATATTATTGCAAGACGCGTCGCGTCCCGTTTCCGAACACTGTGACCTTTCACAAGCCTGAGCATCAGCCAACAGAGCCAGATCCCGATAAGGGTTAAGGCTCCACTCAGAGAGGGTCGGCCGCTTTGACAACCGACCTCCACCACCGACGCCCGAAACCGCATACAAATTCACCCGCGTGTTCTTCTCCGGCCAGCTCCGCTGCTTGTCCCCGTGAGTCCCTCCCTCCGCACCCCTCGACGTGCGTGCTGATGGTTCTGCCAGCACCATGGCGCAACTAGACACCCTCGACATCGTCGTCCTCGCCGTGCTACTGCTCGGAACGGTCGCCTACTTCACCAAGGGCACCTACTGGGCCGTATACGGAGACCCATACGGCAACTCGCTCGCGACCGGCAATGGCGCAGCCAAGGCGGGCAAGTCCCGAAACATCTTGGAGAAAATGGAGGAGTCGGACAAGAACTGCGTTGTCTTCTACGGCAGCCAGACCGGAACCGCCGAGGACTATGCTTCGCGTATCGCCAAGGAGGGGCATTCCCGCTTCGGCTTGAACTGCATGGTCGCGGACCTGGAAGACTACGACTACGACAACCTCGACCAGTTTCCCGAAGACAAGCTCGCCGTGTTTGTACTCGCCACCTACGGCGAGGGAGAGCCCACAGACAATGCCGTCGAATTCTACGAGTTCATTGGCGGAGACGATGTGTCCTTCAGTGAGGGCGCATCCGCCGAAGAGAAGCCGCTCAGCAAGATGAAGTACGTCGCTTTCGGTCTGGGTAACAACACGTACGAACACTACAACTCCATGGTCCGCGATGTCGACAAGTACCTGACCAAGTTGGGCGCGACCCGCCTGGGCGCCGCTGGCGAGGGTGACGACGGTGCCGGTACCATGGAAGAAGATTTTCTTGCATGGAAGGAGCCCATGTGGACCGCTGTATGCGAGGCCTTGAACTTGGAAGAGCGTGAAGCTGTCTATGAGCCGGTGTTCGAGATCAAAGAGAGGACCGACCTCTCTGCCGAGGACGACACGGTGTACTTGGGCGAACCCAACAGGAACCACTTGGAAGGATCCCAAAAGGGCCCCTACAATGCAAACAATCCCTTCATCGCTCCTATCATCGAATCCCACGAACTGTTCAACGCCGCCGACCGAAACTGCCTACACATGGAAATCGGAATCGAGGGCTCCAACCTGTCATACACCACTGGTGACCACATTGCGATTTGGCCTACAAACGCCGGGAAGGAAGTAAACCGCCTGCTGAACATTCTGGGTCTGAAGGACAAGCGTGACACCGTCATTGCAGTGAAAGGACTCGACTCCACGGCCAAGGTACCCTTCCCCTCCCCCACCACTTATGAGGCCGCCGTTCGCTACCACATGGAAATCGGCGCTGCTGTATCGCGTCAATTCGCGTCTCAGCTCGCGCAATTTGCGCCTAACGAGGACATCAAGAATGAAATGGCCAAACTAGGAAGTGAGAAAGACTACTTCCACAAACAGGTCACGGATCGCCATCTTAACCTGGCACAGCTACTTGAGATCACCTCCAAGGGCGAGCCTTGGACGAAGATTCCGTTCTCGCTCATGATCGAAGGTTTGTTGAAGATCCAACCACGTTATTACTCCATCTCTTCGTCCTCGCTTGTCCAAAAGAACAAGATTTCCATTACTGCTGTTGTTGAGTCGAGCCATAAGCCTGGCGCCCCTCACGTGCTCAAGGGAGTCACCACCAACTACCTTCTTGCCCTCAAGCAAAAACAACACGGCGACCCGAATCCGGATCCGAACGGGTTGGAGTACTGCATCACTGGTCCTCGAAACAAATACGATGGAATTCACGTTCCCGTTCACGTCCGTCATTCCAACTTCAGGCTCCCTTCGGACCCTTCCAAGCCCATAATTATGGTTGGTCCAGGAACTGGTGTCGCGCCGTTCCGTGGTTTCATCCAAGAACGTGCCGCACAGGCAAAGGCTGGCCAGCCTGTTGGTAAGACAGTTTTGTTCTTCGGCTGCAGGAAGAAGGCCGAAGATTTCGTATATGAGAAGGAGTGGGAGGTAAGATTTACACCCCCCGTCACAGTTTCTTCACATGCTTATTTTCGGTCCAGGAATACAAGCAGGCTCTCGGCGACAACTTCATTATGCACACAGCCTTCTCCCGCGACGGCCCCAAGAAGGTCTACGTCCAGCACAAGCTAGAAGAGAACGGTGAAGAAGTTAACAAGCTCCTTGAGCAGAAGGCGTACTTCTACGTCTGCGGTGACGCTGCCAACATGGCGCGCGAGGTTAACACACTGCTTGGCAAGGTCATTGCCAAATACCGGAATGTAGACGAGTCGCGGGGCGAGGAAATTGTCAAAGCAATGAGGGCATCAAATCAATACCAGGAGGATGTGTGGAGCTAGGGGAATTGCGTTGCCAAAAGGAGTACCCTTCTCTATTGTTCTCTGTGGCATGGCATTTACGATATGCGTTTTGCACAACCTAGATGGAGCGGGCGTCATAATGCGGCAACCTGGCGCGATTGTCATTGTCTGTTATCCACTTTGAGCTTTATAGAGGTTCGTTAGCTAGACTGCATAGGCTTAGCAAATTGCATAATGTAGATACAACCTTCAACCAAGGGTGCCCATGTGGTCTAGCGGTTCGGTACAGCATTTGGAGGCGATGTGCGGCAACCTTTCATTGGCGGCTTGGCGGATCGAAAGCAAGTCCAGATGTCACCTCTGCACACCTGCTCCGCACTTCCGGCCACCGTAGGTATCGGCTTGTTCATCTGACCGCTCACAACTTGCTTCTGAATATCATAATAATGTACCCGTACTTTCCGCGCCGCCTGTACGTCCCCCTGTGCGGCGATCTTATTCTCCACATGCCTAGGTAACACATACTTTCAGAATTAACCCCCTCGGCCTGAGACTTGACCTCATCCTATCATTGCCATCTGTCACGGAAAACGCACCTTCGTATGTGCAAGCGGGGCATGTTTCGGAGTCCGCCGAATGGAGTGCTTAAGGAACCGTTCCTGGACAAGCCATGCAACAGCGTTGGCTGAACCATGATCCTTCTCTGTGCGACGCACCACGACGCGCGCTTACTCGAACCGTGATTCGGTATCGATCAAACCCCTTTTTGGCCTCGCAAGTCGCGAGATGTATCCGGTTGCCAGGTCTGGGGTTGAGTCAGTTGGCTGTCAGGTTTCGTACAAATTAATCAGTAGTGACGATGTTGTTGGAGTAGACCTCCCGATAAAACATTGCTAGGTGAAGGAGTTGATCGAAGAAACACGGAGGCCACATTCGCGTCGACTTCGGGGCTGGACGGTACAGAAGACAAGGCGATAATAGGTATGTTATCTCTTGGTGCGGGAGTGCGATGTCACGTATAACTATCTTTATGGGTTAGAGGCTCGCTCATCGCCATATTTGCTATCCCTTTCTTGCCAGAATTAGGCTCGGCGCCTGCCGGTTCCCGAAGTTGTACGACGCAGCAGCCAGAAGCAAGCTATTGACGCCACAGGAAACACAGCGTTGTATGACAGGCCAGGCTCAACTCGCACCCATCACAGCTATCTATGTGATCAGTTGTCAACAGGAGCGCTCTTCTCCATTGACAACTCATCGCTCATGCGTGGTATACGAGCCTCACGCATCGAACCTAGCACGTTAATTGCGTCGAACCAATGAACCAAAGAGCTGTGACGAGAACTGACGACTCCACGCATTTCCAATGTTTCAGCAAACGGCCTTGGCGGTGAACAGCAGCAACGGGGCGGCTGCGTAATTGATATTGGCCACAGCGGCACGAGGGGAAGCAGGTACTCCCGCTTTAAGTGCTTCCTGTCGCACGGCGGTCTGAGCAGCGCTTGCCTGGTCATTCCATTTCATTAAGGTCCGTGGGAAAGACAAGGATGGGGTGGGTCCTGATTCAGTGGACGGTTTCGTCAGCGACTCACTCTAGAAGAATGGGTAACCCGGGCTTGGGGTCCTTCGTATCCTCGAGAATTGTTTCCTGGGGAGGCACGTTCCGTTCGTGCATATTCGCAATATACAAGTTGTAAACGAGGCGAGTTGTGTTGGATCGACCAGCATCGGGTCGTTCCCTGCTGGTGCATGCAGCGTGCAGCATGCGGAAAGTTTTTTCGACCCACGTGTGGGCAAACCAGACATATTTTCAAGTCGAGTGTGGGGGCTATCTCGAGGGTTCCCCAGAAAACGTCTTCTCTCACCTGTGCCTCGAAGTACATTGGATGGAAGGACTCGACCGTAGAGCTGGATGCGCCGTCTCCGTTCAGGCTTGCAGCGATGTGACAAATCAGATGCAGCTGCACACTTTTGCGAGGCTATTTCAAGGTCAAAACAGGTGCGCAGATGGTCTATGCCTTTTTGTGCGAGGCCTGGTCCTGTTGTGTAGCGTACTAACGTGCTGCAGGCCAATCTGGAGTCAAACGGAAAGCATGTATTCCAGCAATTTTGAGGCTGCGCAAAGCTCTGCGTGTTGCTGGGGTAAGAGTTTGGGATCGTAGACCTGAGAATTGAAAAGTGATAGATCTTGTTCTCGCTTCCACGAGCGACACTTTGCATCGCCTCTCTGTGCCACAGCAATTGGTTCTGATGACGTCTATCGAAGACGACGTCTCTGCTTCCTCAGCCCTACTGCAAGGGCGTTGGCGCTTCTCTCGCCTTTGACTTCGGCCCTGAGGGGCCAGCTGCGCCTAGAGATCGACTGCAGCTGGTGGCGCTCACGATTGGAGAGCTCACCGCAGAGCAGCCATGGGCCGCCGACGCGGCAGCGGGAGAGCACAAAGCTAAGACGCATTGCACCGCCTCAACGCATTGAAGCGACTCGCAGTATTGCTGTTCCTGGGGTATACAGCTGGCGGCACCGATGCTGGTACTATTAAAGCACCTCGCCCAGCGTGGCTGCCAGAGCAGCACACGCACTGCAGTGGCTCCTCCGCTTCATACCTCCGCCAGACATTGATATAGTAACAGCTCTTCGACAGTATATTTAACTCACGAAACGCCAAAGGTCAGAACAACCAGCAGCGGCTACGTACGGGTCGTTCCTTGGAGTATCATCGTCATTGCTGTATACATCCGCCATATCGTTCGCCGGGAAGGTGAGTCCGTTTTCAACTCCACGAGACGATGCGGTCGTGGATTTGAGCGGAAGGTGACGCCACCGTCGCTGCCTCGTTCGCGGCCCGTCCCTCCCCCTCGACGTGTGAGCAGCTCTTTCCTCGCACGACAATGGCGAGAAGCGCTCGTTCCCGCACCCTTCTCGTCCTATCGCTCGCTCGCTCGCTCTTCTTCTTCTCCTCTCCACACCACACTTCTTTCTCACCAGTACGCTTCAGTGGCCACATTCTTTGTAGCTTTCCACAGGTCAGTAGTCGACACTGCTCTTGCGGCAGCGTGCTCGTTGCTCCAGCATCGCTGACGTCGTTCCAGCTTTGGAGTCACTACCAATCCCGCACATTGCAGAAAATTGACATTTACGACTCGGTGAGCATTGCCTGTCCTATTCACCCTCACCTTCACTCATGGCGGCTCTTCGCCGCTCCGCAGTAGCTGGGCAGTCGGCGCTTTCTTTGCCGCACCAGTGTTCACCCTCACCCTCACCCTCACCCTTCGCACCTACATAACAATCTCCTTTTCTTGCCTGCCCGCCTCTCCTTCTCCACAAAAATACCCTCCGCTGAGAAATCCGCGTTGCCTGTAAAGGGCCTACTGACTCTCGGCAGAGCACCGTCTTCTTTCTACATTTCAATCCTCTCGCCAGACCTCGAGCCTTCGCTCGCCCGTTGCTCCAGGAAAAGCCCAATATCTGCCACAGTGCTCCCGGTTCTGGAGCGCCTGCTCTCTTTGCCCCGCACAATTCCCGTTGTTCAACCCGAACTCCCTGTTCCGTAGCGGTCTTACTCACACCAACTGCAAAATGTCCGGTAATTCCCGCAACAACTATTCCACTGCTACCGCTGCGGGTTACAAGGGCCAGTCAATGATGGGTCATGGTCACTACAACCAAGCCAATCAGGGCCACGGTACGGCCAACTACCTCCATCGGGGACACCCCATGTCTGCACATGGCGGCGACAATGGCATAGCAGCGCTGACGAGTGGCATGGCAGCCATGAACGTCCACGGTTCGTACGGCGGTTCCATGGCCTCCAAAGCTGGCGGTGCCGTTCTCGCCAACAACGCGTCCGAGTACCTTCAAGGTCAGGGCCACCTCTGGGTTCCTAACATGAACCCCATGTATGGCGTGATGGCCGGCGCCCCGCAGCAAGCGGGTATGGGACATTCGCCCGGAATGTATAACAATGCCGGTACTTTCGTACCTCAGACGACGTATCAGTATAACCAAGGAATGGTCGAATCCCCGATGGGTAACGGATGGGCGTCCCGAGTCTCCTCTAGCGATATGCCCACACTCATGACCCCGCGTCGGGATTCTATCTCATCCAACGAGAACGACATCCCAGGTACGCCATATACTAGCACTGGCCTATACCGATACGGCACCTCGACTGCTATCATAGATCGCTCGCCGAATGGTATGTACACGAGCAGCGCGACACCGTCACCTTCGCAGTTGGCCCAGTATGGAGTGCAGCTCGTCAACCCCAAGCAGGCGTCTGTTGCCACCATCTCGCCTCAGCTCGCCCAGCTCCTCCAGAAGGAGCCGCCGATCCCGCGAGCCATTCCAGCACCTAGTTCCCCGCTTAAGCCGCTTGACCGGAGCCTGGAGAACAAGACCGGCGAGACAAACGTCTACATCCGCGGCCTCCTGCCAGAGACTACTGACGAGATGCTGCACGCTTGGGGTAAGCGCTTCGGCGATATCCAGAGCTCGAAGTCAATCATCGACTTGAAGACCAACCTGTGCAAGGGGTAAGACGTCCGGCCCTTCTTCTTCACTGCCACTTGCTCACAGATTATCCAGCTTTGGATTCATCAAGTACCACAACTTCGAAGATGCCGAGAATTGCATCCGTGGCTTCCATTACCTTGGCTATGAGGTCTCTTTCGCGCGTGTATGTTTCACCAATACCACTCAGTCTTTACAGGTTCCTGACACGTTGCAGGAGTCGTTCTATTCGAAGTTGAAAAAGTTCGCGGATGAGACCAATACGAACCTGTATGTCTCGAACATTCCCAAAAACATGAGCGAGCATGTAAGTTGTCTTCACGACTGCCCTTTGCTTCCATGACAAAGTTAACCACGTCCAGGAACTCAGCGCAATCTTCGCCCCTCACAAGGTCTGTTCTACTAGGATCCTCCGGGACGCTGCAGGCCATGGTCGTGGTGTTGGCTTCGCTCGGTGAGTCAGCCTTTCGATGGTCAACGCCCTTCTGTGCTAACCAGGAACCAGCTTCGACACGCGAGATATCTGCGAGGAGGTGATCAAGACTTTCAACAACACACCCGTTGCGAAGCCAGGAGGCGAAGAGCACCTCATCCAAATTCGATACTCCGATACTCACGAACAAAAGATGCTCAAGCAGCAGACAGCCGCTGGTCGAGTCTTCCGCGCTGCTGAGTACGAAGTCGGCGTTGCGCAAGCTCGTGCTCTTAGTACCGGACCCGATCGCTACTTGAACATGTCTCCGGACTCACAGGGCGCTGCAAATGAGTTCGAGATCTTCCTACAGCAGCAGTCAACTGGGTGAGTACCCCCCGATCACGGATGGCAAGACCTGGCTGACCCTCCGAAGCAACCCAACCTCGTACGGCCCTGCGAATCGCTACCGCCAACCGTGGGCCCCTGCTGTGCCCTCGAGCCTGGGAATGTCCCGCCCAGCCATGCATCAGATGGCTCATGTTCCAGTTTTCAAGTCTGAGGACGGTGGTACCGAGCGCGGTACCGACGTGAAGACGAACCCCGCCACACCGATCAAGCAGGAGGGTCCATCCTCACCAACCTGCCACAATGGTGACGAGTGATTGCCGAGCCGCAGCACCTCCATATGTTCGAAACGGACTTGACCGACCCGTGCATATGTACGACTATTCTTCGCGATCGTTTCTTGGACATAGGCTTGACCGCCATTTGCACGTCAGACATACATCGGCATCTTATCGTATGGTGGAGCGTCGCTTCAGTTGCCTTGACGATGCAATCCATGTCAATCCGGTTATCAGGCCTATTCGTTGCTTTCCTGTCTCTCGACAACTCCCTTGTCGCTGTCACTGACGCTCTAATACCTTGTTGATCCACCTCGGACACTTTTCTATACCTTACATCGCTGAGCTTCTGTCACCTTCTCGACATCCCTGGGAGGCTGACTGCCATCTTACCGGTATATCATTCGATTTGGCCCAGGTGCACGATCGCAAAGAATCTTGATGGATACTGGAATAGAAGTTTACATTGATGACGGGTAGGCTCTAGGAGCTTGATGGATGGGAAAAAACTTTATGGGAGCATTTTCGACTGCAGTCTCAGGGAAAATATATTGCGGGCCTTTCCTTCCCCAACTTCGTTCGCAATGACATTTGTGGGTGATGTGGTATTTGCAATCACGTGGCTATTCCTTTTTGTATCGTCGTGAGGGAGAAGCCCACTCAGTTCGCGTTCGTGGATATTGTTTGCGGATACCGGTTGGGTCATCGTTTGAGACGTTGCGTAGGTTGTTGTGACGCGACCACCCGACCAGTTGGTGTCACACGACCAGCCTTCGCAGCAGGCCATCCGACCAACATCATCAGGTCACCAGCCTGCGTGACATCCAAGCTTGCTGGAATACCACACATAAAGGTCCTCTCATGACACAGGGAGCCACACGTACCTTGCACAATTCGATCGCTCCGCCCCGGAAGGTGTAGCCATCGTGGGCGCCTGACGTAAGAAATGGAGCAGCCTGTTTGGCTACGTGTCTGGCAGCCGGTTAGGTCCCTTGTGGGCTGACGAGGCGTGTTTAGGCGTGACTGTCATGATGTAGGTGGGAGTCTGAGACTTCTGATGGATTTGATAGAGCAGGATATGTTTATAGGACAGAGAGGGTCTCAGGCGGTATGGGATACCATGGTATGGTAGGCTGAGGCAGCGACCTCGTCAAATACAAGAGCGGGCTGGGCTGGGCTATGGAGTCGAGTTGTTCATCTACATCCACGGCTACGGCTAGGGTTTCGGGCATCCGCAGCGCGAGAATACGCATCGGCGTCAGCTTACTCCAAGGGCGCCGGGGGCGCTCTTCCACTTCGACCTCGTCGTCGTCTTCGGCAGCACAAGCAACGCATTCGGAGAACTCAAACATGCAGATTCACGCAGTCTACCTCGGCGGCGCACCATACGTAACCACTTCGCACGTCCTCGCCGCCGACTTCCGCGCCTGGGGCCACCGGGTCGACACGTACACGCACGACCATCACAACGTACTTGCCCTCCTCACTATCCAGCGCGCCGAGGGCTTCGAGCAGACGGCCCGGGAAGCAGAGCTCATGGATCTGTGGTGCGCGGAGTGGATTGGGAGATGGGGGTTCGAGGCCCGGGTTGGAGCGATGCTGAGTGAGCGGGAGGATCTGGGCACGGGTGCTTCGGGAAGTGCGATGTGGGACCTTGGGGGCGCGTTGGGGATGGGGCGGGATAGTTTTACGGAAGAGGGGAGAGCCATTAAGGTGGGCAGGGGGAGAAGCTGGGGAATGGGAAGTGTGTGGGCGTGGTTTGGTGGTGGGGTTGGGAGGAGCAATGCCCGGGAAGAGGTACATGTGGATGGCGATGTGCTACCGCCGTATACAAAGGGTGAGGCTCCGCCGGCGTATGAGCAGTGAGTGCAGAGTAGAGTGGACAGGGAGACGGTGGTGATGATACCCATGTTTCGAACTTTGTAAATGTGTTCCATTGCGTCTATAGAGAGAGTGCATACTATCGTTAACTTTTCACGAGTGTAAATGTACACTCGAAATGCTGGGGTATCGCTGAAGAGAAGAAGTACATGTGGATCCACATTCAAAGAGCCCATCCAGCTTTTGTCTTGGCGGCTTTGGTGGACATACCGGTCGGTGCTTGCTTGGCCTTCATGGCCTGAATCTCGCTGAGGTCCGGCAGCGGGTCGTTATCGCGGATGTCGAGGATCGTCATTTGTGCTGCGATTTGCGCGGGTGTGGCCGTTGAGTCAACCGCGACATCCTCCGCTGGCGTCTGCTGCTCAAGCGATGCCTCTGACTCCGGCTCGACTTCTAGCGACTCATCTTGCTCGCTACCGGGACCGTCGTCTTCATCTTCTTCATCCCGCTCGACGCCACCGGCATCGCCATCGATGCCGTGCTCCTTCATGTATGCCTCCAACTCCTTGGCCATCTTCTTGCTGAAGCCACTCGCCTCTACTTCCACATCAAGCCTCTTTCGGATATTCTTGGTGGACTCTTTGAAGAAAGGACCAGGCTCGTCGCTCGTGAAGCCGTACCGGCGGTCGAAGTAGCGTTTGATGCAATCTACATCGCGGTCGAAGTAGTACTCGGCATTGGCATGCGAGACGGACACCATTTGTGGGAAATCGATGATGGTAGGAATCAGGGCCACTTTTCCATCCGCCTCAGGCTTCTCCTCGATCAGGATGTTGAACTCGTTAAAGTCGCCATGGATCAGGCCGACCTCGGCTAATCGGACGATGAGGGAGAGCAGCTCAGAGTAGAGTTCTGAAGGGTCTTCGATGGTGGAAATCTGCCGTAAAGGGAACGCGTCGACGAGGCTCATGACGACGGTGTGCCTATTCTGACCAAGAGGTTCTGGGACGGGAAAGCCCTCCCGTCGCAGTGCCTTCATGAACTCAAACTCCTTCATGGCGGCCAGCCGGGACATGTACATCCACGAGGCCGAGGAGCGGTTGCGCAGGTAGTCGCGGTTCGCCTTTACGGTGCGGAAGGATATGCGGCCCAGACGATGTATCTTCAGCACCTGCTGCATGCCCGTCTCGTTGGCGCACACGAAGATGTCCGACTCCTTGCCCACGCCGATCTGGTTGCCGACCGAGTATATCGTCGAGGACTTGGTGTGCGTGTGCAGGGCGAGGTAGTCGAGCCCGCCGTACGTGAGACGGTAGCCATCGTACTTTGCATTCTTCACTTTGGCAACGAGGCCGATCTTTGCGAGGTTGGAGATGCTCTTGTGCACGGCGTTCCCGGAGCGCAGGCCGGAGAGCTGTACAATCAGCGGCGTGGGAACGAGCTCGTGGTTACGGCTGCCCTGTTCTGCCTGTGCGCGTCTTCATCAGCGTTAGTCCCCCGCTGCAGCGACGACAGGAACACGGAGGGCGCATACCGCAGTCAGCACGCGCCAGTCCTCGGGCATGACATAGCGAATGTTCTTGACGTTCAGTTTCATCGCGGCGAGAGCGGTGCTTCTGGCGCGGCAGGGTGAATCGGAGTCGTCCGCAAGGGTGTGCGGGGTCTGCAAATAATTTTGGACGATTCTCGAAGTCGGAGCGCGCTCGCCGCTTTGATCACCGCGCCAGTGCTTGGCGTCGGCGAATGCGACTGAGAGCTCGACGACGCATCAACATTCTCCCCATACCGCCCCCGCCTCGTCCCGACGCCTCGAGCGACCTCTTCCTCCCCGAGCCCCCTCCCGCACCATCGCACAGCACCCTTTTAACGGCCGAGATCTGCATCCCCGCCTTCGCTCGGTGCACGAGATACACTTCGCCGCCCGCCTAGCTTCCACCCGCAAGCAACATGGCCGCAGACGACGAGAAGAAGCCCACAGCCGCCGATAAGGGCAAGGGAAAGGCGGCAAATGGCGACGCAGAGCAGAAGGAAGTCCAGAAAGACAAGGATGGCAAGCCCATAGACGATAAGAAAGGCGCGCCTGCCGTTGGTACGTCGCCGTGCCGGACCGCTGCCACTCCAGCGTCACGGGGGAGTCTGTCGCTGACCAACTACAGAGGAGCTCAGTGAGGAGGACCAGCAGCTGAAGAGCGACCTGGAGATGTTGGTTGAGCGGATACTGGTACGTGTCCCGCATGCATGTTTATCAGAGCATCGGCTGACTGAAGCTCTGTAGGGACCGGATGCAGATCTCTACAACCCCGCGCTCGAGAAGATCAAGGAGTTCATCAAGACAGCCACGAGTTCGATGACGGCGGTGCCGAAGCCGCTCAAGTTTCTGCGACCACACTATGAAAGCTTAGAGAAGGCCTACGACTCGTGGCCCGAGGGCGACAACAAGGTACGCCACTGTGAATGCTGCCAGCTCGTGCGGGCACTGACATAGGACAGAAATCGTTCGCCGACATGCTATCCGTACTCGGAATGACGTATTCCGACGAGGACCGCCTCGACTGCTTGAAATACCGTCTGCAAGCGCCATCCTCGGATCTTGGCTCGTGGGGCCACGAATACATGCGCCATCTCGCTCTCGAGATTGGCAGAGAATACCAGAAGCGGTTGAACGATGACAAGTCGACGGACGACATCACGGACCTTGTCCTCTCGCTGGTTCCCTTCTTCCTGAAGCACAACGCCGAAGCCGATGCAGTCGATATCCTCTCCGAGCTGGAGATGATTGACCAAATTGAGCAGTATCTGGATGCCGACACATACAGCAGGGTGTGCTTGTACATGGTCAGCACGGTGCCCCTCCTCACCTACCCCGACAACGACAAGTTCCTCCGCACAGCCTACCAGGTCTACCGGAAATACAAGCAGTACACCCAGGCCGTGGTCCTCGCGATACGGCTCAACGACCGGGAGCTGATTGAAGAGACGTTCAACTCCACAGAGGACAAGGCGACAAGGCGGCAGATGGCTTTCCTCATTGCCCGACAGCGGATCTGGTTCGACGTGTCGGAAGACGAGGATTCTGAGCTACAAGAGTGCCTAAGCAACACCCGCTTGTCAGACTACTTCAAGGCGCTGGGCAAGGAGCTGAACATCTTAGACCCCAAGACTCCTGATGACATCTACAAGACCCACCTCGAGAGCAGCAGGACAGCTGGTCTCACCAACACCGACTCAGCGCGCCACAACCTGGCTTCCGCCTTCGTTAACGCCTTTGTCAATGCTGGTTACGGTAACGACAAGTTGATGCTCAACTCAGATAGCAAGAACAGCTGGGTCTGGAAGACCAAGGATGAGGGCATGCTTTCCACAGCTGCATCGCTCGGTATGCTCATGTTGTGGGATGTTGAGATGGGTCTTGACAAGATCGATCCCTACACCAACGTCGACGAGGATCTCGTTAAGGTACGTAGTGGCTGATTTCTCACTTTTGCTGCCCTCGTACTAATGTTTCTGGATAGGCCGGTGCTATGCTTGCGACGGGTATCTTCAACTCCGGTGTGCGAAACGACTCCGACCCCGCCATGGCTTTGCTAGGTGATGAAGAGAACCTCTCCCACAAGAACGTCAATGTCCGCGTAGCCTCCATTATGGGTCTGGGTCTCGCATACGCTGGATCAAACAAGGAAGAGCTTCTGGAGATTCTGCTTCCCATTGTCACTGACACAAGCCTCGACATGCAACTCTCAGCCATGGCGGCTTTGGCCTTGGGTCTCATCTTTGTTGGCTCGGCTCACGGCGAGGTGACCGATGCGTTGATGAACACCCTCTTGGACGAGGACCGGTCGAAGCAGCTCAAGGACAAGTGGACGCGTTTCATGGCTCTCGGACTCGCCTTGCTGTTCTTTGGGCAGCAGGAAGAAGTTGATGTCATTCTGGAGACCCTCAAAGCTCTCGACCACCCCATGTCTAAGCCTACATCTGTGCTCGCTGAGGTTTGCGCATGGGCGGGTACCGGTAACGTACTGAAGGTCCAGCAGTTGCTCCACATCTGCAACGAGCATATCGAAGAAGAGAACGAGGAGAAGAAGGGTGACGAGTTGCTCCAGTCATATGCTGTAATCGGCTTGTCATTGGTGGCAATGGGTGAAGACGTCGGGCAGGATATGATCATAAGAACTTTCGGCCACCTAATGCATTACGGCGAGGCCAACATTCGAAAGGCGGTGCCTTTGGCAATGGCCTTGATCAGCCCTAGCAACCCCCAGATGAAGGTCTACGACACTCTTTCGCGGTACTCTCACGACAATGACAACGACGTCGCGATCAACGCTATTTTCGCCATGGGTCTGGTTGGCGCTGGTACTAACAACGCTCGTCTCGCGCAATTACTGCGTCAACTTGCGAGCTACTACCACCGCGACCCCAACGCCCTCTTCATGGTTCGCATAGCTCAAGGTCTGCTCCACGCAGGCAAGGGTACCCTTTCCATGAGCCCCTTCCACACCGACCGATCAGTCCTCTCCCGTGTCGCCGCTGCAGGTCTTCTCACCGTCCTTGTCTCCATGATCGACGCAAAGCAGTTCATTGTTGGAGACGCGCATTACCTACTCTACTTCCTGGCAACAGCCATCTCTCCCCGGTTCCTCATCACCCTTGACGAAGAGCTGAAGCCGCTCACAGTCAATGTGCGAGTTGGTCAAGCCGTCGATATCGTTGGCCAGGCGGGTCGTCCCAAAGCAATCACTGGATGGCAGACACAGAGCACGCCAGTGCTGCTGAGCCATGGCGAGAGGGCGGAATTGGAAGACGAGAAGTACCTGAGCTTGAGTAATGTATTGGAAGGCGTAGTCATCCTACGGAAGAACCCAGAGTGGGAGGATTGAGGTTGCCTTAGACAAATGAGGCATGGTAGCTTCAAGAAAATTAGCTATGAAGCTTATGTAGCCTGGTGGAATGCAGAGGATACAACATATCGTGTCCAGGCTCTTGACGAGGGACTGTGTAACAGTAAATAGATGCGTGGAGACTACGAATGAAGTATTGGTATGCATGTCATGGATGGCTTTGACTTGTTGCCCTAGGATTGCATGTTCCTGCAGCAAGTACGTGTACGGACGACAAATGATTCCGTTGGCACCTGACGTATCTCAACAATCCTCACAAATCAAGTCTTCCTGTTTTTTCAAGGGCCACGGGTCTTTTCATTTGGTCACCGATACCAACAAGCGTTTGTCTGGACGAGTCGTGCCACTCAACCCAGCGACATCGCCCAGCGAAAGCCGGCTCTGATTGACAAAGATGGCACTCACCTTCATTTGTGTGCAATGCGAACTGTTTGCGAACGTGTTGTATGCAGCGGTCGCTTATGTGCCCTGCTAATAGCAAGAGCATATACTGCGACCCATATGCCATAGCCCTGATATGACCGAGTGGTCACTTGAAATGAAGTGAGGGCATCTGGGGATCCGGCACTCGAATTATACCAAGGCGAAAGTCTGCCAACACTGATGTCCTTCTGTTTATCTGACGATTAGTTGCGTGCAGCGAGCCCTCGTCAATTCCGGCAGTCAGGGTCACTCACTCGTTCACTCAACCGCTGCCTTCACCTCTCACTTCGCCTCGCCTCGCGCAGCGACACTCAACCTCACGCGAATACCATACCGCCAAAAGCCTCAGAAAGCACTCGATTACACCCCTATATATATTTATAAGTTGCAGTAATAATCACAAAACCAGCGGACGTAGAGATTAGTTGGCGTGTAGCTATCCGGCAACGGAAAAGCCTCCGATGAACTCTCCTGGGAAAAGATGGTCATACAGTTCGCCTGTTCGAACCCGTTAGTGGTGAATCCAATATTGCATTGGGTGAAGCGGGTCAACGTCAGTTGCCAACGCCAGCTTTTTTGTCGGCGAGGAAGGGACAGGCGCGTTTGTCTTTTTTGCGTTTCCTTTAAAACTTAGACAGAAGCCGTCGCTGTCGGCGCTGCTGTCTGTGACAGAAGTTGGCGGATGGCAGCAGACTGGGACGCGATACATCACCTTGTCTGTTCTAGATTTTCGCGAAAGGCGAAGCGACGGTAGGCCAGAGGAAGGTGTTCCCAAAGTCAGGATCCGGCTGCGCCATTCCCAAAACGATGGAGACTGTGAGGGTATAACTCTTCTAATCGCAAGTCTTTTGAATGAACTTTTGAAGTCTACTCTTGGATCGCGACGCTGGTACCCGCTATGCCGTCGACGACGTTGAAGGCACATATGGTTCGCCTCGACTACTGGAATGGGCAAGTACGTATGGCACCGATATCTTCATAAAATCGAGATTAGTAATCGAAAGTGTTGCTATAGGAGAGAAGGGTGTCTTAGGTCCGGTCGTGCTGGTATGCATGTCGCGGGACGGCGTGAATAGCATGAGGACTTTAGGGATCAAAAGGGCCGCACACTTAAAAGCCATCAGTATCCAAAGACATCAATCATCAGACAAAATCTGACCAAAGCCGCTCTCGTATAACCATCTAGTATCCCTCGAGCAGAAAAGTACTAGATCAATGAGCACCATGGCTATGCATTTTCGATGATCTCGAACTATGTTCTCTCTTCAAATGAAAGATGCTTGATCTCACGCCGTCCCTAGTGGGAACCCTTGATCAACAAATCGTCCACTGAAATGCCCTGTCTTATCAATCAGGCACACCGACGCCGTACCCCCAAGCTGCATGATTTCCACCTGCTGCCGCATATGATGCGCAATTTCCACTACTTTCCCTTCACAGATGAGTACCTCGATCTGTTCAAGTCCATTAACGGCACCAATCGGGTAGCTGCTCTTCTTGTCCCGTTGCTTCAATCCGATGCGTACTTCAACCGAACTGTGCCGAAGCCCGTTCCGCGGTACCATGCACAGCTTGGCCTTCCTACCGCGGCGACCTGCGTGCCCACTTCTTTCCACCTCGATCTGCTCTTGCAGTATTGAAGCAGCCGTGCGTTCTCGTGCTGCTCCATGCGCACGCTGATGTGCGGAACTTTGTTCCACTCGCTGCCGGTAACTTAGATGCGTTGGCGCACTGCCAGGGTTGCAGGCCGCACGCGGAGCAGATGCGTGTGAGATTGTTCGAGTTACGTGCGATCTGCCCTTCTCCTTCGGAAGGACGCGATGGGCCCGGATAGCGGGCTTTCGGCTTGGACATATGGTGCCGTGCGGAATTACCGAGAGTGGAACTGCGACGGCTGTTGTCGCTGCTGGTTGTGGGAGTGTAAGCGGAATAGAAGGAGGATCGCCTGTCGCCACTCGTTGTGGGAATGCTGTAGGCGGAGTAAAAGATGGCCCCGAAGGTACGATCTCGTTGTCTAATATGCGCTTTTCGAAGGTAGAGTCATGTGTACCCAGGTATGAAGGCTGGGATCTCAAAGAATTGTCTGTCCGAATTGTCTTGAGGCTAGCTGGTGTTCCCGGAATGGAGGCATTTGCATTCTCTCGAATCCGAGATGAATCTAAAGATGGTCGGGATGGTGTGAGCGAAGGAGTCGGCAAGTTCTCCGCACCGGTGAGTGCGGACTCTCCAAAGTATGATCGAATCCGAATGGCTAATTATCTCAAAACAGATCCGTTTGAGAATTTTTGAGTGACCTTAGAGTTAACGCTCCTAAGCAGATTGTTCTTAAAGTGTTCATTCGACGCCATCTTGAAGTCTTCTTGCACTGGAAATCTTCCGCTTGTATTTTGAAGGCTGATAAAATTGATCAAAGAGGCCATAAGCAGTTGAATTTATAGGCAAATTGTGTCCCAATTGTACAGGCGTAGTACGGTCCAGAGGTAATAATATGTCGATACAATACAATAAAAGCTATGACATTAAAAACCCTCCGTGGGGCAGAGCAGTAATATCACGGAGCTGGAAACCTTTTGCGTCTACTCGATCGGATTGCTTTCACACGCGAGGCTTACCGGGTGGTACAACCAGCTGTAACACTGGGGGCTCTCAATGACCCATGTCTCACGTGGCTATATCACTCTTTTTTAGTCCTCAGGGAGTAGAGAATGCCCTGAATGCATTTGGGTCTATTTTGCTAAGAGATAGATGGTTTTGCGAGATTTGTTGAGTCCCACGAGCCCACTTCGACCCAAGGAGGAACTATCCTAGAAAGCCATGAGAAAATATTGAGCTAGTAGACCCTGAGCAATCATGCGTTGATACCTTACATATTGCATACCAACTGGTATGATTTCAACTCACCTTGGGTCCCTCGTGCCATGGGCATCAAGGCCTCCTTTGAATCTGGCTCCTCTGAGCACGAACAGGAGAGGCGACAATACATCTAGCTGATGTTGTATACCACTATGGGAATCACGACCGTGTGCTCTGTTGCAGTCCGTATCAAGCATCCCAGCTTTCCCTTTTTTCCTACTACAAGTTAACCAGCCAAGCCTCTGTAACACTTGGAAGAGCGTCTCAAAAGGTGAAGACCTTCACATTGCTCGGTATTTGGGTCGTCAGTGAAAGTTATTATATTCAAAGAAATGGTGCAGCTTCAGGGGCCGTGGGACATCTGAATCCACGTGACTATTTAGTTAATCCCTGCGCAGATCCTTCACCGCTTATTGTACGCGTGGAGCAGTCATAAGGCAGAGTGCGATAATAAAGATTCGGACGCTGGCATTCATCTTCGGAGAATTCATGGCACCTTAACAACAGTCATGCGCCTCTGCATTCACCTGTCATAGCTTAACTCCTTGCCGCATCGTTGCTGAGAGACCCTGCATATCGATCTGCACGACATAGCGCACACATACGCTAGACCCACAACAAGTACCCTCGCAAAGCATTCTCGAGAACCTGACATGTGCTGGGTAAGTCCGCACGGCAAGAATGCATATGGCGCTGTTCTTCCTTGTACGACTGCGGGCGCATGTTGTTAGGATAGCTTCTGCAATGCTTGTAAACGCTCTCGCCATACATACTTTAACGCTAACCCGATGTAGCACAACTATACCCAACATTCCGGGTGTGGTCACTACGGCGAAGTCTACAATGAGTGCTACACTCTCTGCCACTCAGCTTATCAAACCCTCATGTCCAAGCGCGGACCCAGCTCCCCACCCATCGCACCCCCTCAAGATGTTACTTTCTTTCCACAAGCCCCGAAGCGCTCAAACACCACCAGATCGCGCCGCTTCTTCGGACTGAGCAGATCGAGCACCACGGCAAGTACGTCTTCGCGGCGGGCAGCATCCGGGCCTGAATCTCTAGGCTTGAACCGCGCGTCGACAACATCTGGCACTAGTAATCAATTTCCTGACCACGAAATGCTGCCAGTAGTGCAGGCTTGTCCGGCATTGAGGACTCGGACTGTCGTGAGTCAGAGTGCCGATCAGGGTCAGGTGTGTAGTGAGTGCAAAAAGTGGATTGAGCATATGCGCAACATGATCTTGGGCTACGACAAGCGGCGGGGAATACGCGGGAATGCGGCATTCAAGGAGTTTCTTGATGATAGGCGCGAATGTAGGGCTATTGCGGAGGATCTGGGGTTCGGTGAGTCCAGTAGAACGTTGGGAGACGGTATGAGAAGAGACAGTGGTGATGAGCTGTATGGTATGCGTCCGCATAGCTAGACAATGTCAATAGCATGCAACAACGGCGAGGGTTACTGGCGTAGGTTGAAGAAGTGAGGTGAGATCGGAAGCCCACGGAAATTAGCGTGAGGGTGCCTACGTGTATAGTCGTGTTCTAACGGTATCGAGCAACAACGATTGGAACATCGCGAGCTCGGACGTTCTGATCTGGCGAGTTATATTTGATGTTCAGTCTTTATCTCTCGACAGTGAATGTAAGCAAGAGCTGTGTGGGCACCTGCCACGCGCTGGCATGACGCCCTAGCGTGGTATAATACAACCAACAGTCAACCCTCGCACGAACAACCGCGCCCCCGACGCAAACACTCCGCGCTCTCCACCTGGAACAACGGCTCGGTCCACCACCACATATCAACGCACAGGCCCACACCACCTCAACGTGCCATCCGTGAAGCCAAGTGCCCGTAAATAAACACGGTCACCGAACAAATCAAGCTCGACAACCCAACTGGATAAGTGACAAACGCCCTCTTCTGATGTGCGTTGCAATACACACTCGATTTCGACGCTGCGGCCACACGCGTTTCTTACGCTGGGAATATTGCGGAGACATACACAACGACTTCCTTGCTCAGCAATGCCCGAATTACATGCTGAGATTCCGAGACAATCAAGAGAACTATAACTGCTTCGAGTGCCTTCACGAGCGGGCGCCGCCTCGACAAGGCAGTACGACCACACCACTTCGGCAATGCAGCTCCAGCTCTGGCGGTAGCAGCCGCGTCGGGAGCTTCCTCCGCCGAGTATTGAGCTGTGGATAGACAGCTAGTGAGATGCCTTGGATATGGCCTAGGGTGACTCGCTGCATTGTGAGCGCCTCACCACAACTTAGTCTCGAAGCGCTTCCGGAGCTGCTCGTATCTCTCCAGGCTGCCAACACTGGGCTTGATATTTTGTGCCGCAGCCACGACGTCTTGCTGTTCGACTGCACTCGCGCCTCTCCGCAGCGCGGCTTGTCCAGCCTTTCTGAGCAGACTCTCGAGATCAGCCCCGCTGAAATCATTGCATTCCTCTCGTCTTGCGACTTCGGCTAGGTCAGGGTTGATGACACCTCCGCGCTGGGCGATCAACGCCTTCAGAATGTCCACCCGTTCCTCGGGCTTGGGTAGCTCCACGTAGAGCAAGGTTTCCAGACGGCCAGGGCGCAGCATAGCCTCGTCAATCATTTCGGGACGGTTGGTGGCGGCAATCAGATAAATGCCTTCACGGGTGCTGAGGCCATCGAGCTCGGTCAGGAGGGTATTTACGACACGTGCAGAAGCTTCATGGAGTTCGGATGAGCGCTTAGGGACAAGAGCATCGAGCTCGTCGAAGAAAATGACGCAAGGTACCGATGAACGGGCACGCATGAAGACTTGACGGAGTGCTCGCTCTGACTCTCCCACGTACTGTACGATACATTAGCTTAGCCACAATAACAGTTTTAGAGAATCTTGTATTCCCAAAGGATAGACTGGGAAATTGTGCATACCTTGTTCAGCAACTCTGGTCCCTTCACGCTGATGAAATTGGCTTTAGATTCCGCGGCCACAGCCTTGGCAAGTAGCGTTTTACCGCAGCCCGGCGGGCCCCAGAGGAGCACGCCGGTCGGCGCAGAGATACCCACAGCTTTGTATCGTTGTGGGTTTTGGATAGGTTCTACGATAGCCATTTGAAGCTCATCTCGAACACCTGCAAGGGCACCCACGTCCCGCCAGGTAGTGTCTGGAACCGTGGCAAAGCCTTCTCGCTTTGAAGAGGGTACGATAGCTGGCAATACAGCGTCGAAAGCTTTCATTGAGATCGATGTATGCTCAAATCCTGGCGGTTCTGTCATGGTCTTGTCCCGTACACGATTAATAAGACGTATGATGGACAGATCTGTAGTCGATAGCTTATTCGCACTGCCATCCACATCCATCTCACTCTCTGCCTCCATGGCTTGTTTCTCAAGTGCTTCTCGGTATTGATCCATGGACCAGGTTCCGGCTTTGCTGACAAGATCCTTCAGATCAGCACCGACAAAACCTGCCGTCCTCTTCGCGAGAGAAGAGAAACTGACATCGTCGGACAATACAGTCCGGCGTGTTAATGCACGCAAGATAAGCTCCCTAGTAGGCTCATTCGGCACACCCATGTTAATCTCAGTATCGAATCGTCCACCTCGTCGCAGGGCTGGGTCAAGGCTGTCAGGTCGGTTCGATGCAGCCAGTACGATGACAGGCTTGCCATCGTTGGATTCCATGGCAAGACTATCCATTGATATCAGAAGCTGGGCCACGATACGCTTTTCCATCTGACTTTGCGCGCTGTCACGTTTCGGTGCGATGACGTCGATCTCGTCGATAAAGATGAGACATGGAGCTACTTCTTTTGCGCGCTCGAAGTGCTCCCGTATCTGCTTCTCCGACTCTCCTGACATTCCTGAGACAACAGAAGGTCCGAGGATCTCAATAAACGGCACACCAAGCGTGGCGGCAAAAGCTCTGCTTATGACCGTCTTACCACATCCAGGAGGTCCGTGAAGAAGAATGCCTCGAGGTATCGGGATATTCCGGCTATTGTAAGCTTCGGGTCCCAGAAGAGGCATGACCAGATGCTCCTTGAGCTGAGTCTTCACGTTATCGACTCCTCCAATGTCGCTCAAACTCATGCCTTTCGGGGGCGCTATATCGATCTTCTTTTCTTCCGCAGCCGATACTCTCTTCAAACGCTTGCTTTCACGGTCTCCGCCCTTTTGGCCCTCTCTCTTTTTGGTCTTTTCTTCATTCTCCTTGGGAGTGGCCGTTCCAGAATTGGCCCAGCCGTTGACGATTTGCTTGTTCATGAAATCTATGCTCTTGCTCTCTTCTTTCGGTTTTACGTCGCCAGCTCCAAAATCACCCTCAATCTCGTCCATTTCATCTTCACCACTCTCGTCTTCTTGAATGGTCAAGAGAGCACGGTCAATAGAATCCTCCAGTTGCTTCTTGGGACGTCTCCTTAGGGATGAGTTGGAATTTTTGATGTGTTCGTAGATAGCGTTGGGTCTGATCTTGAGAGGGGACTCATTGCTGGAATCAACATAGCGGCGGACCACTTGGTAGACGTCCCGATCAAGGCCACTCTGGAGCCTGTTGCGCGACATGGCAGGCGCGGGCCTTATTGGAAGAGCCTGCAGAATCTTGGCTCACAGCGGGTATAGATCAAGACCGGACGTGTTTGGGCGACGTCTATGGTAAAGGTGTCTTGAGTTTATGCAGCATCCACTGTGGCATGAAGCGATGGACAGTACGGAGTTGAGTGTAAAGGTGATGTATTTCTGGCCGAGCAGGGCCACTGTGTAGAGGAGGCTGTGCGATGGCGCCTGCCAATTGACTCACAGCTGTGAAGTGCCTCAAGAAAAGGTATCCTGGAACGACTCAAGGCGACCGGGAAAATAATGTTATGCGCGGCGTGAAGCTCCAAATTTTGGCGCGAGGTCTATCGATAGCACGGGCCCCGGCCGGCCGGCGGCGAGTCATGCATCATGCGGGCATGTCTCAACCAAGGCACCTCCGATTGCGCCCGCTTTCTTGATGGCGACGTCAACACCATGGGCAATTCGAACAGCTCGCGGAAGATCTCCGCACAGGATAAGTACGGCTATCTTGCCCCTATTGTGTCGCACTTCAAGGATCATCCGGAACTAACCTGCATCAGAGCGATCCTAGATATGAAGAACCAGCGCGATAAGCTGCATCAATACCAGAAGCGCATCACCGTCCTCACAGACCGCGAGAAAGAAATCGCAAAGGAGTGCTTGAGTAAAGGCGACACAACCCGGGCCAAACTCGCATTGCGACGCAAGAAGTACCAGGAGTCGCTGCTTGCGAAGACGGATGCGCAACTGGCGCAGCTGGAGCAGCTGACGAGCGATGTCGAGTTCGCGCTGATACAAAAAGATGTGCTGTACGGACTACAGCAAGGAACCGCGGTGCTGAAGGAGATTCACAAGGAAATGGGTGGCATCGAGAACGTGGAGAAGCTGCTTGGAGAGAGTGAAGAGGCACGCGCATACCAAGAGGTTCGCACCCACCTCCATGAGCGCACTATCCTCGGCAATCCACTGACCTTTATGCTACAGGAGATCAGCGAGCTTCTAGCGAACAAGATGTCAAACCAGGACGAAGACGAAGTCGAGGACGAACTGGAACAGCTGGAGCGTGAGGTCAACGGCATCCAAAACGACGTCCCAGTGCTGCCCGATGCGCCTGTCGCGCAGCCCGAGCTCACCCCCGAACAGAAAGCGAAGGCACAGCGAGAGAGAAGGGCACGGGAAAGAGAGCAGCAAGCAGCTGAGGAGACTCGGCAGCCTGTTGCGGCATAGAGCATAGCTTTGCCTGTTTTGAGCATCATAGAGCGAGGCGTCCGGAGTTTTGCGACACGTTATATCACCCTGTTTGAGTGCATTACCTTGTCCGGAGATGTGCAATACATAGACCGATCGTGTGGAAAGATCGATGTATATCATATACCTGGTTCAGATCACATCCAACATCTCAGCATTGGTTGGCCACGTGCTCATGTCGTAAGTGGTGATGCGCCTCGCCGGTTTGGCAAACAGTCTCAGCGGTGCGTCACAGCAAGTCACGTTTCTTTCGCCACTGTGAGACGTCGACCCCGATCAACTGAATACTGTCCCATCGTCCGCTCTGCACTTCGTGCTTCTACACTGTACGCCTTCCAGACGCGCAAGCGCGGCGATCGCTCGAAGCTACCCCGCTACCCCGCCATCATCAACACCGTCACCAGCATCTGAACCATGTCGCATCACCACGACCACCACCATGGCCACGATGAAGAGCATGCCGAGGCCCACGACCACGCTCATGATCACGACGACGACGTTGTACCCGCCCTTCAGAACCTGCTCTACCAACAGATCGACTTCAGCCGGCTGCGCACGCTGAACGAAGATGAATCGGACCAGGGCCGCAGCATCTGCCAAAAGACGTGGGCGCAGCGGCTAGATCCGCAGCCGGAGCTGAAAAGCTTCGCCGACGAGCAGATTCTCATGATAGTGCCGTGCGTCCTTCAACTTCTTGTACATCTACAACACTAATAAACTCGCAGCTTCACAGGACAAGTCCGCCTCCACAGCATCCTAATCCGCACCTCCTCGACACCCGCATCTCCCAAAACCCTCAAAGTCTTCATCAACGACGATTCCCTCGACTTCAGCACCGCCTCGGACAAGCCACCCACCCAGACTCTCGAGATCTCACAGACTTCAGAGATCCAGGAGATCCCAGTGAAGCGCGCACTCTTCAACACGACACGGGCGCTCGCGTTATTCTTCGAGGATAACTGGAGCGACGGCGAGGAGGACGAGACAAGGATCAGCTACCTAGGCTTCAAAGGAGACTTCATGAAGCTGAACAAAGAGCCTGTCAACTTTATGGTGGAGCTGGCGGCGAACCCGAGTGATCACAAGACTATCGCTGGGGTGAAGGAGGGGTTGGGCAGGACGATTCAGTAGAGATTGAAATTGAACACACAGCCAGGAGACCAAATATAAGATGGTGGACTACGAAGCAGCACAGCGAGGCTTTGTGAACAGTACTCTCGGCGGTCACATCTTGTTCAAGTCTATGGTCCGCGCTGCACGGACATGGAATCGAGTGGGGAGTAGACATGCACGGAGGAACATGTCACGATATAAGTTCATGTGTATTGTCCACTCGTCGCTCAGAAGGCGCGTTAGATGGGACTGACATAGTCTTTTGTAGAACAAGCAAATCATCCATTTTCTACTGTGTCAGCCATACATTTAGGCATTTGCGCAGAGGTGACATACTCTGGGTATCATTCTTCAAACCAAACTAGCAAATCGTGTCCTCCAAGGCAGCAGTATGCCCATGCCGTCGCGTGGTCGCGCGGTTTGTTCCAGCGCGCCTGCATTCCACAGCTGTGGCAGCTTTCCTCCAATCTCAAGCGTCCTTCACATCTTCTCCGCAGATATCATTGTCCCGATTTCCAGTTCCTGTTCCCAGTTCGGACCTTCACACGTGCTTTGTCGTCCCCAGCACCTCCCCTCTAACCTGCGTCCAATCAATACTCGCGTCCAGCTCCTCCTCCACGCGCCCAACGATCGCCACACTGTCTCCTCTTATGATGTACAGGCCCAGCGGCACTTCTTCTGAGGGTACGTCTTCCTCGCGCGGCCGGATGATGCGCTCTACGGCTTCGGAGAGGACAAGGTTCATGCTGCCGTCGCAGGATTCGAGGGTACCGACCATTGTGCGTCCGTCGAGCGTGAGGACTGATACCTTTTCTGTAGGGATGCATCAGGAAAAGCAATTGCGCAAAGTTGAGAGAGGACAGGCATACTGTGAAGGTAGTGGTTAAGCGCCATTGTGATGGGGTAGAATGTATCGAGAGTCCGACGGGCGGTAATTAAACGCTCCGACGGGTTCGTCTCGCTGTCGTGGAGCAAAGCGGTGGTTTGGAGGAGTGACGTGAGTTGTTCGGCGGGAAGCGCTGGCAAAGCGTCCACAATGCGAGTGTAGGCGCGAAGCTTTGCGAAGAGGTCGAGATGCTCGGAACGTGCTGGTCTGTGCGCGGCCGCATGTTCGCAAGTCTGCCTCCAAGGACTCTGCGTCCTCCATGTATTGAATACGATTGGTAACATGTTACTATTTATTGTTTAAACCCGCAACTGTCATAGCCAGAGCTTCGTTCGTCTGGTCTGGTCTACGCCCTTATGCAGTTCGGTCTCACACCTCCTTCTCGATATCATCCGCACTCGGAATCCGATCTAACTTCGTGCCCATGAACTCACCAAGCTTCCTTACGCAATCCATCATGGTTTTCACATCCTCCAGACTGATGCCAATTCGTCTCGACCCGCGAATGTGCCACGCCGTCTCGAGCGGCAGATTCTGTATCATGATTCCGACCAACACGACCACCTCGGTATCGATATCGTCGACAACTTGCCGGTCGCTGAGGTACAGCCCATATGTGATCTCGGTGCTAATCCATCGAAAGTCCTTGTGAGCGTCGAACAGGGCGAGCGTCTTGTCTGTGTTGTGCGTGTAGATTTTCCTCAACCAGTCCATACCGCGGGCATGGTTCTCGCTATTGTTGGCCCAGCCTTCGCGCGAGAAGCTATAGTCGCGGTCCTCGGGGCGTTCCACTTTGGCTATGGCGAGGATGGCTTCGAGGGGTTTGCATACGCCGATGATGGAGACAAGCTTGACGAGCGCTTCGCGCAGGGTGCGAACAACCTTCTGTCGCTGGTCGCTTTGCTGGCAATCCGGTTTGCTAATGATGTAGAGGTAAAGCTGGTCTGCGAGAAGTGGCTCTGTTCCGCCAACCAGCGCCGCCAGCGTGAGGAGATACCAACGACTGTCGCCGAGGCTGGTGATGGTGAAGGCTTCTTCGATGGATTGGAAGAGCGCAGACACCTCCGGGCGAATAGCCGGGAGGGCAGGAGTTTCGGAAGCCATTCCGACTATTCGTAGTCGTTGCTCGGCGATATGGTGAGCGTAATGCTTCCCAGGTGTGTCGTTGCTAGGGTGAGGGAACCTGAGGGAATCGCTCTTTTCGTTCGTCGTTCGCTTTAGCAGACCGCAACAGGCGTACGTAAGTCTTCTCTTATCAGGCTCTAATATAACTTTTGTTCAACTGCCTGTTATCCAATGCTCGATACAATCCTGCAAATGCTCCGTTCGGTTTGGTCTTCTTGTCTAGTGATCCAATGAAACACTCGGTGACAACGCTTCTTTTTCGTTGGCAAGTCTACTGATCCAGATTGGGTGACGCAGCAGAGAAAGACTGGTAATTCACAATGGCGCTTGCGCTGTGTGTACAGTCGTGGTCGCTCTTGCTGTGTAGACCCCCACAGTGGGGCATAAGCCTTTCAGTGCCTCGGGGACGCTTGAGCGATTCCGAAGAGTGTGGCCCAACTGTTACACAGAACCACGCTTCTGGATACCCCAATTACAGCAAAGGGAAATCATTGCATGCCCGAGGCCTCCTCCAGTGTTCTGAAATGTCGGCCCTTCATCCTCCGAACCCATACATTCCAGGCAGGTGTCCTCAACATCAGGTCTGCGCGCAACACACACTGCCTCACTAAGCCGACTGTGCAAGAATAGCCCATTCTGTTCGTTCGTATTCGCCGGCGATGGTTTGTCACACTCCGAGATGTACAGCTTGGCTACCTGCAAGCGCGGTTGTAGGACGCTACGAATACAGGTTGCAGTCCAATAGACAGTTGAGGACTTCTTGAATCTTCTAATTCTTGTTTCCTTTGTCCACAATCTTCCTACGCCTGCCACAAGGTGACTGGAGCCATTTGTCGCCCCTCTCCCTCGCTGTACCACCAGCGATGATGTTTCAGTTGTCGCCTCTATAGAAAGGCGATATGCGCCTCGTGCCCGACCAAAAGCCAAAATCTTTTGATCTTGGTCAGTATCATATTCGTGTTGCTCAGCAGTCACTCTGGCCCTTGCTCGTCTCTGCTTCCCCATCCTTCACGATACATCCAAAGATTCAAAGGTACCACAGCCGGAATAATCTCGAACTCGACCATCATCTCTACGTCCTTGTACATCGCGGCTTTTGCTGTCGGCGTCTTGTTCGACTGAGGGTTTGGGCCATGATCAGGATTAGCAGGAGGTTCATGATTGTTGAAGTCACCACAGGTATATATTGGCTGCACGGCAAGCCATACTGCGAAATATTTCTCAGACTTTAACGTTTCCATAGAAGATTGTCAAGACTATAAGTGTACTTTCATGAGACTCCCCGCAAGCATGTCTAGTTCTGCCACACGTCTAAGAGCAAATACTTGCACCCAGACAATATCTTGAAGTAAGCATACCTGTCTATGGTTGTTTCTTTTCGGTGTCCAGCTGGCAGCTCTGCCTAGCAAGCCGCGTGGCCTATATTGTACCGCTCAGTGTAGCTTTCTAACCATCGGCGACCACCGCATGAGATCCACTGAGGTCCCGAGCAGGTCCCGACGATGCTCCTGTATCTGCGCCGGTCAAGACTGTACTCATGGCAAAACTGTACTCACGTCACCTCGTCGGTCTATTTGGGATTTTCAACCTCCGAGCTATCAAGCAGCCGCACTGACACTCGGCTATCGTCGTAGTTTTATACTGTGTATATTCTAATGTGTCTCATGCCAACCGGAAAAACCTGTGGCCGTCCCCCGTGTGCTCTTGCCTGCAGTTTCCACACCGTGACAAGATTCATTTTGCAGCCACAAGATAACTCGAATCAGGGACAATACCGAGAGCTTAATTCAAGGTTTCGCCGTCCACCCTACCTTTACTTGCGCTTCTACATTCGAGCCGAGCGCCTAATTCACATCGTGAAATGTGCGGTTGGACGCATTAGCTATCAGAAATCCAACGCGACCACGGCAGCAATCCTGCTCGAGCCCTAGACTACCAACAGTCCTCAAGAGCTACGTGTTTCGCGAGAGTGCATAGCACTCGCAAGATCGCAGGTTTTGGTATAACTCTAAACGCCAGTCGAGTGCAACTTTTCGATGAACCTACTGTACTGTGGAAGGCGAGATCCAGGCGATCTCAGGTTTTCAACACTACGGTCAAGCCGTTGCATAGAGCAAACTCTCCGAGCCCCGCAGAATAAGTAACTCATAGGTAAGTTATCTCGATATCATCGTGCATCAGCAACTCATAACAGGGGCCGTTGATTAGTATTCCTACAAAATGTACAAGAATTCTACGGTCCGAGTCGTATCCTCCTTTTGCGCTACGGCAGAGAAGCATGGCAGTCCGACGACATCTTGGACCCCAATTGCGGCGGGAGCCCTGGTAACCACTGAGGAGATACGCAGACAAGCACATCACCTCGCCACACTCCAACAAGGCACCCTGGTCATGTCACATATCGTAGGGAAGCATTGCAAGACCATGCTCGCCGACCGCACGAAATATCTCGCACGATACGCTGACGATGTAAATTCAGCGGACGCCAATGCAAACCACGCTTATTTTGTCCGGATCATGATCAAAATACAGGAATTATTAAGGGATCATGTTAGTGTTCAAGTGGTAGCCCAAGCCCCAGCAGCAAAGAACTCTAGCACGGTCACTTTAGGTACGCTTAGAAATCTCTACGATGCTCTGGAAGTCGAAGTTACCAACGAAGAGGTTGATTATCCCGATGATGTTTCCGAAGGTTCTGTGGCAAGCTCAACAGAGTCGACGTATGTACCTGATACGTTCGACCTTGAGGGGGATCTGCTGGCAAGCTGGAATCACTTCGTCAGCACCTACAAGCCGCTCTTCGAATACCCAGATAAACGATTGTCAGACACGGAGCATCTTGACCAGCCATTTTTCGAACACTTAGAAGAACGATTGTCCAACGCCGAGTATCTTGACTACTGGTAGTACCAAGACCAAGATGACATGGGCCGAAACTTCGATTACTCCACCCTCAAGCCAGGCGTGGCTGCCTTTTCCACAGAAGTTGCTGTCGCCTTGCTTGGTGACCAAGAGGAAGAGATATACAAGGCCAGGGACGCTCTCATCACGCTTACAGGGAAAAAGGACTTCCTTCACTTCGCGGAAAACCCGAAAGATCGACGTTACCTTTTGTCTCGAACGCCGGAAGACGTTACAGTGCTGAGGAAAGTGCATGGACAGAGCTATCTACTTCCATTCAACCTGTTGACAACGCCCCACCCTGGTATTCCCTACCTAAGCGAGCATGAACGTTTGATCAGGGGCGATCGAGATGCCGCACTAGCCCGCTTCATGATGGACCTCAATCTTGAACGCGTAAGTTCACGTGTACCAGAATCATCGAGACAGTCCCACTAATGTTGATTAGCGATCACACGAAGCATTCTGAAAAGCGACTTAATTGTTTCCAAGTAGTTAGGATGCCATATCTCGGGTGATTCGGAGGATCAATGAGGTGACCGATACAAAGGTTTCCGATAGGGTTCTGGTGCAAACAACCTTCTGTGCCTCTTTACTCCAACTAGCAATCAGGATGGACCCACTGCAATCCCACTGCGAGCTTCTGCAGACCTGCAATGACCTGAATGGCCTTGCAATTAAGTTTCGGAGCCGATTCGAGATCAATTCACGATGCGAAGAGCTTCTGGGGAAATTGGAAGCTGCTATCTCATGGGTGAGGGAATGGCCAGTTCCATTGCTTCGCGAAGAAGAGGTGGTAAAAATTAGCCAGGATCCAGTCAAGCAGCAACAACTGGAGGGCATGATCCCTTCCGCAATCATGATTTGTTGCTCGGAAGGGCAAATCTGACGCTATGTGGCAAGTTTCGTCTCCTTCTTTTCGTGCTGGCAGAAGACTTCAGTCTTTGCGTTTTCAGCAGGCTGCGTGTTTTCTATATACGTTTTCCCTTGGATAACCTGTATGAAGAGGAATTGCAGGACGGTTGTCGTCCATTCAAACAAAAGCATTCAGTCATAAGAAGTATAATTCATGATATGTGTGTGTAGTGTTAGCTTGTTTCCACAGCAGCCTCATCTTCTTCGGATTTCCTCGATGATTTCTTGCCAACTCTTCTTATCCATGCCCAACGCTTCTCTCGCCATCTCCATCTCCTCCTGTGTCGGCAAGTTTACTATGGTCAGGTACATGACATCCGGCTTGAGGGCTTTCTTCACACCCTTCATAGCATATTCTATTGGTCCTCTAGGCTGCTTTGCTGGTTGCTTCGCTTTAGGCAATAGCTTGCCGTCCTCGCCAACTTCCCGGAATTGAGAACCACGGATTTGTCTGAGCTGGTCAAGACGGCTGGGGCCTCTCCTGCCATGCACATAGTCGTCATCGTAGTCGTATGCTGTGGAACTTCCGCGTTCGCGGCCAGGAAGCAAACCTTCGCGTGCGCTGCGAAGACCACCGCTTCCGCCATTGCTTCTGCTTCTGCCACCAACACCACCCTCTTGAAGACTTTCGACTGCTGCAAGCGCACTTCCAAGAAGTCCGCCACGTTGGCGACCACCTCCACGGCCACCTGCACCGCGCATGCCAAGTAGTCCACGGCCTTCCACAACAACCTTTCCACCTGTCACAAGGGACACTAGGTGTCCATTGTTGCAGGCGTTGTTCGGATCTGCAAAGCGATTCTTGAATTCTGGTGCCTCCCCGTGTGCCTTCGTGAGAGCTGCATCCGGATTGTTCCCCGAGAAATTTGCCTGCGCCCGTCGGTCGAAGTAATCCGCAACAAAGTCCTTATTGCGCATCATTCTCTCCTTGAAACTTTCATCACGTTTGAGCTCCGGGCGCTTCACCATATCGTCGAGACCAGGATAGATAAGTGGTGCGATCTCCAGCGGCATCTCATCAACGTTTGCTTTGCCGGATGCTATGCGAAGGGGACGAGTGAACTTTGCAGATTTCGACGCGGGGGAATCCCCAGGAAGTCCCCATTTTGAAACATTTTTAGCGTTTTCGAAGTTCACAGTCTCCATGCCGAGCTGGATGCCGCCAGTGACGCTGGCGTCTTGTTTGCAGATTATTACCATTGCATAGAGTCCCGCAGGCATAAAGACATCCTTGTTCATTTGGTCCAGGAAGGTGTTTGATCTAGCCCTGCCCTGTATTTCGTGACCAACTCTGCAATGTAATTAGCGAAAATGTTCGTGCAGCATGGGTAGCATCCATGGTACGTACTCAGCAGCAATCGACACAGCAGTGGTGACACCCATTACTATCGGTCCTGGCATTGCCATGCCGACGATTCCCGCTGTCAAAGAGACTGCCTTGAACCAAGGCGATCCTTGCGCAGATTTGTCCCAACTTTCCAGAAACTTCATGAAAGTGTCCTGGTCGATGCCCAGTGGCTCCAAATCCGGAGCATATGCACGCGTCCATCCCCTCGCTTTCGAGCCCGGCCGCCTCTGTGGTATAATCACGGGATTAGGGAGTCGCGACACTTCTCCGTTGTGTATCTGTGTTTGGTGGTTCTTCGCTTCAGCAACGGTATGTGCGAGCTCCGCGATGGCCTGATCGGAATTCGAGGTGATAACCTCGTACGATGGAGGAGAGCCTGCGGCTTCGTCTAGCGCCCACATACGTTCCTCGTTAGCCGTCTCTTCATCTTCAAGCGACTTCCCGTTGACTTCTGGCGGATTCTCGTTTGCATCATCATCGGTATTACGACTTGATTCCCCTCGCTCTTGTTCTGCCAATGCTGCTTTGCGGTCCTTTCGATCATGGTATTTCTCGCCAGCGAGGCCGATTCCGACTGAGACGCCCTGCGCAAGCTTTCCGATAAGGCCAGTCATGACGCTGCTACGTGGGTTCTAACGAAGTAAAACCAACGAATTCAATAGGGCCTCAGATTTTAATTAGTCAACACTGATTTTAAGAAGACGTGTTTGATCGAGATATACTGAAGCATCCCCGACAGCTGGGCAGAGTACTACTTATACCCTCCTCGCGGTGCATCCCCAAATGCGCTCCATGCACCTATCTAGCCCTTCGTGGGAGCCAGTGCGAGACAAGCACTGCCATGGTGGAACTGAAAGCTTCGGTGGCTTCGTATGAACCCCGCCTTGCGTTCCCGGCAAGTTTTGATAGGCAAAGCTGGTAGGCAATCCCATGGTAGGGTCGAAGAAAGTGCTGACAGGGGCCGCAACCGGGATGGACCGGGGCCAGTGGCTGTGCGGAAGCTGAGATGCGATTGGCCAGCGCACTCGTGTCCCAAACAAGTCAAGCCCACGAAACTTCACAGTTCTCCGTAGAAGGTATCGACGCGCGGACAAACGAAGGCTCGCGTTGGCAAGTAAAAGCGCTGCATCGCTTGTCCCCTTGGTCTGGATGAACAATCGGTTGATGCCTTATCATGTGAAAGCAGTTAATTGCAAATGTTAGCGTACGGGTCGCAAGCTAGGGCACGGCAGCTGCCATCGTGATACGAGAGGAGCAATTACTGTTATCCGTAGATTGACCTCTCCATGTCATGAAGATTGGACTTCGACAATGATCCTAGTGTCTGCAGCGAGAGACCATTTGCAAAATTGATGCACGAGTTTCCAAACCTTGAGAGGCCCTTGGTCTCTATGTGTTCCGCTTCGCATCAGAAAACGAAGCTAGGCGAGGTCGCGGTGAAGACGGAGGAGTCGAAATTGAGGGTGAAGTATTGACTTCTGGGTCACTTGTCAACGAGCAAACCTGGGCGAGTATGGCACAAAATTCGCGCCTTTGGAGAGAAGCAGAGAGCCTGGGCGCGCACTGCCCGGCTGTAGGCAGTGGGCCCCTGTCCGCGAATTATCTCTGTTCTTCATATTCGAGAAGTGATGAACATGTCCGACATCCAGTATTTAGGATGCGTGTGAGACTTTTGAGTCGTACGGCCGTAAGGCCGTGAGGCTGCTGAAGTGCACCAAACCGGAGAAGCGCATTGCGCTAGGCGACCGAGTCACTCCGACTCGGGAGGACCCTTCGTCCGACAAGTCCACCATTCAAGCCATCTGATTCACCTATCATCTCGCCGGCGGAGATTTTGCAGTGTGGACTGAGGCATGCGTAGTCGCGCCTATCCGTCATTGGCGCTCCGTCGTCTCGAGATCGACTGCTTCTTACCCGCGAAAGCGTGAAGGCTGACGAGGGCAATGTCACTGCGCCCAGAGCTAGAGAGGGGGCCGTGAACGTCTGCGCATGAATGTTATTTTAGATTTGTGTATAAGAACAACGGAACCCATCCCAATCTCTTATCCAGCAGCAACAACAAACACACCCCACATCAGACACACTTCTTCTAGCCTTACACTCCTCGCTCGGCGACTCCCACCCTCAGACAATATTCCGCACAACATGGCAACCACTATCCGCAAGGCTCTCATCCCGTCGTTCGGTGATGCATCACATATTGAAATCGTTGATGCTCAAATCGAGCCCCCAGCAGCGAACCATGTCCAGATCAAGACCATCTACGCTGGAATGGGTGGCGCCGACTTCCTAATGCGCGAGGGCACCTACCCTCAACAAAGGAGCGCTCCGTTGACGCCTGGATACAACCTTATCGGGAGGGTCCACAAGAATGGTCCCGGAAGCTCGAAGTTTCAAGTTGGCGACATGGTCGCCTGCCTCACCAAGTACGATGCCGACGCTGAGCTCTGCAACTGCCCCGAGAAGTACCTTGTCCCGGTTCCTGAAGGTATCGATCTTAAGCAGGCAGTAACCTTGGTCCTCGACTGGGCTACAGCCTACGGCATGGTTTACCGCACCGCGCAAGTAAGCAAAGGCCAAAAAGTATTCATACACGGTCTGAGCGGCTCGGTCGGCTACGCACTGCTCACGCTCTGCAAGCTAGAGGGCGCTGAGGTCTACGGTACGGCACATCCATCGAAACTTGATCAGCTCCGTAAGGATGGCGTCACACCGTTCAGCTACAAGGACAAGAACTGGATTCAGACCATGATAGGCATGGGAGGAGTTGAAGCAGCTTTCGATGCGCTCGGGTGCGTAACATCAATTCCACATAAGTGTTTTCTTGCCTGCTAACGCAATCACAGATACGAGTCCTGGGACGAAAGCTGGCAGATCATCAACCCCAAGGGTGGGCGGCTCGTTGGCTACGGTGGAAACCAAAACACCCTTAACGGGGAGTCGGGCAATAGAGGCCAGCTTCCCTCCATTGCGAAGCTTCTAGCAAGGGGTGCAAATCCCTTCTGCCCTAAGCACACAAGTTTCTTCTACATCGACCGAGACCAGAAAACGTACGGGCCAGAACTGCAGAAGTGCTTTGACTTGTTGGTCTCCGGCAAAATCCAGGTTCCAATCAAGAAGGTGTGGACTCTGGAACAAATCCCGGAAGCGCACAGGGAGAGAAACAACTTGCCCGGTATCGGCTCAGTGGTGGTGAAGATCAATGACGATCTGGAAGCGTAATTGGATATTTTTATAGCTGCATCTTATACCCGAAATCTATTCACTTTCCGACCTTTTACCAGACAGAACCCATCTATTCGGCCTCTATTGACTCTTTATGCTAACTTGCTGAAACAACTATCTGTTCTGCTTATGATCTCACCTCAAACGCCTACTGACTGGCTCCTGGTTCCAGACACTATCCTTCTGCCTCCATGCCCAGCATCTACACCACCGCCCTGTGTGTTCAAGAACACTCCTACAGGCCAATGGGCAACGACACATCCTCCAGGGTATTGCTCCGATATCGTGCATTGGCACCACGTCTCCGACATTGACTTTGGTAGGGCTACACCGCAGTTCTAAGGTATCTGCGGGCTTCTTCGGGCTACAAGAATTGCATGCAGACCGCTGCCCGCCGATCAGCCACAGCATGAAGCCCAGGTGTCACAGATGCCGTAGGTTTATCGCTTGCTCGTTCTGTGCAACGGTCCCACCAAAGGTTACATTATTTAAGAGGGTGTCTTTGGGGCTGAACATCTTTCTCTTTTGTGATCGGAGCGCGCGTCGTTTTCTTGTTTCTCTACATTGACGTGGGACTTGCAAGGCGACCTTCGGGATATTATTATTTCACGCCCAACACTTTGAAAGACGAACAAGATGGCCCACGGTAAATCAGCCATCTCCCACAAAGAAGACAGCTCGACTCGGACTTCCCACGGAGATGCGTACGACGCACAGAAAGACTGGACAGTCGAGGAAGAGCAGGCAGTCAGGTACTCCGTACCAGCACCTACCATATCGATCTTCGCTAAATGATCAAAAGGAAGAAAGTAGACCGTCGCATCTTCCCTATGCTCTGCATCGTCTTTGGTCTCTCCCTCATTGACAGGACAAATATTTCGGCCGCATACGTCGCTGGTCTTGGAAGGGATCTACACTTGGATGTCGGCTCGCGATACAATCTAGCTTTGCTCATTTTCTGCGTCTGTGTGTGTTGACCCAAGCCTCGCTGAGAATGAAATGCTGATACTTGGAAAGCTTATGCGTTATTCGACCTGCCATCAAACATCATTATTCGCCGCGTAGGTGCAAGGCGCTGGCTCAGCTTCCTCATCTGCGCGTGGGGATGTATCGTCCTAGGAATAGGCTTCGTTGACGACTGGCGGTTTCTCATCGTACTAAGAACACTTCTTGGAGTATTCGAGGCTGGGAGTAAGTTGCGGTTCCTCTGTCCGGGGACGTTGCAAGTCGGCTATGCTGATTGAAATAAGTATTGCCTGGTGCTGTGTACATCATCTCGTCATGGTATCGCCAATTCGAATCCGCGAAGCGTATGTCGATATGCATCGGCGCGGCTCAGCTTTTCCTGGCGTTTGGTCCTGTGGTAACTCCAGTACCTTCGTCCCAGACGTTCGAGCTCACAATGATAGATCGCGTACGTCCTGAGCCTGATACGTGTAGGTGACAGAAAATTCAGCCACGGGTGGCGCTGGATCTTCCTCGTTGAGGGAATGATCACCATAGTCGCTGGGCTTTTATCGCCAATATTCCTGGTCGATTGTGAGTTTGCATAGTACTAGGACTAGGACAAAAGTCTGGGCACAAGTGACCTGCACGTTGCCTAACCCTAAAGCAACACATTGTACTCGGCCTTTTGTCTTAGTGCTATAATCGCCCAGCAGCGGCCCTAAAAGACTGACACTTTTTCAGTTCCGGAGAAAGCAGGCTTCCTGACCGACCGCCAGAAGTACATCGCCACATCGCGCGTCAGTCTAGAGCAAGAAGGCGCTCATGCGGAGCACGTCTCGTTCAAAGATTCCCTGAAAATTCTGTGGGACTGGAAAATTGGTGTCTACTGCGTCCAGCATTTTGTCGTGGCTTCCAGCATATACTCACTCAATTTCTTCCTCCCCATCATCCTTCGGGATAACTTAGGTTCGGCTTCACTTAGACATCGGATTCTGCAGCACTGATTCTACCTTCAGGTTTCTCGTATGCACTCAGCCAGCTTCTGTGCACGCCACCATACGTATTTGGAAACATCCTACCCTTTGTCGTCGCTTATTGGTCTGACAAGCACAAACTCAGATGGCCAATGCTTGTGTCACAGTCTGTCTCTGTTATTGTAAGGGAGACCAAAGTACATGATCATCGTGTCTTAGTAACAGATATCTTGTACCTACTGCGATGGTAGGGACTCCCGCTGACTTTGTGCCTGCGTATCCAGATCGGTCTACTCATCGCGATGTACACAAAGCCACCTGGTGTTCGCTACTTCGGTATCTTTCTTGCGGCGTTCGGTACACAAGCCAATGTCCCGGCCACACTGGTTTATGGACAGAATCAGACCGCCAAGGTTCAGAAGCGAGCTGTCGTAGCCGCGGCAATGGTCAGCGCTGGTGGCCTTGGAGGTATTTGCGGAAGCCTCATTTTCAGGAGACAGGACGCGCCGTGGTATTTTCCAGGCATGTGGGCCACAATTGCATTGCAAATGCTTTACTCAATCGTCACGATCTGCATGTCGATGCATTTCACACGTATGAACAGGCTGGCAGACGAAGGCAAGAAGACATCGCTGGAAGGTGTGCAAGGGTTTCGATATGCGCCTTAGTGGGTACCGGGGCCATACATAGGAGATACGTTGGGCGTTTATTCGGACGACGAAATGGACGAGTTTGTGTCGGGGTCGGGCGAAAGGCACTTCCCCGGGTCTCCAACTTTGGTGTCAAAATATGGCGCGTCACGAGCAAATCCAGTACTGGGTGGTGAGGCAGTTAAAAGCAAGGCATCATTCGTAGGGATGTTCTCACGCGTGTAGTCGCCCCACCATACTATGATGCAGGCGATCTCGCTTCCTTGATGCCCTGTTGCTGTTTGACTCGTCAAACCTCCATCTACCAGCAAGCTTTGCCCAGTTACGTATTTGCTAGCATCGCTTGCCAACCACAGAGCAGCGTTTGCGACATCTTCGGGTTCACCCATTTGTCCGATCGGAACGTTGTGTTGTAATCTTCCTATACACCTCTTTATCATCGTCTTTCTCATTCGTTTCAAAGCTTTCGACCATTGGCGTTAGAATCATGCCGGGTACGACGCAGATCAGCCGGACGTTCTTTGGCGCGTTGATGACGGCCGGTGCACGCGTAAAGTGCAGAATTGCGGGCTTCGCGGTCGAATTGTTAGCTCTGCTTAGTGCGTGTTTATAATTATTATGAACACGACACGCAGTAGATAGTATAAGAAGATCACGTTCGGGCACATGCCGACACGAATACGCTACTTGCGGCTTCCCTAAATAAGCTGTTCCGACAAGGCCCGAATTCGACACGATAGCGCCAGAACCTGTGCTTTTCCATGATGGGCAGAACGTGATGGCATGCAAGGCAGACGCTTGTCATATTCAAGGCCAATTGCAAATCTCATGGCTCTTCCGGGATACGTGCTGGATTTCCGGGCCAAGTCATCCCCACGTTATTGACCAATATCTCTATGCAACCGTATTGTTGCATAGCTGCTTCGACCACACTGCGTACATCGGCGGAAGATGGTACATTGGCGGTCATAACGCCACAGGCACCGCCTTCTTCACGGAGCCGTGAGGCTGAGAACTGGGCGGCCTCAAGGCTGGGATCGCAGCCAACGAGCTTCACGCCGTTCTGGGAAAGAGCACGCGCCATGGCTGCTCCATTGCCCCAGACAGAAAAGCCTTTGATGCGAGACTGGCCGATACCCATGACGAGACCCACTTTGCCATGGAGGTCCGGGAACGATGGAAGCGTGGTTATGTTCGGCGTTTCTGTAGGGGCTTTCGGCTTTGGGAGAGGATGAAAGGAAGACAATAGGGTCTGCGAGGGTCAAAATGCCATTATTGTCTTGTGGACACCATGATCCGAGGCCTTGTCAGAGGGCGCTCGGGGATGTGAACGCTGCTTCCGATCCATAGCACCGAAGTCCTCGCGGTGTTCGCGGGGTATATGTGGAGAGAAATCGTGTTGGGGTGATGCAGCGGGGTGTTAGTGGCTTGGGGCATCATCGTCGCCCCCCGCACTACTACCCGATATCGCGCGGGTAGGTCAGCCGAAAGGGCAACAGTGCCCGTGCTGGGAAAACACACATGACTCAAGGTGGGTTACACGAGGCTCAGTGGAAACGAGCGTGCCTATAACATCGTATAAGGGCGCAGCTCCAACGCCCATTGCTTCAATTTGTTCTCCAGACCACGCAACCCAACCATCCTCTGCAAGCAAAGACCGTAAATTCACCTGCTCAGAAGTCCGGGCACGTCGCCAACCATGGGTGCTCACGATGGGAACGGTCCGTCAGCCCAGCGCGTCGAGCCGGGCTCCGTCAATGTCCCATTGGGCTCCTACCCCGCAACGTCAACAAGTTCGAACGTCGATGCAGCAAAGGTGGCACACGAGATCATCTCAAGTCTAGGGCATGCCGTTTCCAGCAAGGACTCTGCTGCAATTGCGAAGCTATTCCTGGACGACAAGAGCTATTGGAGGGACCACCTAGCTCTCACGTGGGAGCTCAGGACCTTAAAAGGAAGCGACAAGATCGCTAAGTTTGTGGCGTCGAGCAGCACACCACTCACAAAGATCAACGTTGACACTAGCGAACCTCACAGGCAGCCCAAGTTTGGACCGATAGACGGGGTCGGCGAAGTAAACGGTATTGCGACATACTTCAGCTTCGAGACGCAAATCGGACGCGGTCGGGGTGTCTTGAACTTGGCTGAAGAAGACGGAACATGGAAGATCTTCACCATCTGCACAGTTCTGGCGGAGCTCAAGGGCTATGAGGAGCCTACGGGGAAGAGGAGGACCAAAGGCGTTCAACATGGAGGTGATCCTAACCGTAAGAACTGGCGTGAGAGGCGTGAGGCTGAGAGCAATTTGGAAGGCATCGATCCCAAGGTTCTGATCATTGGTGCTGGTCAGGGAGGACTCGCCGCCTCAGCCAGACTGAAGATGCTTAATATCCCTTCCTTGATGGTGGACATGAATGAACGGGTGGGGGACAATTGGCGCAAGCGGTATCACCAGCTCGTACTTCACGATCCCGTCTGGTACGACCACTTGCCCTACATCCCGTTTCCACCTCATTGGCCGGTCTTTACTCCCAAAGATAAACTCGCTGATTGGTTCGAGTCATATGTGAAGCACCTAGAGCTCAACGTATGGACATCCACTAAGCTTACATCATCTTCTTGGGATGAGGGTAAAAAGCAGTGGACAGTCACAATTGAGCGCAAGCTACCCAATGGCTCGACGGAAACGCGTACCTTCTATCCCAATCACATCATCCAAGCGACAGGACACTCGGGAAAGAAGAACTTCCCCAAGTTGCCGGGCATGGAGACCTTCAAGGGTTCGCGTCTATGCCACTCTTCCGAATTCTCCGGTGCCCGCCCCAACTCGAAGGGTACAAAGGCTGTGGTCGTCGGCTGCTGTAACTCCGGTCATGACATTGCGCAGGATTTTTACGAGAAAGGCTACGATGTCACAATTGTCCAGCGCAGCACTACTTGCGTAATATCGTCCGAATCTATCACTGACATCGGTCTGAAGGGGCTTTACGACGAAGACGGCCCACCAACAGAAGATGCAGATCTCGCTTTGTGGTCGATGCCGAGCGAAATTATGAAGACTCTACAGGTCAAGGTCACGAAATTGCAGAACGAGAATGACAGGGAGCTTCTCGATGGACTGCGTGCCGCAGGCTTCGGCATTGACATGGGAGACATGGACTCCGGGCTCCTCATCAAATACTACCAGCGTGGAGGTGGTTATTACATCGATGTAGGAGCGTCACAACTCATCATTGACGGCAAGATCAAAGTCAAACAGGGTCAAGAACTTGCAAAAATCCTGCCGGACGGCATCGAATTCGCAGACGGCTCAAAGTTGGAGGCTGATGAGATTGTATTCGCGACTGGCTATCAGAACATGCGAACCGAAGCGAGAAGTATCTTTGGCGAAGCAGTGGCTGATCGTGTCGGCGATGTTTGGGGCTTGAACGCCGAAGGCGAGTTCAGAACCATGTGGCAGCGGTCGGGACATCCTGGTTTTTGGTATGTCTCCAATCACACTGTAGTAGAATTGGAGAAAGCCAGCTCTGACATACGATACAGGTTCATGGGAGGAAATCTGGCGATCACGAGATACTATTCCAGATTGCTTGCGCTGCAGATCAAGGCCATCGAGGAAGGGATACTAGAAAATGAGGGTCAGAGCGAGCGTGCCCGGCTATAGTGAGCCAAACCTGATGAATATGTAACAAATCGAGTACATTAGCGGAATCAATGACACAGTGGTCCTACATATCGTCCATTCTGTGATGAAGTTGCTATCGTGCGCTGTTCTCCGTTTTGCAAGGGGTCCGCAGCCCCACCACAGCTATCTCGCGCCGGGATACCCCTCACTCGTACGGCTATTTCGAGCCGCTGTTCTGTTGCCTCCATAACGGAAATTGACAATTGATTTGGAGTACGTCTTGAACACCTCTTTTAGTAATCCATAAGATGGGAAATAAACGCGCGCTTGTAGGCTACGGCATCGACGTTGATGCGGTGGCTAATCACATCAACACCACAAATGGAGGACCTCCAAATCTTACAAATGTATCACGAGGTATTGCTTTTGTTTCCCGTGCGATGGGTGTCTGTCTAATCCTTATGCAGGCGTCTTTGGGGCCACTCGAGGTGTAGAGCGCCTCCTAGAGCTGTACGAAAAGTACAACATCAAAGCAACATGGTACACACCTGGCCATACCATCGAAACTTTTCCGGATAGTATAGCCAAGATCAGGGATTCAGGGCACGAGATGTGAGCGCGATTTTCGAACCGAATCTTGACATAGCAACTGAGACGACAGCGCGCTCCATGGCTACACGCACGAGTTCTGCTCCGATCTCACGCGCGAACAACTGGAAGCCATCTTCGTGAAGACGATCAAGATCGCAAAAGACTTCTGCGGAAAACCGCCTCTCGGTTTCACCTCGCCTGCCTGGAAGAACCATCCTGATCAAATCGAACTGATGGGCAAGCTGGGCCTCAAATACGACCACTCCTTCATGCATGACGACTTTCAGCCGTATTATGTCAGCACCGGAAAAGAAGAGATGGTAACTACAGATTATTCAAAGCACCCCGATGAATGGATGGTGCCTATGAAACACGCAGAGAAGAGTGATATCGTAGAGATCCCTGCGAACTGGACATTGGATGACTGGCCACCATTCCAATGGGATGGTGCAAGACCGAATGCGGTGCGTATGTTGATCGGATTTTGAGATGCCCGCACTTATATGATTCTGGTGACAGCACGGCTACGTTGATCCATATTCCGTGGAGCGGACTTGGCAAGACATGTTCACCTGGTGCTATGAGCACTACGACACATTCATCTTCCCAATCAGTATTCACCCGCAGGTATCAGGCCGTCCGCACATTCTAATGATGCATGAACGATTCATCAAGTGGGTGAATACGCATGAAGGCGTTGAATGGTGCACAGCAGCACAGATGGCTGAAGAGTTCCGATCTGGAAGACTTAGCGGGACTGGGAAATAGCAGCCTGCAAGAACGCATGTAGATAGTGAGGCAACGAGCCTCAGTCGGCGATCCCATGCATTTCCTATCTCGAACATACCGATTGCTCGGAAGGTCGGTGTTTGTCTAGCTGCTGGAGCTACCCCTCAGCGGGGCCTCGCGGAGATCAGCGAAGATAGGTACCTTGTCATGCATGCAACGCTTTACTTTTTTGAGAAATGCATCTACTAAAAGGTTAAGAGCTCCATAAATCGCATGAGAAGGTGTGGCAAATTGAGGGTAAATTGACTGTGAGATTCGAGGCCAATTAGATTCTCTGCGGTGGAACCTGACTCGTGCGCATAGCGGGGCATTCTTTGTCTCGATGTGCCTCATCCACATTTGCCATTGACGTGTATCGACAAGTCCTCTATTACTTTCCACGATGAGTGAGCCGCAGCGAATCCTCATCGTAGGCGGGGGCCAGGGTATCGGCTGGGAGGTGACCAAATCCATCCTGAGACTTTCTCCTCAAGCACGCATTGCCGTTTTTGGGATCCATCTGGAAGAGGAAGTACAAAACCTACCGACCACGGCCAATGGCCGTGTGCCGGTTGTTTCTGAGGGCGATATAACATCCGAGAATGACCGCCAATTGCTTGTTAAAGAATGCTTGGAGGAGATGGGTGGTATTGACACGCTTGTTTTTACCGCGGGGGTCATTACGCCGATCGAGCGAATCGAGAAGCTAAACATGGAGGATGTGAAGAGGACCTTCGACGTAAACGTCTTTGGGTGCATGGCAATGGTACGAACTTCAGCTTTTCAGCATGCTCGGATAGAATAGCTAACGCGATACAGTGCCAGCTGTGTCTCCCGTACCTCCGCCAGTCACGGATCAAAAACCCTACGAACGTAGCATACGGGAAGGCCATCATCCTTTCTTCTGGATGCGACAAAGAGATCTCCTACCACGGTTGGATGCCATATTGTACTACCAAAGCAGCGCTCACACGCTTCATCGAGATGCTTGCGCACGAAGAGCCTCTCCTTACAGTACAGGGCGTGTATCCGAAGCTGACGCGCACGAAAATGCCCGAGGACATAATTGCAGGCAAGTACAAAGGAGTCATGGCTGACCATGAGATCGAGAAGTTCAGGGTCTGGAACGAAATTGGGGACGAGATGGTGGAGCCACCGGAGTGGTGCGGAGAAGCTGTTGGGAAGCTGGCTCTAGGGCTGTATCCCGGAGGAAAGAGCGGGGAGTCTTTGGACTACGATATACATGTCCCCGTTGGGCTGCGTAGAAAATGACGTAGATGTATAGCACGAAGTGACTTCGAGTGAAGGTGTTCTGGAGGTTGAAGTCACTGTCTAACTTGATTGGGAATAGCAGCGGAGTGGGCGCGGTGCTTTCCGTCTGAGCATACATGGCGCCTTTCATGCTTACACCATGCCCAACACGCCATGAGTTTTCAGTTTATAACGAATGACATAGGACCTAAGGAGAGACGTCTCATTCGTTCCCATGTTATGCATGGGAAGAACGCTGGACGACCACGTCCAGATCGCCGAAAGAAACGCGATGCTGCCACCCAGCAACTCGCCTCTCAACACGACGCCGCGCACAAAGACAACAGGATGGTCTCACAGCTTCGAATACAAGATCTTCACCGTTCGGGCTTATTTGATCGCTTGATCTGTAACGATTTGGCTTTTGCCGAAATTCCTCGACAAAGTACTAAATCTATTGAGCATTTACGCCAATGTAAGGCAGCATTATACAGGTCACTGTACATACTGGATATTGAAATTCTAGGGATCTCGATACTCGACAGAAGGTTATATCCACCGGAGTTCTGCTCGAAACTTGACTTCATGGACTACGTTTGGCTGCAATATGTTTTCTATGACGAAGGATGTATCTGAAGTCTTGCTCGATTGACTACCTTCACAGCTGACCTCCTCAGATATGCATGGCGTGCTTGCTATTAAGTCATCATTTCGGGATTACCTCGAGATGCAGGCCGAAGCTTCGCCAGACGCGTTGGAGCATTTGTCGAAAGCTTACAAGTTGACCCGGCGTAGACTCGCAGGCCCTGAAGCAATCTCAGATAAAGCAATAGCAGGTGTCACAATCCTTGCTATATATCAGCTCGTACATGGGAATGTAGACATTGGATTACTACATTTCGATGGATTGTACCACATGGTACGCTTGCGGGGTGGCCTGGCAAAGCTCATGGAACACAATCGTGCATTGGCTCAAAAGCCGTGGAGGTAAGTCCATGCAGCCTATGAAAGATCTCTTCCCTTAGTTATGTCCAGGATCGATCTAGAGTTTGCACTGCAAAGTGGCCTACCCATGCGATTTGCTGGTTCTGAAACACCTATCTCTGCGAATAAGGGGATGAATCCAAGAGTTATCAGCCCGACATATACAAAGCTTTGCGGGTTTGGCATGGACATAGAACTTGTCTGTTTGCTGTCCGATACTACGGCCTTCACCAACTCCCTCAATACGATCGACGAGCTGAGCAGACTGGATCCACTGGACTTCTCCGAACAGGCTTTTCAACTTATTCATCGATTAATTGACTTCGCGCCTTTACAGGGAGAGAGACCCAGTCACCCACTGGACGATCTACTCCAGCTGACCCTTCTCGCCATGATGACAACAGCGCTGCCAAACTATACAAGCGACAAACTACGCTATGCGCTTTTAGCAAAACAACTCAAAAGAGCTATCTTGCGTTATGTGGCCACAACCGATACGGACGGTGAGCTTCTGCTATGGGCAATTTTCATTGGCCGAGTTTCGATCCTGCATTGCGATCAGGACGATTGGATCGCGCCTATCTTTTCAAGAGTCAGTCAACAGGCTCAGATTCATGAGTGGCCACAAATTCGGCGAATTCTTGCCCAATACTGTTGGATACATACTTTACACAACACTGTGGGGATAAGAATCTGGGGAACCCTTAGCAAGATGAAAGCTACATAGGAGCCACAGCACCTACCGTTCCGCGCGCAAGATTCGTGGCAGTGTAAATGGAACATTCAGCCCTGCACAAGAACCATGGCACAATAAAGTGCACGTGCTGCATCGTTGGGGCGACTTCGGACGCCGTGCGCTAATCCCGAAAAGGATGCCAATGTCCAACTCATTCAGCCAATAGCGAGTAAGCAAAAACTGGTTGGCATCAAACTCACCAGTACTCACGGTGTAAAGTTGGTCCAGTTCGTCCGCTGGGTTGGCTTTCGATCCGGAGATAACGGTGGGCATGGAGGATAATATACCGTCTCGATGTCGCATAAGAAGTAAAGAAAGCCCACAGAAATTGCATCCGATAAGCACCACAATCGCTTGGTTTGGCTATCGTCTTGTGTTTGAGCATATCCGTATACCAATCTCACCTTCTGAACCTACGAGTTTCTAAGGCTCCATCATCGCTGTCCGAGATGTCAATTCCCCAAATTCTCGGAGAAGGCCTATTCGCAAAACTTCCTGTCCTGGTCAATGAAGATACCTGTGCCGGAAAAACTTACATCATCACCGGCGGAAACCACGGCCTTGGTCTTGAGACAGCCCGACATCTCGTACGCAGCTTCGCTGCTCGTGTCATCCTCACTGTGCGGAACATGAAAGCAGGTGAGAATGCAAAAGCCGACATCGAGCGTGCGACCGGACGAACAGGCGTCATCGAGCTATGGGACCTTGACCTCGCTTCATACGACTCGATCAAAGCTTTTGCGAGCAAGCTATGTTCTGATACTGGACGGATAGATGCATTCATCGCCAACGCGGGTGTGCAGATGGATAGGTGGGAAAGCGCACAAGGCATGGAACTATCTATGCAAGTCAATGTGATTAGCACCATGCTACTCGCTGTCTTGATACTTCCGAAGCTTATGGAGAGTGCGAATAGCTACAGAAATGAACCCAAGCTAGTGTTCGTAGGCAGCGCACTTGGGTTCGTGGCCAAAGAGGATTTGGCGAAATGTGGACAGGCCAATGTCTTCGCAGCACTAAACGAACCCACTCGTGCGAATATGGACCAAAGGTAGTCGGCATTCACTCCATGTTAGTCAGAAGCACCATCTAACGCCTGTGCAGGTACGCTCTTACCAAGCTTGTCGAGCACTACGCTATCCGCGAACTCGCAAATCTATGTCCCGTGGAACGCACCTGCGTCACTATCAACGTAACTGCACCGGGGTTATGTTCAACAGGCCTTGGTCATGATACATCTACGAAGACGCGAGCGATGGTCAGCGTTCTGCGGGCCGCGTTTGCTCGAACAGCGGAGCAGGGAAGTCGCACGATACTGCATGGCGTCGTCGCAGAGAGGGACAGCCATGGGAAGATGTTATCTGGGTGCAAGATCAAAGAGTAAGTCACGAACAAGTTGCCTTTTCTCTTCACGGAACGCTAACGGCTCTGCAGATATTGGGTTCCGAAGTGGATGTCCGATACAGGGGGTAAACAGATGCAAAAGCAAATATGGAGCGAGCTGGCGAAAATCATGGAGATCCAACAACCTGGGTGTGTTTCAAAAATCTCCTGAGCGCTTGAAATGCGCGCTGCGTTGTATCTCAACATGGGTGCATTCCTTTTCTCGGTTAACGGAGCCATTGAGCGTATGCTCCAGTGCGCGCGCTTAGCCGTCCTCCAGTCTTTGGGACCTGTCCATCTCTCTAGGAGCTATTAATCTATCTGCCTTGCATATTCTGCAACCCACTGCCTTGGGCAACCACATCCGCCAGTGAACGATGACCTTTGCTGCTGCCTAGTATGCTGCCGTACGGCAAAGTTGCACGGTGGCATGGAAGCATGCATTTCGTGTTTCGTGTGCCTGAGGTGGCATGGCTGTGTAAAGGAGCACAGCCGGTTCGCCATGTACATTGCTGTTCTCTGTAGCCTGTTCACATCTAGTGCTTTATTATTCCACGGTCGCGATACAGCTCCTACCATTTTGTCTATCCCCGTCAATGGCTAATGAATCTTTGGGTCAACCAGTGTACACTGCTCTGAACTCATCGCTCAATGAGATACGACTTCTCCATCTATCACCAGGGGGAGATGAAGATGAGTTCTATTGTTCCTTAAGCATCGTCTCGTTAGACGACAGGCCTCAATATGAGGCGTTATCCTACGTGTGGGGTGAAGACTCCGATGATACGTTGCCTATATCGCTCGGAGGAAAAACGGTACAAATCAGGCGCAACCTCCACTTAGCTCTTAGAGGTATACGAGACCCTGATTGCGAACGCATACTGTGGATAGATGCTCTGTGTATCAACCAAGGGGATGTTGAAGAAAGATATAGTAAGCTTGCGAGTAGGTCGACATTATATCAGATGCTTATGCGTGCAGCTCAAGTCGCGATTATGGGTGACATCTATTCCAAAGCTTATTGCGTTCTCGCGTACATCGGCGAAGATTTCGATGGCTGTGAACGCGTGATGGAAACCATCCGCTATGTTTCAGAGAATTCCAAGATGCATTTCGATGGTCCAGAAGATAAGCTTCTACGGATTCTCGGAGTCCCCGTTTTGAAGGGCGGCATACCCTGGGATTTAGTCTACAAGTTCTTCCAGACCCCATGGTCAGTCTTAACAACTCATTCTGTATTATGCTAAGTGCTAGTGCAGGATAACCCGCGTCTGGACTGCACAAGAATACGTCCTTGCCGAGTATATGTCAGTGTACCGATCCCGCCTCTCGATCCCTCGCCAGACTCTTAACAATTTCATGGACTATGTGCCACGCCATTTAATGATTGGTTGTTGCGAGCTTCGCAAGGAACACAATGTAGTCTTCCGTGACGAAGTTTTTCGGCAATGGCGTGCACTTTTTGGGCCACCCACAATAAATACGAGCATACTGCTTCCGCTAGAATACTATCGCATAAGAAATTCAACGAAGCCACACGACAAGGTGTATGGTATGCTGGGACTAGCAGGCGATGTCTATAGAAAGAGAATCAAAGCGGATGACACGATCAGAATCGAAGTATGTCAATCCTTTTCCGAAGTCGAGGGTCGACGAAGGCACATATACCTAATGAGAACGACCATTGCAGGACCTTTTCACGAACGTGGCCCGTATAGAAAGCGAAGTGAGCGGACGGCTAGACTTCCTGAGCTATTGTAGGGATCAGAATCTCGCCCTGCCTTCTTGGGTTCCAGATTGGACATTCTACGACCATAAACGGGAGAATCAGCGTTATGATGAGCTCTACCTCGCCCGATACAAAGCAGACGGGAACCACCTTTCTGGCTCCTTCGTACCGAGCGGTCGAAAGTTGCTAGTCACCTTTGGTGTGCAACTAGGCACCGTGTACCGCCGATATGGCCCGAGAGCGGAAAGACAACTACATGCTGGGAGTATTGCACACATGTGGGAGTGGACAGTGGCACATCCAGTGTCGGCATCATATTACGGTAGCATGCACGCCCTGGAACAGGCATTTTGGCTTACCATGTGCGGCGGCTTGGATGCGCTCTCCCGCCCAGACGAGGATGGATTTGCTTCGACACCGTGGAGGTATAGGCGGCTGAAGCCGGCAGAATATGGCGAAGCAATTGAGCTCTGGAAAAACGCTGTATATAGGAAATCAGAGTATGGGGATGCAGACATATTGTTTGGAAGACTCACCTATGATAGGTGCTTCGTGGTGATGGAGAGCGGTGCCATCGGGTTCGCACCGAGGAATGCTTGTCTGGGTGATATGGTGGTCGCATTGAGTGGGGGATCCCTGGTTTACGTTCTCAGACCCAAGAGCTACTGCGGCTGGGGCCCACGTGAGTATACGTTTGTGGGTGACGCGTACATGTATGGTTTCATGGACGGCGAGGCTTTTGATAGCATAGATAGAGGACTAGATTACTTGAGAGCATTCACTCTGGTATGAGGGAGGATGCATCACCAGGGCTCCAGGACTAGGCAAGACGCACGTGCTGGTCGGCCACCTTGCCGTTCTTGGCGAAGCGTCGTCATAAGGCGCATGAACCGTCCGACCCACAGCTCATGCGCAACACTGCCGCCTCGACTGCGACCTCGACTGGCACTCTGCCTATTCACTTGTTGAGCACTCCACAGTCACAGCTGCACTCTGTTTTTCCCTCCACCAAACATGTCTGAGAAGGCAGTCGACGAGAAGGTAGGTAGCGACGACATACCCCGCTACGCTGCCCTCAACAGTCGAGCTCTCGCCATGTGCTAACACAATGCTCCCTAGCCCCCCAAGCTGGGTTCAGGCTCCGGCCACGAATCGCCCACCACTGCCCGCGAGCTCGACTTTGACGACGACGACGAGACGCCCGCAGCTACTGGCGAGCAGACCGCAGCCCCGCCCCCGCCGTCCAAATCACCTAAGCCAGGCGTTCGCTTCTCCGACGATGCCACTGAGATCCCCCCTGCGAAGCCACCGCGCCCAGTGAGCCCGCGGCAGACTGCTACAACCACGCTGATCGAAGCATTCCCTGACACAGACCCCACGACTGTGAGAGGAATCCTCATGGCCAGTGATTGGAACGTCGATAAGGCCTTCGATGTGTTACTCAGTAGGCGCACACTATCTCGTATGTCCTTCCGGGCAATGTGGCTGATCAGAACAGAATTGTCGGATCCCAATTACAAGGACGAGGAAGCCCCTCCGCCTAAACCTCCGCGCCCGACAAAAAAGCCGATGACTCAACTCGAGGCAGACGAACAGTACGCCCGTCGACTGGCTGAGCAGTACAATAGCGAAGGACACGGTTCGCGTTCCAGGGGCGAGCCTCGACAGCCCCGCCAGCAACAACGCCCGGATTCACGTGAAGAGGAAGATCAGGGTCTGTTCAATAAAGGTAATACCGTTCATCACCCGTTGTCGTAGATGATGTGGCTTATAAATACATAGAGGACCTTGACGAGATCAAGCAAACCCTCGAACAGGGGTTCAAGGGCGCGCAGAGCACGTTCAACAATTGGATTCAGAACGTTAAGAAGAAGTTGGATGGCCCAGAGGGCTTTGACCAGTATGGCAACGAGACATACCGTCGGGATCAACGCCAGAACTTTGGACCGTCGCAGTCAGATCAACTCCGCGGTGTTCGTAGGTCTGCTGAGGCGCGCCGGTCTGCCGACCACAATCGATACGACAACGACAATCGTATGCTAGATGACGACTTCGAAGCTCTCGAGCTTAGGGATGACGAGTGTACGTATAGCGGTACCATCACCCGAATTGCACATTTGCTGACTTCAACCTACAGCTCATCCCAATCAGCGATCAAATCGCCCGCTTGCGAACCCCGACCTGTTCAAGCCTACACCCGTCTCCCCACCGCAAACTGGTCCTGTCGATGAAGTCGATGCCCTATACCGCAATCCTTCACCCAACGGCCAACAGACCGGTGTCACGGGGAATAAGTCAGGAGGCAAGAAGTGGCAGCCTTTGACCTCGGTAGCGCCGCACCCAGAATCGGACGAGCACGACCCGTTCAGCCTTGGCGACAGCGACGACGAAGAGGCGAAGACGAAGGACATCAAGGCCGAAGATACGGAGCGATTAAAGAAGGCAGCCGAGGCCAAGAAGGGGGATGAACCGGCACCGGCTGGGCTAACACCTGCTGGACGGAGTGGCAGCGTCGGCCAGAAAGATGCAGCAGCTGAGGCACTTCTGAAGGATGCCAAGTAGGAGTTGGGTGTTTTTGGCTTCTTGCAGAGAGATCTTGTGGCTGGTATGGCACTAGCCGCTGTAAACAACCACGCATGAAATAGAAGGCATCTTGTTAGCTTCCATGATGTGATTTATATACGTTGAAATACCTTCGACACACCAATTGAGTTTTTGGTCTAACTTGTGTGGAAGAGTGAAGACACATCAGATTCCCTACAAACTGTAAGGTAGCTATTGCCGAGTTCTCAATTAGCTCAGGTGATAGAAGCCACGAAAGAACAAAACTTCCAATCCACAAACTTGGTAGCCTGTGGACTTCAGTCGATGGTGGTATCGGTCAACATAGCTGTGCATGAATACGTCTTGCGTTCGTCAATGACCTATATACCTACGAAGTGGACTGAATCACGAGTCATGATATTGCAAGAACCGTCATCCCTCCTGAACCATGACCTGTAGCTCTTCCAGTAGTCATTGTCTCGAGCTATTGCTGCTCGTGTCAAAACCTTAGTCTTGTGAATTCGGGGCGTGGACATCTATCAGCTTCATCCATTAAAGGGGGCGACAATCGAAATCGGTAGATGACTCGAACGCTGTCATAGCGTTCTTTAGTTTCTCAATGACAAGGAGGTTTCTCGAAGTCGTGTGCGCTGTAGCCATTCACGAGTACGTGTAGGAAGCATGTGCGCAAGTTGCTCAAATGGACTTCCAAGCTGGGCTGAGGCCGTGAGCTCGATTGCCGCGAAGGAAAGGTTGGAGTTGGCGAATCCAGTTGCTTCCTTCGAATGCGGTCAAAGACGCTCAAGTCTCTCGAGTCTCTCGATAAACCATTAAAGCGCAAAGTGTTCGCGAATGGATTTTCTAAGGGAGTCTAACGCTTGCTGTAGTCGCCCGTTCGCAGTTTGCGTACGATGGACATTAAAAGCACTTTCGAAGATTGCATTCAGCATGCCCAAGTCGCCCCGCAAGCTGAGCCAGAGTACATTGGCATCGAGGAAAGCAAATTGCAGGTGCAGCATGAGATCGATTGGTGGGACGTTGTACTCGAAACCAGAAGTTTCGGACGATTCGCATGTCTGTTCGAGGGAGACACAGACATGAGAGTATTTGTTGCCGATCTGTGTCTGAAGGACAATTAGATGAGCGCGTGGAGGGTCGTCAGCATCGGTGCAAAGGAGGTAAATGGCGTAGCAGTACTCACCAACATTCTCGCTCCAGGTGTCTTAATATTTGTGAAAGCTATCATAGTCCAGTTCGAAGGTAATGTTGAGGCCTGCGTCCGAGCGACATCCATGATTAGTAGTGGATATCGAATTTTGAGTGTCCTCATGTGTACCTCTGCGAGCTCAACAACGACTCCGAAGATGGCAGGATCGTGAGATGGTGTGAATCGCGCATGTTCACTTCGAGGTCTTGATAGGTCATACAAGACTACTCGACGATCTCGCGCGCCACGCAAGGAGGTGCGAAAAGGTGGTTCATGATGCGAACGTCCTTCAGCTTGCGGGGCTTATACGTGCCGGCTAAGAGGTCTAAGCTAGGCATAGGTATGCGCTTCATCGAGTGCACTGTTTTCTCGTCGAAGAGGTCGGAGCAAACCATGCCACGGAGCTCGCGAGGGAGCTTCGTGTGGAAAGTGGAGAGAAAGCTTTGGAGCCTGCGAACGTGTTAGCAGATGCTTTTTGGACGATTCATTGCAAACGCAGTACTCGTCATCGGGGATGACAGTCTGAGACTGAGATCTGCCGCGGACGCCATGGTTCACAGTGGGATTTTGAGTATCTCCGATGTGTGGATCAGGGTTCTGAGAGATGATATGCTGCCGGTGTGGACTATGGGCAGGGTGAGTACGGGTGCGGTGAAGGACTGGGTCTGCGGCGATTTTATGGAGTAAGCGTACATCCAAGATTTAGGCTGGAGTGAGAAGGCTTAGGCCTTGCAGACGATTGAGGCCAAAGCGCGGTAAATATGGTAAGGTCGAAGGGTAGTAGCAGTGGAACACAAGAGAATTCGAACTGCACACAAATATGAGCCTAAGGACCAACTGAATCAAGCCGAGGCGCAAGTCTCTAAGAAGGCGAAAAGTAGATTATGCTATCTTACGTGCAAACCAATGCGACCAGCTGCAAATCGAAAGTGCACGGCTACGATAGGTCTATATCCGTCAAACTTCTAGCCGGTCAATTGGCATACTTTTCAAGATAATGCCTCGCAATCACACGCGCTGTCGCTTTATATCGTCACCGCCAGTTTCTTCATACGGACGTTTGCACGTGGTACTACTGAACTCTTCAGGCCTGAGGCTGCGATCAGCCTCATGGAGAAGCCACTGTGGTCCGGTCTTATCCCACGCAAAATAACCATCATTGTACTGCGCAGAACTCGTACTGTCCCCGGTACCTTCCCGGTGAGCCTCTCTGTAGGCCCTGAGTTCCTCTTCCGTCTTCTCCATCTTCTCTTGTGCAGCGAGTTGTCTCTTCCTTCGTTGATCATTGGACCCTTTCTGCGAATCTTTCTCCTTGTCATAAGACAGAGGATGATTCACAAGTAGCTTGATTTTCCAATCCTCGTATAGCACATCCTTGCAGGCGCGTTTGTTCCACGACAGTACTTGAACCACGTTCCGTATGCGCTCCTCACACGTTGCTGTCCGATCGGGCTCAAGCCGATGATTTGCGTTGAGCGCCTTATTAAAAGCTGGAGGGCCGCGAAAGCCATTCTTGCAGCGGTCCATCAGCGCAGTGAAGATCTCGCGGCTGCAGGCTTCTATGAGGAGCGGATCGATGCTTTCAGATGAGAAGAGACGACAGTGGTGCGAGTTTGCGGGGTCTTTCACATCTTTGATGTTAGTCATTGAGAGCATGAGCTGTTCGACCCATAATTCGGCGTTGGTCTCAACGTGGGCGATGCTGTCATCCGTGTGCGGGTCGAGATAGGGTGGTTCGTACACCTTAACCCGATAATTACGAGCTTGTGACCACCGACTTTGAGGCTGACCAGGAGGGCTTTCATGGGGTGCCGAACTTCGTACTTGCCCATATGCCAATAGTCCCCGATGTGTTCGTGAGCCAATTTCAAATCCATGATTATATTTTCGATCATCGAAACCAAGATGCAAATTTGATGCCGATGGCGTTCGTGTGTCTGGGCGAGAAATTTGCTCGCCAGCAAGATTCTGCAAGAGCAGATTGGGGAAAGGAGAGGGGTCAACGCCTTCAGGAACGTGTGGAATGGGTCTGAAATAGTGATCAGGAGATATCCAGTGCTGTTCGGTGCTTGTCGGTCTTGCCTGTTTTGGCGAAGCTTGAAATGCCAATGCGCGTGTAGGCACGTGCTGAATGTTCGCAGTATGCTTCAAGATGGGCATCTGCAGGTCGTAATTGGAAGGCGTGTAAGAACTTGAGGACTTTCCTACAGTCGTTGAACACAGGTGAGATTGTTCATCTACTGTCTTATAGTGAACTTTTGGTCGACATCTGGGGTCGCAGGTCATACCCTTGTTGTCGTGTTGAGCGTAGATGTTCTGCTCTTCGACCATGTACGCCGTGATTGCCGAATATAAGGATGCAACGCAGCTGCTAAAATCGATTCAGCTGAGCAGGTGTATGATTTGAAGAGTAAGGGAGCTGGCGACTCCGGTGTTGATTGCAGTAGAAGATGAAGATGAAGATTCCCAGACTATAGAAGACGTAGGAGACTGTATATATGTTTTCCCGGTCAGCACGCAGAACGTGTGAAGATCTGTGATTGACCTTTGGCTCCAAGCCACATTCTTAAATCATACTTACCAAGTACCATTCAAGGCGGGCTTAATCACTTCCTGTACGCTGGTCGCTGGCCCAATATGTCCTTCCACCGCATGTTGTCTTTGATGCGCAAGAGGATTTCAAAGCCAACGTTGGTGTTATCCAGTAAAAGAAGGATGCCCTATTCACCAGGTCCAACATTTCAAGCTCCTTACGCTATCACACTCATTGTGTGATATCCATAACCACGTTTACTGGAGCATGCGAATCTCATGTAGACCCAGATTTCCATGTACACATCCTCCCTGAGTGGGATACGGTAAGCGTGGACGGCCAGAGAGGTGTCCCGACTCACGGGATACTGCCGATGAGGCTTTCCGGTTGTGGGCGACTCGCAGGCATCAACGCTCGACCAATCGAGGTATTCAAGAATGCACCATGTAGTAGTGATAGACTGACGACTAGGTCGAAAGAATGGTCTTGGTGGTCCAACTGTGGAAAGGGAAGAACGATGGTTGATTGAGCGGCTCCAAACGGGCAAGCGCATGAACCACCCCGGCGCATAGGTTTGTGCTGCGCGTGATCATCGGCGCACTACCTCGCGATTCTTCTTGGATCATGATCTCAATAATGCGGCAACCCAGCCTCCAATTGGCATTCCTTGCAGCGCGCTATCGTCCTCACGTTAAGATCGTCATATTCAAGCACCAGGTGCCTGCGGTTCGCTAATTCAAGGCTGAAACCCAGGGGCGGGACACTGCACCTCCGCATTCACGATCCGCATCACCTTCGACTTTCAATCACCAGTTTCGTGATTATCCCACTCTTGAAGGCGATCACTATTATTTCTCAACATTTAAGCTGCCATACACACGCCTTAAACTCTTCACTGATGGCTTCCAAGCCCGGCATTGCACTAATATGGCGCGAGCGCTTACCTGCCCACTGAAGAGGCTTGAGACGTTCCACGTTCGGAACCCAAGCATCCGCCAACACAGTGTCTCAGGCCTGTCAGAACCCTGAAGCCTTCGGCTACTACGTACTGCCATATATTCTGTGTTCCTGGCGCGTGGCCTGATTTTACTCTACCCACTCGTTCGCTGCCGCTTCAGTCAATTCCTCAGGTGTCTATCCTTTTTCATCCTAACACATTTCTTTTCTTCTTGGTGCTGGCACTCTTCTTTATTAATATCTTTTCTTCCTGTCAAGCTTGAAGCTTACCACCATCGCCAATCGTCATCATGCAGCTCTTCGCCAGCCTTCTCGTCGCTGTCTCCCTTTTCCACGCAGCCATGGGTGTGCCGGACAAGTTCCCAGCTGCCGTGCTCGTTGAACGACAGACGAACCCGCTTCCCACCACTCAAGTTGGCGATGCATGCCTGGACTACTCTATCACCGCCAATATGTCGACCATCAGCGCAAACTCCTCCTACCGCAGTGCATTCATGCAGAAAGCACCTGTCGGAACCATCATTACATCACGAATGCTCAATGCTGCCCAAGCCAAGCTCCCGGCACTCACAGCGAACGTAGCTCTCAACCAACAATGTGGGAACCTAACTGAGCTCGCACTTACCGAGGCTGCCAACAACTTCACAAAGGGAATTGTTGCCCAATTCAGTACCGAGGGTCTACCCGTTGGTATCAAGGCCGGTCCCGAAGTCCTCGTCGTCGTCGGCTGTATCTGTGCACTTTTCTCTGTTGTATGGGTTTTCGCCGGATAACGGATTGCACTTCAAGAGAATGAGGGAAGGTTTACTCAAGCAGCAGTGTAGTGACACATTCTGGGTCAGCGAGGTCCTGAAAGGGACTCGCGGAGTGCCCGTTGGAATTGGACCGGTAACCACCGTAATTGTTTTCAGATATCCAGGATGCACAAATAAGAAGAATTGGCACAAAGTCAGCGACATTGGGCGCCATGCATGATGACAGGACTCAATGTGCACCAGAATGATGATTGATGTGTCAAGCGTTTGAGGGCAATAGGATGCTCTTATCGTTTCTACGCACTAGCGATGCTCTACAGAACCAAGGTCAACGTATGTACAGCCTTTATGTACAAAGTTCTGTCGATGGCCCGGGGAATAAACGCACTAGCGATCCGGGAGGGCAAGGCGCTCCCACAAGTTCGAGACCCTGTACACAGTTGCCGCTAGTGTACCAGATTGCAAAAGTCCAGCTCGCCACAACCAACATCAAGGTACAACAACTTTCGTTAGTGCCCTACAGTAGTCTCTATGTACGTCGCATCGGACGCATTTGCAGACTACATGCTTTCCTCACTTACTAAGTTGCCTCCTTTGACTTTCGTGATTCGTCCAGATTGGCGCGTCAAGGCGTCTTTGACAACGCGATTCGAGCTGAAAAGCTCCCAGTCTAGCTCACATTGCGCAGATCCTGAAATGTGTTCGTCAAAGTGCCTTGCAGTCGGACAGATTCATCGAAGCGGAGAGATCTTCGGCCGCGAGTACGAACACCCTCGATGGGGAACCCTTGCAGCAGCCCTGAACATGAAGATTGCGTCTTTAATTGGGTTAAAGGTCCAACCAACCGTCGCTTCAAAATGGCACCACGGCACCGCCGAGGGCCTAGTGAGGCACCCTCCACGATAACTCGTGGACAAGTTCCTCGATTGAGTAAAGGTGAGCTGTCAGACGCCCATCCGCTAACGCTTAACAGCCCGAATCCCGCTATCCGAGTGTTTCGTACAAAGCCACCAGGTTATGCCGAACCGCATTCCCACGCGATCGCCACGAGGGAGCGTGGTACTCTAAAGTTTGTTCGTAGTTCCTTAAAAGAGGCATTGCCCTCAATCTGCGCCCGCTTTTGGCTCTGTGGTGCTGTCCAAAGTGAAGGCTCGTTTCTGTTGCGAGGCTGCTGCCAAGCAGGTTTCCGTCCCGCGATGGATTCCTCTTTTGCCGCGATCTACGCCCACCCACCAGATCCGAACGATCTAAAACCGATATACAACAAAGCGGGTACCATCTATGGCGCAACGCTGCCCTTCCACGTCAGTGATAGCGATCGTGCCTTTTTCGCGTGGGCAACATGCTAATGTCAATTAGGTTCTCACATGGATAGCTGTTGCCTTTCGCGTCTATATGCGATATCGGGTCGTGCGCGCGCCAGGCTGGGATGACTTACTGATCACAATCAGTGGTGTGTTCAACCTGGTGGCGCTGGTAGCTTTCTATGGCTGTATGTCTTCCTTTTTGATACTGCTCGTTTGTACGAATGTATGGTGCGATCCAGGCTGCTAACGAGAATTCCCAGGTTTCCATTTTGGCCTCGGTAAACACTTATACTACGTTGACCAGAACGATTTCGTTACGCTGTTCAAGTTCCTCTACATCCAACATGCGGCCTACTACACATGCGCTGGTGTTGTTAAGCTCTCGTTGCTCTGTCAATATCTGCGACTCTTCCAAAAGGGCATTGTTCGCCAGATATGCATTGTACTCCTGGGACTGACTAGCCTTTGGACATTCTTCTGGTTCTTCCAAGGCTGGTTCCCATGCTTTCCTGTCTCGGGCTTCTGGGACCGAGCACGAGTTCCGCCAGCCAAATGTTGGGGCACAGGTTTCGGCAACATAGAAGACTCCCTCGCCGCTTTTGTGGCTTTCGCTGCGTCAAATATGATGCTGGACACGATAATATTCTTCTTGCCAATGACGCTATATTTTAAGCCTTCAACTACAGGTCCAAGACAAGTTCTTGCGCTTCTCATGCTCTTCCTGCTGGGTTCAGTGTACGTCGCTATTTAACAGATATCTGTTGCTGCTGACCCCATCCTTGTGTAGTGTTCTTCTCATGTCTGTCCTTCGGCTCTGGACGGCAGTACGCCACAATAGATTCGACGCAACCTCGCTAGATTTCACATGGTGGTACCCTCTCACCATGATCCTAGCTTCTCTAGAAATCGACTTCGCCATTATTTGCGCCTCTATTCCGATTTTCTGGCCTCTCATCGCCAGCGCGCTTCCACAGATATTCGTCACAAAAGAAGTGCGGGTGACACATCACCAACGTCTGCCAGATAGTACGAACGCAGATTACGAGCTAGACAGGACGTACTCTATCAAGAGTAGCGGCGGGGACAGCCAAGAGAATTTGAGAGAATTGCACGAGCAGCCGAAAACAGACTACAATGATCCATTCGTTGTTGAGCATGTCACGGGCAAGCTCGAAAATAATGCGCAGATAGTCAGCGAAAAGCAGAAGAAACGCCGGAAATAGAGCTGTCTAACCAGCGAAAAATAATGTGTTTTCAGTGCTTCATGAGATTCTGCGCAGTGATGTTATACCCACCCTACACGTACAAGAACACCGGCTTGTGATTTGAAACCACGTAGCCTTGAAGCACACAGCCGGTGAAATGCTCGAAACTCTGCCCGGATTTTTTCATACAAGCTTGTGAAGAGACTATGGCTGCGACGATGGTTGTGGGTCGACCGCATCGTATAGGGTTGTGGTCGCGGTGGCTGTCGGTGCCAATGCAGGACTCGACTTGTTTGCGTAGAAACATCCTAACGCTCCGCCTACGGCGGCGCAAATCACCGGCAATACGCATATTGAAGCAACGATGATGAACGGTCTCCTCTTGAATCGCCACATATCGACTCTGCGGCGTATATGACGAGGCAGTAATGGTAGGTGTACTTGGTACAATCGAACTATATGGGCTCCATGTCGCCATTGTGCAAACGTTGCGCCATGCAAGACCTGGGCTTGGATCGGACGAGCGCCGCCGTTGGAAAACCACAATTCTGTAGGTGCGGAAACCAATGCCCGGAGCTTTTAACTTACATCTGCGATCTCGATGTCATAAGCTGAACGGCTCCTAAGGCGACCAACATTCACAAGCCGCAAAGACCGAATTGTGAATGTCCTGGCGGTTTGGCGCTCTGGTTCGACGTAACAACAAGGGGCCTATCCAACCCCACCAATGGGTTTTTCATACATCGCATTCAGTACGTATGGTGCCCTCATAGGGCCGCAGACCTCAGCTCACGGTCACCTCTAAAATGCTCGATCTGTTTGCTCCAAGCGGCGCATTGACACTGCGCATTGATCTCGTCATGGCTAGTCCTTTTTTGTGTGAAGGCTGTTCATTCGCTGCTCCCGGCAGCGGAGGGGGATCGTGAGAATTGCCCCACGCTTCGCTCAGCCCTACGGGCTTTTGGCAGTCCTAGGAGCCTCAAGATTAGAAGTGTGGCTTGTGTTGTTGACCAAGGCGCAGCAGGCACGAAGATGCAAGAGAATGTGGCCAATCAGCAGAGGACCGGGATTTGTGGCGCACGTGGTATGTGAGCTACCAAACTTCAGCTTCTCATCGAATGTACGAGAGTATGCTCGCTGCCTTTTCAGTTGGTGTGGGGTTGCTTTGGTGCCAAGCGTGCACAAATTAGGAGTAAGTGGGTAGATGGTTGCAACCTTAGGAGTTGCCCGATAGCGAAGATTTCTTGCTCACAGATGCTCGGTCGCCAGTCACAGATACAAGAATAAGTATATTGCTTTGACCGTCAGCAGGCTACTTGAGTACAGGCGGTATGGGCAGATGTGCTACAAATGCCACCTCTGATAACAAATTTGGAAGAAACGCTCGACGCTTCCAGTCGGTGTTTCAACCTGATAGTATTAGTGGGTCGTTATCCTGGCGAGCCGTCACCTAACATCTCCCGAAGAGCCTCATGCGCCAGTGACGGCGTGACAGATTTCTTCACCAACCCTGCTGTAGATCTAAATCAACTGATAAAATGACGTAGCCATTCAGCACCAGTTCTGCGGGAGTCCCGCACAACAAACACAAGAGACGCAACAATCGCAACACCGTGGAACCAAGCATGGGGACTTGACTCATCTCGACAAAGCCCACCTTTCCGATACGGTTCATGACCAATCACGACGCGTGCACAGACCCACCACGCGTCGTCACGTCACTTGAAAACCAAGCTTTCAGCATGAAGCACTTCAAGATGCGCACCAGCACACGTCCGGCAGACACCGGCACCTCAAGCCGTCTTGACCTGACCCAATGCAGTTCCGCCAGCCCCCGCACCCACTGTAACCAGACGGCACGCACGTCGCTAATCGCGGTATCGTGAACTCCAAACCAAGGAATATCGGAAAACTATCACGGATGTTCGGAAACGTGCGTCTCGATAGGTGGGCTGCCAAGGTGCAGGATTAGGGCCTGGACGGGGAAGAGCGCAGATAGACACGGGGTGCAGCGTGAGAGCGGTGCGCCTGTTGACCATGTGTAGATGTATGTACTGTGTTTGGATTGGAAGCGTATTTAGGTGGTGAATTACAAGAGTATGCGGACAATATCGAGTATCAATAGTATCGCAGTGCGACCATCGCCATGCAAAGTCTGGGCATCTCTTCGCTCTAGTTGAGCAGCCCTGCTTATTTTCTTCTAAGGTATCGTCAAGCCGTTACTAAATGACTATGCAACTCCGAGAAATGCAAATGCATGCGGAGACAGCCAAAAAATCGTCATATTGGGGAAACGCCGATGTTGTTTTTCCGCCCATAAAGACCAAAACGTGCAAACCCCGGGGTATCGTGCGTTGGCGTGGAAACAAGTATCTGTACAGAGAAGCGGGTGAGGGTGGGGAGGATCGTGTTGAGGAAGGAGAGAGTGTCATGGGAAGCGTTTGGTGCTGCCGCTGATGCTCATCGATCGCTTCTTTTCGTGGTCGTCCTTTGGACCCGGAATGTACTGGTCCGGGGATGTTGGGGTGGTAACGGCTAAGGTGAGGAGAGTCGCGAGTTCAGCGGCGGCGGCGCCAATGGCGATGTAGAATGCGACTCCCTAGGCGATGTCAGTCGAGACCCCTCAGTTGCAGACAGTTTGGCTCACTTGTTCTTCGCAGACGGCGCGATACTGGTAGCGTCCATTGCTCAGGATGTGGCTGTTGCCGCAGGAATACCTGCCCAAGCTGGCTTTGCTGGCCCTGTCAAGTAACGAGAACTCTGCGATGGCCACGATCCAGAGGAGCACGCCGCAGCATCCACCGACGACGCGGTATACGCCTGCAGATCGGGTCGGTCTGCGAAAGGATCGCTTGAAGGACAAGGCGACGATGGTGACGGATGCGATGAAGCTGCCGAGGGCGACGGTGAAGAGAATCAGGGTCGGCCAGAGGTTGGTGCGGGCAGGCCAGGTCATGGGCAGCTCATTCTTGCGAAGGTCGATGTAGCGGTTGCCGCGGAAGATCTCGAGGGTGTGGCCGAGGAAGACGAGGACGGCGCCGCTGAGCACGATGACCAGCAGGCGGAGGGCGGAGCGCAGTCGACCGAGCCATTGCGCATGCCAGCTGGACAGCTGGAAAGGCATTGGCATGCGCACGGCGGCGAGGCGGGCGGCGAGCCTGGGCTGCTTGTTAGGCGTTTTGCAGCGAGCAATGTCCTCGGGCACGGAGTGCAGCGAGTGCAATTGCGGCCCTATCGGGCTTGATGCAATGTGGTCGGAGTAGATGGGCACGGCGGAGAGCGGGAGGCGGTCGTCGGAAGAGGTGAGGGTTCTTCGTCTCGCGGTCGCAACGTGAGGATGGCCCATCGGACGCTCATCCCCTACCAGCACTAGGGCTCCGCTAGCTCGACGGGCGACACGTTCGTCGTACCGTCGCTGCTGTCCCCGCGCCGTGATGAAGAGGCCGCACGAATCGGCAGCGTGCGCGGCGTCGCTGGGGCGATGTGTTGTTTCAGCGAGGCGTGGTGTCGATGGCGCGGCGGAGAAGGAGACGGAGGCCCATCGCAACGCGCAAGGGGTGCGTAGCCTTAAGACCAAAGAGGCTGGCAACCATGGCTGTGCCCGTGCGCCTGTACAGACGGGCGCGGCTTGCGCTGGCGATCGCGACGGGCCCGGTGCTAGCAGGCGCCTTGCTCACCTAAATCTGCACAGCATCAATATGCCGTGGACGACGAGCGCCGCAGACGCGTTGGATGCGTTGCTTGCAGTCTGGAGAGTCTGCAGTCTGCCTCCCACCGCGGCTGCCTCTGCGCCGACGCGGTGTCTTCCTTCGTCGAGGATGCGCTGCCAGAAGAGGCAGGCACCACCCGTGCGAACGCCTTGGCCGTTCGACTGGCTGCTGGCTAGACCGCGTTTCCAAACACCCGCCGCCCACGTGCATCTGCATCCGCTGTTCTCACTGGTGAAGTGCGTGCATTTCATGTATGCGGCGAACTGCTGCGTGTGCAGTCGATCCAAGTCCGCGTCGCACCGGCAGAAGAGCACTGCTAACTCCGCCGCTCGCAGCGTCCGCCGACATGCTCTTCCGCCGCCTATCACACCGCGCAGCGCACTCCAGCTCACTTGCGCAGTGACGTCTCCCCGTCTCGAGGCCCGCATTACGGGAGTGTCGCAGATCTACACCTGCATGGCTGACTTAAGCATCCCGCCCTCGCGCATGTCTTAAAATTAGACTGCACCGCCCGCCCACTAGGCAACTCTTACCTGCACTGTCTGGCACTCTCATAATTAAGTATCTCCAGGCGTGCAGCGTAGGCATACCAGAAGCATGCGCCCCGCATACCGCAGCAACACGGGCGTCTTCGACCCCACCTAAAACACTCCGTGCAAACTGGGATGGCTGCGCCCTGGACCCAGCCGCAAAACTTGGAATCTGGGAATCACAGAATAGCCTCACGTCATTCCCTCCATGTGCTGCCAAGAATGCAACCATAGTCACCGCCAATTTCTTTGGGCTGTTGCGGTCGCCCACCCGCACCACTCCACCGACGGCGACGCTACGGACAACCAACCTCATTGAACGAGCAAAAGCGCGCGTCATGCCAGTGTGATTTCGTCTAGATTTATGGTACCACTTTGCCTCAAAGTTCATGTAATTGCAGAATATTGCTGGACTTGTTGCATTGTAAAGTATTCTTTGACAGCTAACAGGTCGCTGCTACCACAAGAGCAAGCTAGGTTATCTTAGATCGTTAACCATGACGGAGTTTCATCTCCATCTTTTCAGCAACCATTGCACAACTTTACTACAGCATTAGTACTCATTTTTCGTACTACGTGCTGCTGTGGGACACCTCGCCAAAACCAATCGGCGAGGCATCAAACAGCTTCTAGTCGTTCCAGTGCTCTCGATGCACGCTGAGCATGCCTCGCTCTAAGACAACTTTGTTGCTAAGGCGTTCACTTGAGACAGCAGTCCCTTGTCCGCGCTTCCGGCGTTCTTCTGCACCTTTCCGAGCAAGTGTTCGACCGTCTGGCCGGGATCGGCAATGGCAACACCCTGCGCAGTCTTGATCCTTGCCACTTGGAAGGCTAAGAAGAACTTGGGCTCTTTTATCGCCAAATTGCCCCCTTCGCTGCGGATGCCAGCTTCTGTCGCCGTGTACAGATCCAAATTGGTCTGAAAGGTAGCAAGGTCGGTGGACGCGAGCGGGTCTGCAGTTGCGAACTTGTCGAGCGCGAATTGTAGAGGGGTAGAGGAGGATTTGGAAAAGTCGATATCGGAAAACGAGACGCCGTTGGTCGTTACGTCGGGCACGTTGCCGATGGTAGTACCAGTACCGCAGGTCACGGTGCTGGCGAGGGCATTGGCCGAGTCTGCAGTTTCCGCTGGCAGCGTGGTGGATCCGACAACGAAGCAGGCGTTCTGACGACGGGTCAAGGTGGTTGGAGCTGTCGTACATCATCAGCTGACGGTTGCAAAGGAGATGGACTCCTTAGACTTACCAGCCGTTGCTCCGAGGGCCAGAGCGGCAACAATGGCAACGAGGCTCTTTGGGGTATACATTTCAGTATTGACAAGGGATAGGACTGGATAGATATAAACAGTACAGCGACCAGCACAGAAAAAGATATGTATATAGAAGGTAAGGAGGTACGCTGCCAAATGAGCGAATATCGGAAGAAACAAAAGAAAGAACGATGGACTTGTTTATGCGTTTACCACAGAGACAGACGCTACATCTTATATGCATAGCATTAGACGCTGGTCCTGTCGCGCCGAGTGGCAGCCGTGAACCATTTCGACGATGGAGCCGAAGGGAGCGTTTCCAATGCGCGCTAAAGGGCCTGAGGGTGTCGCAGCGAAGCCTTGCAGCCTTGGCCAGCACCCAGCGCCGCTCTCGAGTTCATCTGCCACTGCAAAGACCCTGGAGTAGCTACCGCCTAGCTCGAAGCGTGTGTGGAAGATGGCCACTCGTTCCGAGGTACTTCTTCAGAAACGGAAAACTAAATATTTACATTAATTCAATAAGGTAGATCTTGAGATGTTGATGAACAGTGCAAATCGGATGTGGCGGCGATCTGGAGCGTCTCGGGTTGGGGTTCGACACAATGCGAAGTTGTCACAGACGTCGATCATACTCATGTAGGGGCTGAGACACCCGCAAAGCGCTATACTACATTCGGATATTCATGAAGCTTGACGGATAGCTAAAGCGAACCTCTACCTGCCTATTAAAGTTACTAACCTTCATAGTTGACCTCTCGCTGCCTTCATTGATATACGGTTTGTCCAATGCGAGGAGCAGGACATTACCGTGCCCGCCTGTGACGGCCTGCAAAAATGGTTCCAATTTCACACGTCTTGGGCAACCTTTGACACAGCAAATACTGTAAGCTGATACTCTTCAAGAGATGCTGATTACAACTTCATCTTCGCCAAGTTGGTCAGCATCTCTCGGCCCGTGATGACCGTCGTTCTCCACAAGGTGTAGAAGTCCAGAGTGCTTGTGAACGCTACGCAGAGTCAGCGCCAATCCGACGTGTACACCATCCGAGAAGTGTTCTCGTCCTTCTTAGCTTCAATTGAGACTTACTGTCCGCATATCCAAAGAATAACATGGGCGGAATCCACCCTCTAGCATACTCCAAGGCAAAGCAGGCCTCCTTCATCGCATACTGCTTCACCTCTCCCCTCTTCATCAAGTGCTGAGCCCCCTGCGGATATATCTCGGGCTCGAATGTACCCGCCTTCCACGCTAGTTGCTCGCCCTTCAATATCGTAAAGTAGTCATCCGCCGTGTGCCGCCCTGAGTGTCCCTCAGTCCCGATAGCTGTACCGAACACGATAAGATATTCGGTTATGGACGCATGAATGATAGTCATGGCTCCCATACAGCCGCCTGCGTTGTTGAAGACCCATTCTTCCTCGACGTTCACGTGGTTGGGGTGGGTTTTGGCGAGGTGTTCGACAATGTAGTCGACCACAGCGCGTGTATCGTTGCCGTGGGCCGCGATGGCGGATTTGGAAAGGGTGTGGAGCTCGGTCGGGTCGAAGACGTAGAACTTCTCGAGATGCGAGTCGAGCATGTACATTAGGGAGGAGATGGCGGCGACCAGTGCGCCAAGAAATGTGAGTGTGCGCATAGTTGCAATCGTGAATCAAAGATGACAAAAAAGAGTGAGAAGAGAAAACAGTGCACAAAGATTGACGTGAGATGCTGTGACGGTCGTCTTAATAAAAACTATAGCAATGTAAGATGGTCGTCCCGATGGATCGAAGAGGTTGATGTTGATTGGCTGGAACTGCTCCTTTCCGGCGCCGACAAGATCAGCTCACGGCGTGCGCGGGCTGCGTTGACATAGGGATGCGAATACACGCGGAGTTCCTTCTGGTCATAACCTTGTACCGCCTCCTTTTCAATTCCCATATGGCTGTTCGAATCATGTAGATCCTGAACAGAGCCTACAGATAGTCACTGCTCCTGAAAGGACGACTACCATGCGAAGGCGGTAGTTGCGGGTATGACCTTTTCGCAGTACTGCATTGATATGTCTACGGCCATAGCTCCTCCGCCTCTGTATTTTCATGATACGACCGTTTAGGGTATCGGTGCGTATAATGGCAGCAACGATCCTAGGGTGCTGCCGGATTGTGTGAGTAAAAGAAATGCGGAGACGATAGCCGCAGCATGTGCCAACTATTTTCAACCGCCGCATGAAGCATGTCAGCGTTGAAATTGATCAGGCAGCAAGAGGAGCCTAGCTTAGAAGATTGTTTTCTGGAGTGCGCGGTGTGTATTGCCTACACGGTCTGGCCTTCTGAGAAAATGAAGTACTTCAGAAGTGGAGTGACACCGAGCTAGTCGTCTGCATCATGTCCTTCGCGCAAAGCTTCCTACGGTAGACTACCCTCGCAAACAGGCGGCGGATGGTGTTGAGTAGTCGGTGTTTGGCGGGGTCATCCAAATCCGGCGGGTGTGATTGGGCGCAAGCTCAGCACGAGAGCTTTCAACCTGGTCCTCTCCTGACTGGCACGAGACAACGCGTGTTTATTTACAGCTGCCTACGTGTGAGCTTGCTTTCCGCTGCCAGGCGCCCGCCGCTGCCCTGCTCAACACACATTTACATTCTTGATTACGGCCGCCGTCTGTTTACGTGCGGCGACGCGCACCGTGCCTGTTCGAATTCCGCACGCTGAATCCGCGGTCCCCATCTCGGCGCTTTCGCGGCAGAGCGAGCCGTAAACTGGTCTGTGACGTATCGCTTCTCCGAGGTACGCTCGCGCCCGCACAAATTTTTCCTGATAGCATATTACCATCGACCCTGTACCCCGGCTGGCTGTAGCTCGTTTGCAGCTCTTGCTCCCACTGCTTGTGTGCTATTTGCTGAATCCGCCAGCTGTCTCCCGCTTTGCGCTGAAAGACCCTGTGCGTTGCCTTCTCCTGTGCCGGGTCCTTGGCACGCGCTATACTGCTTCCGGGTGTTCTGGTTCGGAGAGCTCCAGCTCGCGTCACTCAAAAGTACGATTATTGTGCTTCACTCACCGCGAGGAGCACTATTCACCCTCCTCACCTGAGGCGGCTCCTCACTTTTATTGTCCCTGCCGCTCTTGCACTCCTGAACTCCCCATGACCCGCACGCTTGCCAGTTGTTCTTTCCCCCTTGTTCACCGACATACCAAGTCTCGCGACCTCGCCTGAACACAACTGTCATCATGGCGCCCCGCAGATCGCGAGCCAACTCCCCCGAGTTCCCCATTCTGGAGGCCAATGCCTTGTATGCGGGGGATATCAAGGGCGATGGTGAGTGCGGCGTGCTAATTTTGACGCGTTTCCAAGCTGACGGCCCAAGGCAACTGCCTGTTCAATGCCCTTTCCGATCAGCTCTACGGCTCCCAAGACATGCACGAGGTACTTCGCACATACACCATCGAGCACATGAAGCAGCACTCGGGCTTCTACCGCCAGTACATGGCTGTGAACAACGTTCGCCGAAACCCCAAACGCAAGACGACCGCCGCCTTGTCCACGACCATCGAGCCTTCTGCTTATACCGAAGAGGAGCTGCAGAGGCAGTTCGAGCTCCATGTTGAGAAGATGGGCCAACCCGGCGAGTGGGCTGACAACATGGAAGTCTCGGCTTTTGCATCCGCCTTTCATGTTCATGTTCGCCTCTGGCAAGCTGACTTCACCATCCTCATCTCTCCGAGTTTCGACTACCAATATGAGGAGCCTGGGGCTGTTGATGACCGCCAGACCCTCCACATTGCTTATCACGTAAGTGCCTGTTGTAATGCCCTGCAATGCCCGGCTGACCATTTGCAGACCTGGGAGCACTACTCATCTGTCCGCAATAACGCTGGACCCCACACTGGCGTACCTGATGTCACAGTAGTCCCACTGCAGACATCCTTGCGGAAGCGCCCCAGCCCCAGTGTCTCGGGAAGTGATGAAGACGAGATCCCGCGTGCTCGGAAGCGTCGATCTCCTCTTCCGCTCTTCGACTCAGACTCAACACCTGAGGGTACGGAGAGCTCTTCCGACGAGTCCAACGGGCCGGTGCTATCGCAGACGCATCTTGATCTCCCTGACTCGGCACAAGCAGCGAAGCCACAAAAGCTTACCATCAAGCTGCGATGTCTGCGGACCACTGACTCCGTCGAACCTGGCGAGCCTGTCGAGCCTCTTACAGCTATCCCACCGCCCACAATCACCCCTCCCTCACCTCTACCGCCCCCACAAACACCACCACCTGCTGCTTCAGAGACACCCTCAGAACCTGCGCTTACCACGCCTTCCGCAACTACAACGACAGCGACGGCCGCATGAGACGATGATCTAAACTCATGTGCGTGACAGAAACACGCACCCTTACTCACGACGATACCCCATTAACCTATCTTGCATAGCTTAGGCGCATTTTGTTTTTCACTTGACCCTACGCTTTCGCGAGGGTTGTTCCTTCCAGTTGCATAGCATACGAGCATGGGACACGGTATTTGTATGGCCTAGGATCTCAGCTTTGACGATGGATTACACTGCATGACCGGTCAGGACGAGCAGGGCACCAAAGTGCTTGGGTCTTGCGTCCTTGAATCTGGCTTGGCGTTAGTGGCTTATTGATTGATTATTCTCTTCGCGATGACGAATACGGTGAAGAGACAGGTAGCAAATCTACTCTTCTGTTCTTGCCGGTTTATTGGTGCCATGTCTCATGCACCGTGTGATTATTTTGAACAACTTGTAGAGTGTTGTCCAGCTTGAACACGATGCACTCCTTCCGTACAGTAGACCTCCGTTGAACTTGCACATAGAGATGCATTCGTAGCTATAACGCCTGCCTCCCTCCCTACCATCCACCCGCTATCTCTCCGTGTATATTTCAACCCAGTCTTGACCTAAACGCCACTGCAATGCCGTGATAAATACAAGCTCGAAAGGATGCACGTGCGGACTCTGATCTCGCACGTAATTACGATTACACCGCGCCCTCAAATAGATCATCCTTCTCCGGCATCCTCTCCAGCGTCGGACTCAAGGGGCCTGTATCGATGTTCGGCGCTACAGCCCCTACGAGGCTTTTGCGATGGGCGCGTGGACTCGCATCCAGCGTCTCCGTCGCCTCCTCGACCAGCAAACTCTGCTCTGTTTCCCCAACCTCATCATCTTCACCAAGCCCGCGATTTGCAAGGCGCAGACCGAGGATCTGTTGCCGCAGCTCGTCGACGAAGTGCTGCATCTCGTCAAAGGGCAGGCGCACGGGCCCGCCTTGGAAAGTCTCTGTACGCGCACCGTAGAGTTGCAGCGCGGCTTCGAGGCATTTCTCTGCTTGCAGGGCTTTGTTTTGGCGGCGCCATTCTTCGGCAGCGAGGACGGCCCAGAACGCGGCTTTTCGGCGTCTCGAGCCTAGCTTCAGGACACCAAGACCAGGTCGAATGGAAAAGCACGCAGATATGCGCTCTGTGACCAAGGCGGCACCGATGGGTCCGACGAGATTCATCTCGAGGATGCGGGAGCCCCAGCGGGCGGCGTCATCAGTGGCGGAGGTGCCACGTAGGCGTAATAACTCCAAGGACAGGGCGAGGGTTCTCAAAGCATAGAACGGGGTTGCGGAACGTTGGCGGTCAGTGTAGCTGTAGGTCGCTGATCGAATCCATTCGTCGATCTTCTCGGTGCGTATCTTAGCTGTGAGTGCGGCGGGGGAGAGGAGTGCAGAAAGAGCAGCCATTTCTGCGGCGCCTGCATAGTGTTGCCATGCTTTGTCATTGTTGTAATCCGTGCATAGGATCTCGTATGTACTGAGCGCCAATTTGGTATCCCGCAGCATGAAGCAGTAGTCAGCGAGCCTTCGCATCAGTGCTTCAGGAGCGTCTGGGCGATAGAAGCCTCCAACAGAGTCATAGTTGGAATTCGACGAGGTAATCGTAGACGTGGAGCTTGAGCGTGAGGAGCCAAACGTGGTCCAGCGTTTTGAGAGCGACATGAAGCGACCAGACAGACCACGACGACGGGCGAGTATTTGTTCGTTCCATTGGTGGATGTTACGCTCCATGTGCGGTACCATGGACTGAGCGACAAGCTCGCGAACGAAGGTTTTAATTGCAGTGACGTCTGAGTCGGGAATGTAGGGGGTAGGGTCGGTGAACTCGTCGGCGTTTTCTATAGTGGATTGTAAGCATCTCGGAAACACCATGGGTTGACCGGGAAGGCATACCTTGCTTTTGGATTTCTGACAGCTCCTCCGACGCGGACAACCATTCGCATCTCGGTAACCGTACGGCATCGTCGTCGGATGATATACATTGTTGGCCTTTCAGTCGCAATAGGTGGCAGTTGAGTCCAAAATGTCTCTTCATAGCATCAAATGTTGTGTTCGATTTCGCGATATCGCCAGTCTCCTCTTCGTGGATGAAGACATAGTACCGCAAAAACAATCCATCGACCCACTGCGGAACACGGAGGTCGCCCTGATGCTGTCTGTTGTACAGATCTCGAAGTTCTTCCACTGGGGTTGCGCTTCGTGAACTGGTCGCAATGACTCCTACAACTGGATGCGCGAAGGTCTCGTGAGGGACCATGGGGAGGCCCGACAGTAGCCGCCGCATGTATAAGGTGTAGAAGGGGGATCTGCCACTTTCCTGGGCAGCTGGTTCGCCTTGGTTCAGGTAGTCTGGCACCGAACCCTGAGCGCTGAATTCGGAGTACTGTAAATGACGCTCCACCAGTTCCTCGACCTGTGCAACATCGCCGCCCACGGGTCGTGGTCGCATTGGAGTGGCTTCCAGCGCGGGAGGACGACCCAAAACCTGGTCCATGCCGACGAAGCGCACACCAAAGTCCTCATAGCTCTTGCTGGCCCCGACGCTGTCCCGTATCGTGACCTTGCCAGATAGCGACTCGCCAAACGGTCGCAGGAGCTGTAGCAGTCCACCATCCAGTCCTTTGCCACGTATCAAGTCCTCTGTGTCCTTGTCGGCCACAACCACGACATGCGGCGCATAGGCCTGTTGTATGAGAGTCCGGTGCTCGTCTGACACGCCGGGCCGCAAGCTGCCCGGCGTGCCTGTGCCATTCTGCCGCGAGCCAGGAGAGAGGATGGAGCCAGGGCCTGCAGAGGGGGTCGGCGTCGCGGTGCCCGAGCTGGGCCGCGACGTGGATGTCAAGGCGGTGGACTCAAACAGCTTGTGCAGCGACGGGTTCGACGTCCGGAATGGCAGAGATGCGAGGGAGGAGGCGGGCGATGCTCGCTGCTTGGGCAGCACTATCGACGTATCCAGGTCGGCTGGATACTTGGGCGGCTTCGGCGTGGCATCTTGGATGGGCGTCATGGGTGGCTCGGGCGGGGCGCCCACGAGGTTGAGGTTGCGCGCACAAGTTCTGGGGGCGCCGGCATGTATGCTGGCACTGCGCGATCGTGTCCGGCGGGCGGCAACGGGCTACAAGGCGCAGGGCTGCGTTTGAGACTCGGTTTGTGCTGGCGAGAGGTGACGATGACCGCTGCGGCCGCTACGCATCCTGAGTGGACAGGACGGGCACACCTCCACCACAGACCCCAAGCCCACCCGCCGCACGACACACGCTCCTTTGGCCTGCACTGCCCTCCTAGAGCACTGTTCCGACGCGTTGCCTTCACGTCTGAGCCGTGCTTTGTCGCCAGGACCACCCGTCTTGACTCACCCGCATGTCATTGATGAGTCGTGCCTTCCGTGTTTGTTCATCACGAGGAATTCCTTACTATACTACACCCCACCGGCTCTCACCTTCACCACAACGACTCTTTCTGCGCCCAATTGCTCAAAGTTGTCTTGCCAGCTCACGTCCACTTCGTTCATTCTTTCGCATGCCTGCGGAAAGGCTACCTTCACCCTATCCACAAGAAGAGCCTGTCGCCAAACGGCGGAAGACCGGACCTTCTGGGCCTCGCGTCACAAGATCATACAGCGGCATGTCGTCTCGGCCGGAGGCAGATCCAACCACGCTGGAGCTGACCGACGAGGAGACGAAGCTCCGCAATCTGCTCCTTGCGGTTGCGGCCTACATTGACCAGACTCCTGCCGCCGAGAGTGCTGGAGTATCTGTCCCCGAAGGTGTCGCGCAAGAGAAGACTGTGTTGCGATGGACGGGCGGTTGGGTTCGCGACAAGCTACTAGGTGTGCGTAGCCACGATGTCGATGTCGCCATCAACAATATGACCGGCGAGCACTTTGGCTTGAAGATGCTTGAATATCTCAAAGTCCCGGGCAACCTCGAAAAGCACGGCTTCGGGGCAGATGAGAGCAGCAAGATTATCTCTGGACTACACACCATCAAAGCCAATCCAGAAGCCTCTAAGAACCTGGAAACAGCCACCATTAAGGTCATGGGCATTGACCTCGACCTTGTCAATCTTCGCAAAGAGACGTACGATGAAGTTAGTCGAAACCCGCAGATGGAATTTGGAACCGCAGAGGAGGACGCCATGCGACGAGACGCTACTGTGAATGCCATGTTCTACAACTTGAACACACAACAGGTTGAGGACTTTACGGGCCGTGGTTTCGACGACATGGCAGCAAAAATCATACGCACTCCTTTGGAACCCTATCAAACCTTCAAAGATGATCCCCTGCGAGTGCTCAGGCTAATTCGCTTCGCGAGTCGACTCGACTACACTCTCGAACCGGAGACCGCAAAGGCTATGGCAAATAAGGATATTCAAGAAGCTCTCAAGATCAAGATCAAACGCGAGAGAGTAGGAATCGAGATGGAGAAGATGCTCAGGGGGCCGGACCCCGGCATGGCCCTGCGACTCATCGACGAGGCAGGTCTTCACGATACCATCTTTACCGATCCAACCCGAAAGCTGGAGTTCCAACCTGATGTCCAACACTACCGGAAAGGCTATAAGTTTATGACCGAATGGATCAACGAACGGGAAGGCTCAAAATACCCGGTGATTCCTCAGACGCTGCTAAGCACCCGTGATGCAGAGTCTGACGAAGAGTATTTGGCGTGGGTCTGCGCCGCAGTGTTATCGTGGGCCGACGCTCCCAAGCTTCCGCCTCCGAAGAAGAACAGACAACCTCTCTACGCGGCTTCCCTCGTGGCCCAGGAAGGCCTGAAAGCCCCTAATCGAGTATGCGATGTTCTCACAGCTTCCTTGAACAATTATGAGGCTGTCAGTCAATTGGTTGGAGAGTGCCAAAAGCGACTCCCCGAAGAGGATCCTTCGTCACCAGCTCAGAGGGAAAAGATAGGAATGGCGCTACGAAACTGGGGTCGCACATGGAGGTCACAAGTTCTCTTTGCGCTGCTGCACGAAATCGTACATGGCGAGCGTTCGACGGAAGGTACATTTGGGCTACACGCACTACAATCTGGTCTGGCTAACTGATTCAGATGTTCTTCGCCAATATGCCAACTTCCTTGCCCTCGTCACCGACCTGGATCTTCTGGATGTTATCAATCTAAAACCTCTCGTGAAGGGCACCGATCTGGCCAAGGCTCTCGACGTCAAACCCGGCCCGTGGATGAAGGACGCTCTTGATGTCGTCTTAGCCTGGCAGTTGCGTAATCCTTCCGTGACGGACCCAGCCAATGCGATAGAGGAAGTGAAAAAGACTAGCAAAAGTGAGCTACCCTCTCGACTCATGTTCCACTTCCTGACGCTTACGATCCGCCCTCTTTTCTCGCAGACTAAGACAGATGTTATTGGAGACGCTCCAGCACCTTGGAAGATGCGTGAGAACAAGTCCTTTCTAGATTTGCTGCATTGGTGCATAAAAACGGTTGACGAGAAAGATCTGCGAGAGTGCTTCAGGTTAATAAGGCCGCCAATTTTCCGGATGCTGGAGGACGGTAATCTCGAATGGAAAGCCAAAGCGTGCCAGGTCATTACCCAGCTGGCGAAGAAAGCACCAGAGAATATCAAGGAAGAGTGTCGGAATCTATTCTCTGAAGATGTGTTTGGTTGCTTCAACTACCTTCCTACTTTGACCCCAGCACCAGAGGCTGCGGGCCTGCTGGAGCATGTGTATCCTGCTTTGATCTCGTTCGTGCCTGTAGCGGAAGAAAGAATTGCAGCTCAGGAGAGGCAGGCCGTTGCCTCAAGGGGAGAAGCGCGTACTAATAGTTTTGTACTGAGCGAGAAGGACATCCGGTTTCTCGATAAGGTCGTTCGGCAAGGCGTCATAGCAGTCCTGCAACACGCCCCAACTCCAACGACTTATCCTGAACTCACGACCCTCGTTCTGCGCAACCTAATCTGTCTCATCGTTGCAGAGGAGATCGAGTGGGTAAAGCACGCCAACGATATACTTCCAATGCTTCACGACATACTCCGCGACAAGATAAGTCCCACGCATCCCGACCTGCCACAAGCGGCAGCCAAATGTCTCAGTATATGCATCGCCAAGGGATGGCCTCGCATGGGTAAGTGTTCCCCCAGGTCTCCTTTCCCGTTCTTTACAGCTGACCGTGATCCTGCCTTAGATACGAAGCGCTTGCAGGAGGTTTACCTTTCCACCGCTACAGCTTGGGTCAATTGCTCGGAATACGACACAAATTTAGAAGGCTTAGAGGGGCTGAGACATGATTTAAAAATTACGACGTTGTATTTAGATAATGTTTCTAACAGGGATGGTATCGACATCGACACAGCAAGTTGGTGGACTGGAGAGAAAGAGAGGGCTAGGAAGGAGAACGCGTCTTGGAAAGATATGCTGGAGTCTTGTAGCACATGAGACCAGAGTGCAAGCAGGACTGCATGCGTGACACGCACCACCAAAAATATATCACTTTTGCCACTCGTCATGCTTTAGGATGCACTTTACCCTCTCGAATTGTCATCTAGTGATTTTGACGTTTCCCACAGACAGTTGTCGGGGGCCGCGCTTGTCAAACTAGGAATCCTACTGCCCAACTAGTGCGTCATTACGCCCCGGTACGGCAATAACGGCAAATAAGCTTACCCATTCTAGGTTGCCTTCTCACTAGCAAGGAATCCGTTTGACGAGAACGGACCACTTGAATAAGATCGTCGTCTAATCCAACGAAGTATGAGACCTTTCCGTTAGTTGCTATGACGGGAGCCAAGGAAGGCTCAGTCGGGTTCATACGAGGATATCCACCGCAACAGGAGGTCCAAAGATGCTTGATCCTTAATAAGCTTACTATTCGAGTCGATAGAATTGCTACAATTTCTCCCAAGGCCTAGCGGCGTAGACCTTGGAAAATGCGGACGTCTCTTCCCTCTATAATACTGCTCCTCGCAGCATCATCTATATTTGCGGCACAAGCACAAAACACCACTAACACAACTTCAACACCAGAGACCTGTGGCGGAGATATAGACTGGCTCAACACAGGGAACAGCTCTGCGAACTCGACCGGCCAGGTCGAATTCAGATGGACCGACAACAGCGACTCCGAGCGCCCTACCTCGGACCTTTGGTACCTGTCCGTCACGGTCAACGACACATTGCGTAGAGGCGATGTCAGAACATCGGCATCCAACGGTGGCATCGAGCTACGCGGCTACGTTAGTGTGCCCGACGACGTCAAGAACGCGAGCCTCTGCCTGTACCAGTTCAGCAGCGCAAACGTGACGCTGGACGACAGCATCGACGATGGCCTCGATTCCTGCGGCGGCATCGTAAGCGAAGAGTGCAAGGACTTCATCAAGGACAACTTCCTGCACGAGATCCAGCCGTCCGGATGTCCGCTGTACCGGAAGGCCGGCACCGAGGGGGCTGATACCTTCAGGAAAGCGTGTCCGAACTTGGCTGATTCCGCTGCCGGTAAGTTGAGACACTTCCCCTTCCAAACTGCCGTGACCTGGCTTTCGTCGCTACGTCTGTTCTCACAATCAGGACGTGCTGACATCGCTGCGAAGTCTATTACAAGGACGTGTCGAACACCACCTGCGCCACCACCGACATTCCCAGCGTCAACATCCCGGAGGGCTATCACTCCCTGCGTAGTGCTTCCATGTCTAGCCCTTTTTCCGACTACAATTATCGGCCGAACATGACAGAGGCGTACGATCTGCTCGTTCGTCAGACGGTACCGTACGTTCTGCATAGCAGGTTCGAAGATCCGGACTCAAATTCAATGAAGGTGTTGACTAGGTTTATCTGTGTGGCGCCAAACCGGACGGTGGAAGGGAGTCGTGCTGTGCCGGACGGCAAGGCGCCTTGGGAGGAGAGCAAGGGGGTTGGTTTGGCTGCAGGGAGGATGGCGGTGGTGATGACAAGTATCATAGGAGCGGTGCTCATGATATAGAATAGAATGGGCAAAGCCAGATTTGTAGCATGGTCAATCCTGTGTCTAATCAGCGCTCAATGCTTTGATCCGGCCCCACACAAATATGGTTACCAGTCGTGTCTAACCGTGTGTTTCCCGGTAGCATAATCAACGTCCCTATAGCTCACCTTGGGGTAATTCAACCCTCTCGGACTATTACTACGCGTCGGTAATTTTTGGGAGATGTTATCCTTGCAAAAGTTGTCCCAAGGTAACTCAACGTGTCCTAACCACCCGTTATACACTGCTAGCGTTCGATATATCAGATCTTTGTAAACCTCATCCCGGGGCTACTCAACGCTCTCGAACGACTACCGTCCGTCAATGACAGTGGGGGTCTTGTATCTCAGCAAACCTCGTCCTAGATCAACTCAAAACTGTGAAGCCCCACACACTGTTTAGCTGTGACTTGGGTAAACATGATCTGAGTGCCCATCACCCTAGGACAACTTGATTAGAATTTGTAGCTAGATTTGATGAATGCATTAAGTAACTTTTCCATGAACTTTGACCTGTCTAAGCAATCGCTAACTATTCCCACCCAAGCATGCGAAGCCGAGACGACTCAGAAAATGCCAATTTCATCCGCCTTGTCCACAAATGCTAGTCCCCCACACACAAACTCAGACCGCCAGAATTCCGCCGCCGTGCTGCAACTTCACCAGGCAGGCCTCTTGCCCTTGCCCTTGCTGCCCTTCTTCTTGCCCTTGCGGGCGCCTGCCAAGTCAGCTCAAGTCCATCCAGGCTGAATTATCACCTACCGGAGAAGCCGTCGTTGATGGTGCCGCCATACGCCAGGTGCTGGGGCGCGGTCGCGAAGAAAGGCTGGGCCCAGCCGTAGGGGTGTCTAGACTTCGATGTAAACGCGCAACGTTATAATATAGCCTAGGTATACTTACGGGATATTCCAGGGACCACCTCCCATCGGGAATCGGCTAGCCTGCGCGAGCACAGCAGGAGCAGCGGGACCGGGGTGCGCGAAGATGCCGGCGCCGTAGGGGTCCGTGACAGGCACACGGGGTGCGAACGGGCGCCAATCCGGGAGAAGCGCGGGGGAGACGACAGTCGAGGCCAAACTCATGTCGGACTTGGTGGGCGATACAGCGGTCGGCGGGTGGACGAGGGCTCTAGGGATAAACGGTGGAGCGCGCGGATTGAGCTTGAACTTCGTGCCCGGAAGAGGAGGGAAGGCTGAAGAGGGAAGGGCAGAAGAGACTTGCCGTCCCATGGAGGGGGCGAAGAGGGAATGGTTACCTGTGCTTGGATCGTTAGAGTACATGTTGAGAGTGTTGATCGCGGTGGTCGTTGATGAGCGTCGAGGTGTCGTAGGTACAGCGCCGATCTGTGCGGCGTATGCAGCGGCCGAGGATGTTGATGTAGTCGGCGTAGAGGATCGAAGCGATGGCTGAAAACTCGCGGACGCAATTTATACGTAGGTGGTCGAAACGCGGTGAAGCTGCTTGTTTAGAAACGGGCTTCACCACACGGTTGTAACGTTATTGGCGGTGAGCTATGGTCGCGTTGAATGCGCGTTTCTGCAGCTTTCCGCAGCGCTTGCGTGCCTTGCGCAGCTCCAGCGAGAAGCCGTTCGGCTCAATGCCGTCGTCCGCCTGTCTAGTGGTGTCTGACTTGGTCTTTGGCGAGCACCGCATATAGGGAACAGGTACGATCGATGCGCACAAACGTGGCTCATGTGCCATAATTACTATAGCTCTTGCAGATGACACCAAATCCAGTGCGCCTATTTCAAGACTCCATCCTCATCATCGCTGCTCTTGTCACCGTCTCTGACACTATCAAGCTCGACATCATCTCTGTCACTGTCATCCTCATCGCGAAAAGCGTCCCCTTCGCCACTGAGCAGAGGGTCCGAGCCCACAGCGCCTTCGGTCTCTTTCACGCCCTCTTCTCTTCTCCCAATGATCACGCTTCCAGCTATCAGCATCGCCGCGCCCAGCCACCATAGTCCTGGCAACGATTCGGAAAATATGGCCAGGCCCAGAATCGCGGTAATCATGAAGTTGGCAGATGTGTTGATCACGCTGACGCGGACGGTGGACGAGGCGAGCGTCAGGGCGCGCGTGAAGAGACCCCACATGACGGCGTTGAAGAGGATATTGAGGCCGAAGAAGAGCTACGCGTCGCGCACATGTTAGCTTCAGGTCGCGAGAGGAGGGTCGTGGTGGGGGCTTACCCCGCGTATGGCGTACTCGACCAGCTTATTCGAGCTGCTGAGACCAAAAGCATGGGCTATGGAGCCTGACCACGAGGCCGTAAGCTCCGTCGTTGTGCTGGTCCGCTTTAGCAAGCTCCCACGGGGAGGGTCGAGGTCGCCTACAGCTTCGCGAATACGCCATTGAAAGCTGCGCACGCACCACTCGCGACAGCCAGTACGATCCAGGGTGTCGATGTCACTGCGGTGCTCGGCATTGTGTGGAGATATGCCCAGTTTATCGTGGGTAGTCCGCTGCAGGAATGTCATGTCGTGAGCTGAGCTCTGAGACGAGTGCCAGGGTCCAGCTTAGTCACGACCAACCCAACAAACATTGATGTCATGTCATTTCGTTTCGCGATTCGCACGTTTGACTCGATGCATTTTCCGAGGAGTCTCTTAGGAAGCGTCGACGTGGCTTTTCTTTGCCAGGCGTTTGCGAGGCTCCCGGAAAGGCGTGGGGTTACAAACACGATCATCCCCAACAGCTCGCAAACCGACCTATCAACCACGAGGCAACGCACTGGCATTTGGGAGACGCTGAAACATGACCGGTACAGATTGCAGCAAGTATACACATTCCCATGCAGTGCCCAGCTTACCAAGCCAAGTAATCCTTATCCCGCTGTCACTCCACCACCCCAATCTTTCCCATGAGCAACGCATCCACCTGTTCTCCCTTCTTGACAGAACCCTCCCCAGCAGGCATACACAGTAACGCATTCGCTCCCTTGAAGCTACCAATCCTACTGCTCCGCTGTCCACCCGTACTGCTCGCGACCAGTGTACCATTTCTGGCTACGGCCACGACTGCACGGTGGTATTCAGGCCTACCCCGGTCCATGCGCACATCTGAATCCAACGCCACCTTCACCTTCGGTAAGCCTGCAGGTACAATGCCAGCTTGCTTGTGCAGCGAGGGTAGCACGAAAAGATGGAACGTCACGACCGCGGAGGCGGGATTGCCAGGAAGCGAGAAGATGGTCTTGCTAGTGCGAGACGCAGTCGGAGAGGAGTGCTTGGTGGGGATCGTAGCGAAGGTGGTAGGCTTGCCAGGCTTCATGTTCACGCGACCGAAATGGATCGTGCCGCCAAGGGAGCGCTCGATGGTAGGCTTGAGGAGATCGAGTTCACCCATGGAGACGCCGCCGCTGGTTATAATCACATCGACACGGGCGAGAGCTGAGCGAAGCGTTTCTTCGAGGGCTCCAGGTCTGTGGTTCTGTCAGCTTTCGGTTTGCGGTCGTCCGAGTAATGAAAGGAACATGAATGACCTGCTACGTACTTGTCAGACACAACACCCAAATCTACAGCCTCAAAGTTGTTACTGCGCACTGCAGTGAGCAGCGTGGGACGGTTCGTGTCGCGCACTTCGCCTAGTCTGAGCGGGCCTGGTCTATCGTGCTGGATGATCTCGTCGCCTGTGCTCAGAACACCGACGACCGGCCGCTTGTAGACTGATACTTCTGTTGTGCCAACTGAGGCGAGGAGCCCAAATTCGCCACCCACGACCGTAATGCCTTCACCCTTCTTCATGATGATGTCGCCTTCCTTGACGTCGCTACCGACTTCTCGCACGTTTTCTCCGCTTCTAATCTCGTCGGTGAGGATCTCGACTTCCTTCTCCTCCTTTCCATCCTCGGTTTGAGATGCGAGGGCCGTGTCTTCCACCATGATAACGGCATCTGCACCTGGTGGGAGCGGTGCGCCGGTGGTGATACGAGCGATTTGCCCTTCTTTCAGTTCTTGCACCTCACCGGCTTGGGCATGCGAAACAAGAGCTACGGGATATACACCCTTTGCAAATTTTCCCGAAGATGGGGTTCTGATCGCGTAACCATCTACGATACTCGCTCGGAACGCGGGAACAGACTCTGTAGCTTTGACATCTTCTGCCAGTACCGAACCTCCAAGACTCATGTCCACAGATGCTTTCTCGATAATTGGGGATGGTGTGTGCTCTGCTATGAGTTCCAGAGCTTCATCTACAGCGAGCATGGGATAAGGAGACGAGCGGTATCGACGAGTTGGTCCTGCGCTAGGGTCATTGGACTGTGGTAGGTCTTTTGGATTGGTGTGTGCTTTTGGGCCCGCGTGGCCTCCGTGACCATGTGAGTGGTGGTGGTGGTGATGATGATGCCCGCTTGCCGCTCCTACCGGGATCAACTCAGTATAGTCCAGTTTGTACTCTCGTGGGAAATGTACCTGCTGCACTGGTAGCAGATGAAACTCCTGCATCCTTTTCAAGCTTCTTTATGCCGCCCACATGCAGCGGTCTGGATGCCGCGCCGGCCGCTTGAACGCAAGCATGTGGCAAAAGCTTGAGCACGGCTTCCAGGTTCTCTTTCGCTCCCTTTGGAGATCCGGGCAGCGTTAAAATGAGCGTACCCTTCCTTACGCCTGCAACCGGCCGAGCCATCAATGCAACTAATAGTCATTAGCTCTGGTCTTGTGTGGTGCGGATGTGGACCTACAAGGCGTGACAGCTAACGAAGAAGCCAACATTCCATGTCTATCTCGTATCAGCATGTTTTCCTTTACAGTACCAGAGTTGTAGGCTTTTACACAAGACCAGGTGCATGTCGATCTATGAGCGGAGTTACTGCCTACTACTGTGTCAGTGTATCACGCGCCTGCCCGCACGTTTCGATTAGCATACCTCAGGCGTAACATCCTTAGTAGCAAAGCCTGTACCACCACTGGTAACAATCAGGTTGGCAGGCTCCTCACAATCGGTCCATGTCCGTATGCTCTTCTGAATGTGAAGAATGCTATCGGGGACGATCTCGGTGGAGGCGACCTCCCATTGGTCGTTTCCAAGATGAGCGAATACGTCTTGGAGAATCGGTATACATTTGTCTGTTGAGGGGTCCTGAGATGCAGTCTCGGAGACCACGAGTATTGCGGCTTTCAGTTTCGATTCTGCCATGTTTCAAAAGTGGTGGTCGAATGCTAGCGCGGCATGCATGCGGAGCAATGTCCCGCAAAGTAGAAGCTTGGACCACCTCCAATACTGCACATATGACGATGATGCAATAACTGATAACTTTCTTTGATGGAAATCTCTCATGATACATGCATTATACAAGTCCCTTCTCCTTCGGTTCCTTATGTACACGGTACACTTCTAGATAGTCCTGACAATGGGACATGGGACGCTGCGCTTGCGCTTCGTGTGACGCCCCTTCACACGTTCCATGTCGACCCTTGGTTGCTATCCAATCTCGACCCATGTGCCGCTACGTAGTCTGTTCCTATCCATTCCTTGATCTATTTATTCATTCAAACTCGGGTGCGTTTGCCTGTACCAGAAGGCCGATGATCAACCCGAAAAGACCAAGAATAGAGCTGAAGATCTCAATAACCAAGATCTTGACGAAGCTACTGGGTGTTAGCATACAAAGGCGCTCGACAGGTGGATTCAGCTTACAGCGAGGGGTCTGCGGCATCTGCTAAAGCAGCACTGCTTCCGTTGATTCCCACAGATACACCGCAGATGAGATTGCACATGCCCACAGTCAAGCCGGCCCAGAAGAGTGCAAATCCAGTGTAGTAGTTCCGGGGGCTCATCAGTTCTTCATAGTCGCTGACACCTTGCAGCTTTGAGGAGAAGATGATGGCCATAATGACGCCGTAAATGGCCACAACTTCGCAGAAGATGATGGAGATCAAGTTCTTGGTTCGTATCCGCGGGGCCTTGACACCTCCTCCGAGGATGGACACCCCGGTCGTGAAAATTCCCCTTGTACCCGTTAGACCCGTCCCATTCCCGTGGCTGACGAAACGTACCAGGCCGATCCGACGACGGAGAGACCTATGCAGAGGCCGATGCCGATACTAGCCCATGTGTACGGAGACAAGCTTTCGATGAATTGCCCGACCTAGAGATTGTTCAGCGGTGATCGCGAGCCGGAAACGGGGGTGCGTACGTTGAAGGCTTCTCCTTCGCCCTGGAAGAGCATGTCTGTTTGCCATCAGTGACTGCCTGAGCTGGCTGGATGGTGCACGTACATAGGCCGACCACGCCCAGGGCCGCGGTGGCGCCGCCTGCGCCGTAGGAAAGAGACATGGGAAGGCAAGGCGGAGCTGCGCGGTAGATGGGGATGTGCGGGCGGAACAGAGCTCCTCGTGGTGGTGATGAACACTTGCAGCTGCCATGATGGCTGCTGCGGAGCTAGCCGCTAGCGTGGACGGCGGCTTAGTCACCCCCGCTCCGGCTGTCTTGGGGCCTCTCACTGCACGTGTCTGACTGCCGCCCGCCGCCCTCATCAAAGCCGACCGCAGTTGCGCTGCCTGCCCTCGTCCACACCCCTCCGGCTGAAAGACCACCGCCGCCCGCACAAACACGCCCTACTGCCCGTTGCCATGGCCACCGAAGCGTCCAAGTATTACGAGCTGTACCGCCGCAGCAGGTGTGCTCTCACCAGCGCCGCTGAGGAGTGCCTGGGCTGACAAACGCAGTGTCGGTGGCGCCCTCACAGACACGCTCGACACGCTCATCACCGAGCGCCGCATCGAGCCGCAGCTCGCCATGAGGATCCTCGCCAACTTCGACAAGGCCGTGGCCGACGTGCTTGCTGACAAGGTCAAAGCCCGGTTGACCTTCAAGGTTGGTACTCCCCAGCCCATTGTCCTCGCCTTCACTAACCGATCTTCCCAGGGACACCTCGACACCTACCGCTTCTGCGACGACGTCTGGACCTTCATCATCAAAGACATCAACTTCAAGCTCGATAACAACGCCCAGGTCCACGCCGACCGTGTCAAGATTGTGAGCTGCAATACAAAGCGCCCTGGCGAAGCTTAGGAAGCATCGAGCCGGCTTTTCAACTTGTAGAGCTGAATACAGTCGAGTTATTTCACGTCCAGAAGAATGCGCAGATGGGTCGGTGTGCCGGGCACCCCAGCGAAGCCACAGGTATCGCTAGGGGTAGGAGGAAGGCAGGACCTGTACGTTCCACGTACCGCCAGACGATGGTTTTTCACGCGAGCGCCTTCAGAAATCGAGGCAGCTGACATGCGCGTTCATCACAGTCTGCGATATGAAGCTGAGTATCCTGCGTTACTCCGGGTAGGCATCCCAGGGGTTGGCAGTACTTGAAGCTTCACTTCCATGTCTGTATGATTTGTCATGTCGATTGGAGAAATATACCCTTATCCCAGCGGAAGAAGTTGCTGCTGGCATACACGAATATAGAAATCATGCACATGCCTCACAAGCATTTTCATCATGTTGCCCCGTGTATATACCTCAGATATAGAGCATGCGGGATGTGAAGGCGTACAATCAATGGATATTACACACATATTATAGGAAACTCAACCTGTAGTTCCTCGGTGCTAATTTCGCAGAGGCGATTGTGGTCGACATCCACTGACATGTCGCAGCCAACAATGACGAAGACAAACAGCCGCAGTCACCAGAATGACTCCACGTTCATGCAACTTTGTATTGTTGGCCATTGCCACGTGCTTAGATTCAACTATCCCTTCACAGCGTACTCGCTGTGGCAAAGTAGCTTACGCTCCGGACAACCCTCTCTTAGGCTCTTCTCCGCTCCAAACTATATCGCCGGCACACAACTCTCAACATTTTATACACCTCGTTGGCCAGCAACCACACCAAGAATAACAACGAACAGCACAACACAAGCCATCTCCACACGCTGGCACAATCGGCCCTGCTATCGGACCATTCCCCTCTTCCAAGCCATCCTCATGACAACGTTCTTTGTCCTTTCTCTACACGCATGCACCCAAGAACAAGCTTGAAGTCGAAAATGCAGTTTCGACCAGCGCACTGTGACCAAAATGCTACAAGCAGGAGCGTGTAGCTAGATGCGGACCATTGGTTTGCGAAGTATATGGTCGCCCCTATAAACATTGCTTCGCTGACTGCGTGCAGACATTGCCCCCCTGCTAGCTCCAAGCTCTTGACACTTGATGGGGCGGCTATCGACGTGGCTCTCTGGATTGTGGGCGGGTTGTACGGAACGCCTAGGTGCGCTGAAGGTTGTAGTCACAATTGGATGTGCTCGGGGTGTGACTCAATAAGGAAAGATACCCACGGGACCGCAGTGCCTCTACGTGCACGCAGGAACGTCGCGCTTCAAATGCTTACGTAGCCGACTCAGGAAGGGGACAGCCGCGTTTTCAAGGTACCTTGGGTGTACGTTGAAGCAGGAAAGGAGTGGACGGGTCGGGTCCTCTGTGTACCTGCATGGGTTACAGCCGGTAAGTGAGAAAGAGGCATAAAGGCGTCTTTGTTCGACACTGCCGGAGTATATTACTCAATCAGGCAAGAAGCGGGAGGGGGAAAGGGCGACGATACAAGGGCGACAGTGTTCGACGTTCCTGCCCAAATGCCGACTTCGGTATTCGGATTGACGTAACTCACGATGAGAAAGGGCGATTGTGTTCCCTCGGCTTGTACGAGGATGTTTGGCTAGCCAATTTGTATGCAATGCGAAGGGCGAAGAGGGCGACAGGAATCGACGCTGATGATAGATTGCCATTTAGGGTGCTGAGACAGTTTATTATGACGACCGATGAGTGTGAATCTCTCCGATTAGCTTACACAAGCTGCCCTTTTTGGATAGGCTGGGTAAGGGGCAAAGGGCGGCTCCAGGGCAACGCCCTTCGCGTCGGATGTAGGATACGACAACCCTTCCCAATAATGTGGTAGAGCTTAGAGAGGGTGTCAAAAGACCAAGATCAGTAGGCAAATCGGTCCGTACATGAATACATATTGTTCAGCACGAGATCACATCGTGTGTATTCCGCGCTTTGAGGAACAGCGTAGTCCACAGCGTGAACTTGGAACAGACCCAAATGGAATTGAATAGGTAGTCAATCGAAACCTCTCGAGCCTATTCATGGCACGGCCGCAAATTCTGCGGTCTTGGAGGTGCCTAGTTCCAGCGGATTATGGATTACCAAGATCGATGTAGCAGCGGACGTCGCCGCCGTGGCCTTCGGTCCCCCACATCTGAGGAGGTTATTAGGGTTAGTGATATTAGCTCCATAGGAGGCTCGTGGGGGATCGACATGATATTCGGAAGAATCTATATCTGAAACCTGGATCCTATTGGTAATATGTAAAAAATTAATGGCAGCATAGAAATTGAGGATTTGTCCATTGTGATCATCTAGATCAGCTTTGCGACCGTGTTCTTCGTCAATAACATGAGCCGACCTGTGAAGGCTGGGTTGTATGTACAGAAGAGGAGATATTCAGACATGTTTTAGGGCAGCAGGGCGCCCGCCATCAACAGTGCTACCAAATCTCCAATCGGGAAGGCCCGAGACGATGAAAGAGTGACAAATTACGACAGACATGCTGACATACTCCTACTTGGGTCTGTCACGAACAAGTGGAAAAGCGTCATCCTTTGCCCTCGCTTCGTACACCCAGTGGGTACCTCCACACACCATTGCATCGTGTGATTGTTTAGGGCCATGGAAGATCACGAAGAAGTGGTAATCGAAGCATATATATTCTTCTGAATTGCGACAACGACCAGATGTATTCATAGTACATCAGCACTTCAGCTACTTGCCGCCAGAGCGGACTTGATGTTAGAAACAATAGGTTTCAAGCTCTTTGATGGCAAACTCCAATCTTGCCTCTTGAGGCTCTCTTCGCCGACCACCAGCCACAAAGTTTCTGCCGCCGCGATACGGATCTATGCTCTCGTTAGCGAAGCGCCTAGCATCAATCTCAAGTGGCCTCACTTTTGGAAAGGGGTGCAGTAACATGCTGTTCAATTTCGTGATCGTATCTGCCCGCGTCGTCGCAATGGTGCCTAGCCCGCGATACACATCGAGGGCTAGTTGCAGCTTCTGCATATGGGTGGATCTGAAATGCGCTTTTTGCGTGTAAGACAGAAGAGCGCGAAAGCTGTCATGGTTACTAATAGTCGCTCAAACCTCGCATCAAACTTACTTAAACGATGTCTCCAGGAGGCGATGCATGACTTGCATGTCGAACAAAAAAGCAAAGATTTCTAGCAGAGGTAACAAAACTCGTTCTGTTTCCAGGTTTTGCTTCAATAGCCCCAGCAGACAGTTGATGACTTGAAACAAATTGAACGTGTCGTCATCTCCTGTAGGAGTGGTAGGCCAAACATCAATGGCATCTAGCAGCGCCGCACGTGAGTTTTGGACAACTGACTCCGAGCCCATGCCTGCGGAGGTCATGTAGCCGAGACAAACGGCTTCAATAATAGCAGGAGAGCTGGACGGTTTCAGTACGGTGAGAGCATTCGCGAAGTAGGCGTAAGAAGAGACACCGTCTGCAACGCCAGCTGCGACCGCGTTGAAAAGCTCAAAAGAGCCTTTCTCCAATACCTGTGCAGCTCGCGATCTGACTTTGTCAAGTTTTTCAAGTGATAGTCGCAAGACATCCGCATGCAGATCTTCCTCATGGGTCGAGCCTCGCAACAAGCCTGAATTCCAGGCAGTTCCTGTCGTATTGAGAGCCTCAAGCCTGACCAGAGCACCAACGTCTCCTCGTTCCGTGACTGTGTAGTCGTTCAAGGCCACATGCAAAGCATTGGCGACTCGGTCTCTTATAGCTGAAGGTAGTTCAGACAAAGGGGTAATACTCGCACAATTCTTTATCAAGATGCTGAGAGCAGACAGAGCCACGGTTCGAGCCTCGATCGATACAGCGGACGTGCATCTAAATGGCAAGATTTCGGCAATCTGCCTCTGCATAGGGCTCGGTCCAGTTCTCCCCGATGCTAGCCATGGATATGCCGCTCCTAGGGCAATGGCATAACCAGACCACCGCAGACCGTTGTACGATGCTTCATTCTCAAGTCTGGTAAGCCAACCGGCAACCAAAGAGTCTGCATCACTTGGAGATAGCCTTTGTAAAAGCTTTAAAACACCAGAAGTCGTTCGTGGTATTGCCTCCATCACAGAATCGGCGTGGCGACTAAGGGAAAGGTTCAGTAGGCGAGTCAATTCCTCGACTGGAACCTGTCGTTGTTCATGATCATGCGCCGAGTATCTCATGCACGATAACGCCCCCAATAAGTTGCAAATGGAGGAAGCGGTGAAGTCTGGCCTCATAGCTGGAGACATGAACGCATTGTCATCGAGCTTCAGCTCTCGTTCAAGCAGATCCCAAAGATGTGTGAGATCAGCAGCATCTCTGGTTTCATTTGCTTCAGTCGAATCATCTCGCATGCGATTTTCGTCTACCAGAGCAGCCAGCGCAGAGACCAGGCCTTGGCGTTCCTCGACTTGTCTTGGTTTGAGTACCGCGAGCTCTCGACTGATTCGATCAGACATGGAATGAATGACAGAAGCAGTTTTTCCGACGGTAAGTTGTCCCACGGCACGTGCAGCGAAGAGGCGAGAAGCGGAATCCAAAGAACCAATGCCACGCCAACCCAACACATTATCGAACAATGCCTCCCAGTAGGCTTGATGTAGCCTGCTTGCTTCTATGGAAACCTTACACATGGCGCGTTGACGAAGACCAACTGCGTGGAAATCAACAACTTGGACCAGCGAGATGCCTTCGTAAACGGTGTTTGGATGCCGGCCGATGAGTTCTTGTAATGCAGCGGATGATCCTCTTCGAATGTTACCAGCTGGGTCGAGACATGCTACAACGAGCAACTCTATCGCTAAAACCTGCAAAATCGAGATACCCCGCCGGTGCTCAGAGGCTCGGACCGAGGATGTTTCTACAGCAGAAAGTTCAGCCGTCGTGTAGCGTCGTGACAAAGCCCATATTCCAAAGCAGGCAGCATCGCGAACGTTGGTCCCTATCGAACCGCCAGTCGTCGAGCGTTGTTCGAAAGCCAATGCTAGTAAAAGGGCGTTCAAAATATCTGGCAATTGGGCAGGAGACAAGGCCCGACGATAGAGCAACTGTGAGAGCGTGAGGGTTAATCCATGCCACCGCAGTGGATCGACTCCACTGAGATTTCTCGTTGAACCCTGCCAATAGACATTCTCGTTGAGCGACCCAAGAATAGCCTGAACCACTTCTTCGGCCATTTCTCCGTCAAGCTTCATGGTGATGATGCTGAGTGCTTTACTTGCTGCATACCTCACAGGCGTGTCGCCGTCTGCTACGGAGTCTAAAAGAAGCTCGATAACCTCTTCAACAACGGTAGTAGTATCGAGCTCGTTTACCGCTTCGGTTGCTTGGAGGCTATGTACCACGATGTTGCGCAGCGTCTTGATGATGAGCTTCCTTGCAACTGCTGAAGTCTTCACAAAAGCCAGGTCTGGCTGAGCGATGATGTTCTGGCTGACCTTATATATAGCGGGAAGAAATGGGCCAATCTCCTCATTCGTGGCAGAGGTCACGAGTCCAGAGAGAAATGAGAGTATGCCAATGCACTGGTGGATATTGGTCGACTGTTCCGTGGCACTGTTGAAGAATTTGAGAGACCACTGAACAAACGTCTCCAGCAATCCGAGCTTCTGCATGTCGGGCCGCACACAGAGACGAACGAGTAGATGTGCAGCGGCACCTCTTTCTTTGGAGGCTGAAGTAAAAGCCTTAACGCACATAGTAAGAACCCGAAGTGCAATACCGGGTACCTCAGTTGGAAGTTGGATGTCAAGGGCATTCGCCACTTCGTGCGATGACTGCATGGCAGACATTGATGCTAAAGGAAATGGAGCAAGCATTAAGTGGGACAACCAAAGGAACAAAACATAGCGTTCGGTCCAAGGTACGATGCCTTGAGCCAGGGGTTCGTCCTCTCCTGGTGGAGAGTCAGCTCCCGCTTCGAATTCATCAATAACAGGTTCCAGGTAGCGCGGCTCGTTGTTAAGGAACCCTTTGATGACTTTCTCTCCACGGACTTTACAGAAGAGGTTCAATATCTGACATATCGCATGGGTCAATGGGACATAGCCCTTCTTGGGATCCGGTCTGCGTCCTTGCTGAAGGGAGTCCAGATAGGCAGCAACCAATGGTGGGATAAAACTTTTCAGGTGGGTGTCCAAGAGTTGAGGATCCTCTTGAAATGGCTCAATCTGCACACGGTCAGTTGAATAACTCGATTCGATATGACAAAGCCGTACCAATGCTTGAATGCGCCCCAAATCGATCAGTCGCACCTGCGAACGGGCGTCGTTGGAAGTGTTTTTGCGTTTTCGCACAAGCCGCAGGATAAGCTTCCCGAGATCCGCAAGATTTGAGGTAGAAGCCCGGAGCAGCTTCACGTCGTCGTCGTCGTCGCCTCCTGTATCCATGCTGGGTTTCGTTGAAGTCTGTAGGTGCAGCCTAGGTTGGCAGGTGGGCTTCTGCCTCGGCGCGAGTCATGCCTTCCCGATTTGACGCGTGCACACGACTACGCGAAACGCGCCTTCCTCGGTCGCGCTGCCCGCGATTGTGCGTCACAGAACGTCGAAACAACGGTTGAAAGCCATACCGCTCGCCATGGCCGAAGCACGCTACAGAGAGTACCTCGTGGACCGCGTTCTCGCAGAGGGCCAGCCGGTAGGCCATTTTTGTTTGCTTCAATCGTTCGAGCTCACGCTTCGCAGATCACGTACCGGCTGCTCAGTCGAGCGCTCCAGGTGCACGTTAACATCGCAAAGCAGTAAGGACTGCCCAAACGCTTTGTTAGGTTTGCTGCTGACGATTTCGAGGATGCTGTACGATTTCCACGCCGAACAGACGAAGAAACAACCAAAGTCCGTCCATGCAACATATCTTCTTACCGGCAAAGAACGATCGTCCGAGCACAGTAATGGCGACATTGCACATAATGGAGACGACACTGCTATGCGCAGCTCGCCCTTCATGAGCTCGCTGCCTGAGCCAGAGAACACGCCAGAGAGCCCGGTGCCCACCACTTCCGTCGTGTTAGTGAGGGAGGAGGAACTGGAGAGTACGTAGCACTGCTGGGACCTTGTCCAGGCCTATGTATTGACTCATAGCGCCAGAAACAAAGAGTGGGTTCGAGGAAATTACTTCGATCCATATATACAGTTTGGAGCCGGGACCGATAGAGGTACGAAAAGCTGGGCACATGTGAAGGTGGAGCAGGGAGCTAAGGACGACAGAACCTGAACCTACTGGCTGTCTGCAATCAGGAGATAGCCAGAAGCCACGCAAGCGGTGACCCCTTGGAACGTTGGAGAGACTATGGCTCTATTCAGAACCCTTATATCAAGGTAGACGACCTCAGGCAATCCCCACAGCCACATACTAATGTTCATGAAGCGGAGAACTACTAAATACGCCCCTGCCATGGCTAAGCCCACGACTAAAGCTACCGTCAAAGCCACAGCTGCCGTCAGTGCACCGAATGAGGGCTCGAAACAAGGACCAGCCGTCGCAGCTCGTAAAGAAAGTACGCCAGAAGAGTCTAAGTCAGGTCGATCAACACCCCAGCCCGGCCCTACTGCGTCTTTGAAGAGATCGGACTCGAAGACCATGACTAAAAAGGACGCATCCGTCGGGAATTTGTTCAAGTCCTTCGCAAAGGCCAAGCCCAAAGCAAAGGAGGCAGAGAAACCAATTGAAGAAGATGGTACGCTCTTTGATCAGCATCATTGAAACATAATTGATCATCGCTACAGAAGCTATGCAAGGCATGTCTGAAGACGAAGGAGACGCAGACGACGAGCCTGCCGTCAAATTCGATGAGGAGAAGGCCGCTGCAGCACGCAAAGCGCGAGAAGAACGAGAACAAAAACTCCAAGAGATGATGGAAGCTGACGGTACATCTGTCCGTGATTACGATGACGACAACCTACTGACTTAAGACAGTCGACATGCCCGATGCACCAACAGAAGAAACTGACTCTCAAGATGCCCCAATAGACAAGGAAACCCCCAACCAGCCGGCTGAGTCTGAGGCCACTGTCACTGTTCAAGGTGGTCGAAGACGCGGCAAGCGACGGGTTATGAAGAAGAAAAAGGTCAAAGACGAAGACGGCTATCTCGGTATGTTGAACTCCAATCATTCTTTGCGATCCGTCTAAGCGCCCACAGTTACGAAAGAGGAAGCCGTGTGGGAATCATTCTCAGAGGACGAACCAGAGCCCAAGAAGGCGAAACCTACACCCAAGCCTACAGTAGCAAAAGGCAAGAAGAATGGCGGTAAAGGTCAAGGGAGTATCGCGAGCTTCTTCAAGAAAGCCTGAAACGACTCCACCGAGTGAGCGTTGTCCACCGCTGGAAAACCTCGTACATCTGCCGCTTGATCCTCAACGTTCGCAGATCATGCGGGAGGCACATATCATAGCTATTGCACAAAGCCAATGCACCCTGGTCTTTCTGCAGCGCTGGCGCGTAAATGTGCTTCGTACTGCTGGGCTTCAGCCACTCACAACAGTACACATAGCCGAACTATACCTTTCAAGTTGCTCACCATTACCGCTACAGTCTAATATGCAGCTCCATTACGCCATGGCAGAATAAGAAGCTTTGCACATACCTGTACAGCGAGCATACCTGCACTTGAGCCGCAGCTGCTAGAGAACGCCCCTCCCGCGGTGATTAACGTCCCACTCCAATCCGCACATCCGTGTACATTCCCCCCATCCTTCTGTACGCCTCACACCGCCCCTCATCTCCCCTCCATAACACAAGACCGCCCTGTGTCCCTTCGCTACCACTCATTCCAATACTGTATTCCATGTATTGCTCGAAACGGAAGGAGGCTGATCCGCGCAACGTCGTCCTGTTCGCCGACATGTGTGACCAGCGAGTATCGCGTGCTCCGCCCCGCGTAACGTGGGACATACTGTGGTATCAGGCATAAGTAGTGTACATGGCCCGCGCACTGCAGGGATGCAGCTTGGCAGGAGTCAGGTAACGTAAGCCCGGTATTGTCTTGTTTTGTATACGGTTTCTAGTACTTTGTATAACCACCCTCGGCATCTAATACCGCCTGGCACCTAGCTGGCATACTATCAATGAGCTCCCTTAGATCCTGCACTGAAATCGAGTCCCACGCTTCCTGTACAATCTGCTGTAGAGCGTCATATGTAGGCTGCCTCCTACCTTCTTGATCAGAGTAGTGCAGCTCTATATAGTCCTTCATCTTATTCCAAACAGCCTCGATAGGGTTGAGGTCTGGGGAGAAGGCTGGCCAGTAGATAGGATAGATACCTCGCTCATGAAGCTCATTGCGAGTATACGCAGCAGAGTGACCTGGCGCCCCATCCTGCATGAATCTCAAAGTAGGATTCATACGTAACCAGCCATCAACAATAGGAACAATCCTCTCACAGTAGCTCTCCTTATTGATAGTCTTCCATTCTTTCTCCCAGAATAGGCAAGGACCCTTTGTAATGCCTGAAAAGCAGCCCCAAAACATCCACCCACGCTTCCTGCATACCTTTTCAACTATACAGGTATCATCAAGCTCCTCTCCAGGTCTCCTAGTAACCCAGACTTTGCGGTGCCTGCCACCAGTAACCCAGGTTTCATCACTCCAGAGGATACGCCACCATTGTTCAGCGCTCCAGTGGAGGTGCTCCTGGGCCCACGTCGCTCTAATCTGTCGATTTCTCTCAGTTAGGGGAGGTTTCGCATGAGCAACCCGACGTGTATACCCTCTACTGCGTAGAGCAGTCCGTATAGCATATTGTGTGACTTCCCACTCTGCAAAAGGTCCCTCTGCAAGAGCCTGATAGCTCATCTGCCTGGCTGTACGCGAGGACTTGATATAGGCCTCAAGCTCATCAACTTGGGCATCGGTGAGCTTGCGAGGGCGACCAGAACGTTTCTTTGGCGTGACGCGGTTGCTAGCGATCGCGTAGGCGACTTGTCTGCGAGAGAAACCTAATAGGTTGGCGATAAAAGTTTGCGTATGGCCTGCTAGGTGCAGGGTTTGCGCTTGCAGGCGCTCGTCGCGGGAGAGGTATCGATGGCGAGGTGGAGTTGATGGCGGTGACATTGTGTGGGTGGGAGGAGGATGACTTCAGGATGGCAGCGAGGACAAAGGTACACGCGTTTCAGTACGTAATTATAGGTAATTAGATGTATTTTTGTCAATAGAGCGATTATGAGTCATCGCGTGATCATCTTGGCAGCACCCCTGCAGTGCGCGGACCATGTACACTACTTATGCCTGATACCACAGTAGATCTTGACTTTTGGCGGCGCTGCGCTCGCACACAGCTAGGACAGGGATCTTCTTACCCTCGCTAGAATTCGACAGGGGGTGGCATGTTCCGCTTAAACGCGCAAAGATAGGGAGCAGGCGAGGAGCGATTGGTGGGCTTTCTGGGGTGGTTGGGAGGTCTTGGATCGGATTTGGAAAATAGTAGGATATGGGTACCGTACGCGTGGCGATCTAAGGATGCATGCTTTTGGTTTGATGCGCTGTTGGGTTGAGCAAATCTGTTTCATGTGCGACAAGAGGCTAACGGCCGGGCTCCTCTGTGAAGAAGCAAAGGGTAGAACCTATTCGCCCACAGGCAAGACAGCTCGTTTTCGGCAAATTGACAGGGCTAAGTTTAGCATGATGGCAACGGCTGGAAAGAGGCGGGATCTTGCGGGGGCCTCAAGGTTGCAGGGTCTGTGTGAGAAGCTCCTGCATGGATTTGAATCCTGCCGGAAGTGGCTCCGAGTCTTGAGAAGAACAACAAATCACCTGAGTCAGAGCGTCAGCAAGGTGAGGTATATCTGATTCAGCGCTGTGCTGGGGTTGATGTCTTGTTGGCCCCTTTCACCGACAGTAAAAGATCACACAGACCTCATGATCATGCGTCCTGAAACATGTCGTTTGGCAGCATGTACGACTTGTTCCTTTTCAACCATAATAGAAGCGGCTTTGCGTACATGTGAGCTGTCTCTTCCCCCAAGAGTTGTCACTGTACATGGGACATCCTTAGCATCCGCTCGAACCGCTGCATACATGCTTTGTGCCCCGGTAGATAGGGCGATGCGGAAAATTCCGTCTCACTTTCGGGTAAGGATCTCTCTCGGACATCGAGGTGTTGAAGGTGGTGAGCTACAAATCAAAGTTTGCGCTGTGTCCACGCACTAACAAGTGTCGATGTTGCCATGGTCTGTTCTTGACTGTCCATACAAATGAGTCATCGCTTCGGCATATCGTAATTCGACTTAATGTGATCTAAACTCTGAATACAAGACTAGCTGGATATCATAGGTGCATGGGCTTGGATTTCATGGTCTCACACGAATGAACTGTTCATTGGGCTGTTCTGAAGATAGAAATGAGACTGAAAGACAGCTCGGATCCTATAATTCCGCGTATATCCTAATCAATGAACGATACGGCGCTTAATATTCCCGTCACTCCTGTCACTGTTACGTTCAAGCATCGATCACCTAGGTAGTCAACATTTGGGTGTACCATCGCGTAAACTTCTCGTTTCTAAGGAACGGCATACCTGTCTTCAAAGGAACACTGCACGAAAGGACAGCCTGTGCTTCCTATGAAGCTATGCTATGGTAGCAGGCCTTGGTGTGTCAGGAAGAAGCGTTACGATGTCAGGGCATGAATCGAAAGCTGTGCGTGGCCACTAAGATAACGCATCTTCCATTGGATTCAACATTCTCAGAGCTCTTTACAAACTTCTCTCAGTGCCGTCTATTTCGGTGCACGCTCTGGCACATCATGTGCTGAACTCCATCCTGCAACGTACCCTCTTTGTCTTGATACATATATATCGTCGCAAATTCGATCAACGGCAACGCAGATGGGACAACAAGATCGTCAGGACTAGAGTCGCATGCGAGGTTCAGAGAACATTTCAGTCCGTATGCCTCCCGGACCTTGGCGCCAATCCTCACCAGATGCTCGACGCAGCATTTGTACTCGCTGATCCGGGAGCACCCTCGCTTTACGAGGAGTCGAAGCTGAACTTTGCGTTTCTTAATCTCTGTCAATATGTACCCAATGCAGCCAGTAGCAGCGGCTCATATTTCTGATCGGGACAACCCACGTTTCAGAAAGCTATGGGAGTCCGTTGAACGAGCGTGTGAGATCACGTGCCTCCCACTCTAGGTAATTTGGCTTCCAAGCCATATATCTTGGCGCTTAGGGTGAGTACCATGGGTATTGGTGAGCGCAATGGTACTCCAACGGCGTTCGGGATCGATGCTATAGGAGGTGAAATGGGCGAGAGGGCATAGCTTTGGTAGCAAGAGAGCTCGTATGCACCCTGCTCTCGAAGTACATAGGCACGAAGCTGCTCTGACATTGGGATTTTCTCAAACATTTGTTCCAGTCATTCTTTGTATCTTCTCTTCAAACGCTCTTTTCATCCAGTCTTTGTCCTTTTGAAGTAGCCTTCTTCACGCTCACTCGATACCTGGGTAGCTTCGATCATGCGTTTATCTTACCAGCAGCTCCTCCTTGGGGCTACCACTTTCTTCTCTGTGGTCTACGCCGGAGACAGAGCCGATAATATCAACATGTGCGAGACGGCACCTAAAGGAGCAACATCTACTTCGGGCAAGCCTTGGGACATGGATGGTCCATATGAGTGGTGTGACACGCGCTGGCAATACGGTGCTGTTGTGAAAAAGGTAGAGGTTTGGTCGGCTATGTGGCACGTTCGAGGTATCCATCTTACCTTCAGTGATGGCTGGGTCAGCCCCATCCGTGGGAGCACGACCGGAGACATCACTGAACAAGGAGTCATCGAATGGGATGGACCTGTGGCGAAGATCAATAGGGCAAACAACTGGGACGGTTATGGAGGTGATGCAGTAGGACGCATCTGGATCGATGCTGGCGGCAAGTCCCTCAATGTTGGGAGCGACACTGGCAGCTATGGAGGTGAGCCGGTGGAGCTGCACACTGGCGTTCTGTTGGGCGCGTAAGCTATCACAATGCCATCCAATTGTGACAGCACTAACATATCACAGCCACGGTCGATCCGGGGACTTCTTGGATACCTTGGAGTGGATGTATGTTTTATTCACAGGCCAAGAGAAGATATAACTGTGACTGACGTTGTCGGGCAGGCTCATGTCTGCCGACATTATTGATAGCGAAGTCACTCAATTCAAGTTTCCTCCCGAGACTGCCAATCTCGAAGAGTGGAACGAGAAACAAAAGTACGCGAATCCTCCTTCTATGATTTGTTTGTGCTTTCCAAGGTCTAACCACACCTTCCAGGGGCATGGAAAACATCTCCCTGGATGATCTCTACTACTCCAACGACAGCCCAGCAGGCTCCTCCAACCAAACATTCGAGTTTTCCAAAGGTGTGGAGAAGACCGTCAGCAAGACGGTCACCGACCAAGACAGCCACGCCTTCGGTGTCTCCATTGGCTTCAAGATAAGCGCAGAGATCGACGTCCCGCTACTTGCAAAGGTCACGGCCGAAACCAGCACGTCCTACTCGTACACCTACACCAAAACCCACAGCGAATCCATATCGACGTCCGATAAGATGCCCATCACGTACAAACAATCCGGCACCCTTGCTCCTGGACAGGCTATGCACTGCACCGCGTTGACATCGAGCGGTACTTTTTCAAGCGACTTTACCGCTGTCACGCGTATCACGCTCGGGGACGGCAAGACTTTCGACATTGAGCAGCCGCACCACTACGAAAGTGTCGGGTGGACCAATGCTCAATCCAGCTGCAAGCTAGTGCCGAGAGACCAGATTCCCTCCGGCGCTCTCATGGGCGAGACAATGCCTTTGAAGAAACGTTCTATTGCTGGGAGACTTTGGATGTAACCAATGCGATATCACGACCTACGCCTTACAGAGAGAACTCCTTTGGTGGTTGATTTTGGGGATAATAGGTTGTTCAGTGTGTAAAGATGATTGCAGATGTCGGGATGTGGAGGCATGCAGGCATCTTCGATAGACCTTAATAATACGCAGTACGCTGGACTCTTCACCTGCATGGTCAGGGTCATGTGCGCCTCACTCACATTCTTGTACTCTTTCGTCCAAGGCCAAGTCCTAAAATAGCAAGCCTCCCTCTTACCTGCAAGGGGCCCACCTGAGCGATCTGTTTAGCCGGATCGAATTTGCAAACCCCCAATTACACGCGTCCACCCTCAACTATTGGACAACATGATCGCCTCCCCCTGACGCAATGTCCTTGCCAGGGAGGAACGATGGACAGCCGAATCAGAAGTGGACAAACGATGGAAAAATTGGGCTTTAGATGAACGATGTGCCGGCTAGAGGCGTTCTTTCCGTTACGCCTTTTCGCATCACGCATATGCACGCTCGTCTACCATGCACGCAAAGCGTTTAGTGTACGCGAGGCACACCTGAGGCTACGTGCAGATACATTGAAGGTGGTGGGCAATGGTCGGGGTATGCATGCGTATCGAGAGAGTTCACGAGTGATGTGTGAAGCTACGGAAGGCTGCGCTGCCTGCCCCATCAAGCTTGGAAGCATTACACACAAACGTGCACAGTAGCTTGAACAAGGATCCGTGAGCAATGGCGACACAGAGCTGCACGCACCAGACGAAAGCCCCGTCTTTATTCGTAACGCTGCACCCGGCTGCATCGGGTGCCAAAGCGCATTATTGTGGTCCTAGATGTGAAGGTCGCCGACCTGACCGCTACCCCGGATTCGCGTTCGGAGCTGCTGCTGCAAGGCCAAACTTTCACGCCGTGGCACGACAGCTTGAAGCCTTGAGAAAACCATGCACAGTTTCGCGACGTGCTGTGGTTCGCTTTACGAAAATGCCCACGATGGTCAGCGTTGCCTACATGGGGGAACGAGTATGTCGGGCGCCGGCAGAGGCGTAAGCCAACCGCTTCGCCTACGTGCAAGTTCAACGGTTTCTAGTGCCGTGGCATGGATGTTCCCGTGGGTCTATTAATTCCGCGTGATAATCGAATTGAGTCACATTGATGCGGACACGCCGAAGAACGAGATGCACCGCCGCAGAGGGTAGAGAGGTTCAACAAGCGCGCGCATGCTGCATACGTCGGCAGTCCACGCGGCTGCGGGTCGCACGGCGGCACAGTCAAGACTCGAGTATGTTTGGCACACAAAGCTTTGATATGATATATTGGTGGGGCGTAGAACCGTATTCACAGTGCTGTGCCGCTACGATGACGCCTTGATCAACAGCCTTCACGGCAGTCAATGCTACGTCCTTCGTGGAATAATATCACGGCCACAATTCTTGCGTTGTCCAGCCCGCGTTCGCCTGAGCGCTCTCGTCGAACGTGTATAGATAACGACGAGCCTTGGCTGGATCGCTGAGATCGGTCTGCTCGACCGACTCTGGGACGATGATGACTAGGCGGAAGTTCCTGCGCGCAACCTCGTCGTGGAGGTCGTCTACTTTTGCGCCTAACTCAAGGTTCTTCTCATCGTGTGCTTCGGTAGTCGGACGGCCTGGAGGTGGTGCCTTGAATGAACCTACTCTGGTCAGTTGGATCAAGTACATGCTGACAGGACTTAGGTACCTTTAATGCCAGGTGGCTGGTTGCCAAAACTAGCTGTCAGCTCCCTAGACCAGCTCCAGTCCTTTTCCTTATCCTGGTCGACGACCCTCATTCGCTTACCGACCTCGCTTTTTACGGTCCTGACCCCGCTGCTGCCCTCGTTCTCCTCGATGTCGTTGCCAACAACGTATGCCTTGCCTTTGATACGCCACTGTGTGCCAGTCTCCTTCACCCAGTAGACGGCTTCGACGGGACCACCACCGCCGCTCCCTTGCGTCTGCTCAACCTTTTCGGCGTGTCCGGCGCCTGTACCAAACAGCTGACCCACTTTCTCCATTCTTACATCAGTAGTGAAGGTAGGGCAATCGCTCTCGAATGCTTTGGGGTTGCGTTCGGCATCGTTATGCCTGTTCTCTGGCAGCTCGGTCCAGAATCCACGGAATATGCAATACCGGACGCGGGGCACGTACGGTACAGTCGAGCCCTGGGGCGCAGCTGCGACTGTACCTAGCACGAACTCGGGTGACTCCATCTTGGAGAGATGCTGACTGAACAGCGACTTCCATGGCGCTTTGGGAAGCGCAGAAGCGTCGGGTGCTGTAGACGACATGGTGTCGAGCAGGCGCGCGAGGCGGCGAGAGGCAGTTTTGGAAGCTATGGTGTCTGTGTAAGGGACCTGGCGTTGGCTGGTGGTCAGTTTTGTCAGTGTTAGTGGAAAGCACTGTGGTAGTGGAGCTTGATGCTTTCACGTCAATGATGTCGTCATCTATCGAGGCCGATCGAGCAGAGCCCCTCGCAACCTGGCAAGCGCGTTGAGAGATGTTGTCGAACACTCCAACAAAAGCCACTACATACAGTGTCCTCAGATACGTGGTTCGATGATTGTAAGGTCCTGAAAAGGCACAAAGTTTGTGGTCGATGCGGGACACAATGCAAAGTCTTGGCAATGACTATCACGCCTAACTCGATCCGTCAGGTCGCGATGTCTCGAGACTTGTCGAACAGACGCTGCGAAGGTCGCCGACCTGGTTCTGGCGAAGCTCCAACATGCAATGTTCGCCGTTGGACCGTCGCGTGATGGCACCAAAGCTTGGGCGTAGCGTGAGGAGCAGTTGACGGAAGCGCAAGCCTAGTAAACCCAGTGTACTCAGTTATAGAAGCCAAGGGCCAAGGCTAGTTTGGGAGAGTTGAGCAGTTTGTGACGCTTTGCAGTGCAACAGCAGGGGTAGGGGTTGCACAGTCGGCACCACGGCGATACAGTCTTCATGCCTCGAGGATGCTCTGCGAGCTGAATCATGCGAGGGCGAAAGCGAGAGCGGACGTGACAGGGCTCGGTCCAGGGCCACTGTCGACGTGTTCGCCATGTGAGGATCTGCATGTGTGCGGGTCAGCTGCTACAAAGCAGTGCCCGCGTAGGGCATGGCTCGCCAGTGTCGATCTGCAGGCGGTGTCGACGGCAGATTATTCACGCAACGCGCAGTGCTAGCGGCGGGCGGGCAAGCCTGGCCGCAAGATGCAGATGCATGGTTCTTCCGAGGGCCAAGGGAGGCAGGTCCACACAGCGAGCGTGTGGCAGGGCGATTGGGAGCGGGCGGCGTGCAAGGGCGGGGCGGTGTTGTTAGTGGGCGGGCAGGCGCCAGACGCAGCTCCCGCGCGCTAGCATCGCAGCGGCGTCGGCGGGGGATTGCACTCCGGCGGAAGCGCTTCCTTGTCCTTGTCCGTGCAGCATGTCCCTTGGACGGCGAGTGCCGCGACGAGCGGCGCGGGCGCTCTGAAGGGCAGCAGATAGCAGCGCCGTGCGAGCACGCAGCCTGTTTGAACGCGCTCGCCGCCCTCGTCCACGGGCGCTGCTGGAGAGCGGTGCTGCTGGCGCTGCACGCAGCGAACTGGCTCTGCGCTGCACTGGTGCGGCGGCGAGGGCGACGCTCGTTGAAACGGGCGCACCTGGCAGCATGGACGCACAGAAGTCAGCGCTGGCGGCCCGCAGAGCGCCCGCGCCCTCCGCACATGCTGGCGCAACAGCGCGGTGCCGGTCAATAAAGCAGAGCGTCTGAGAGGCCAAGCCCATGCCAGGGCCGGGGCAACGTGCGAAGCAAACGAACCACAGTCCGGGGCCCATTGTTCCTCGCAGCCCTGAGCACGGCGTCGTCGCATTCGCCTGTACATAATCTGCACCTGCCCCCAGGGCGACCGATAATCCCGCATCAAGCGTGCGTGCATCTAAAGTTACTATCGTGCTGATCCCTCGACACCGCTGCCTCTCTTATTAGCCTGCTCGTATCCCCGAGCCGCCTCACTCCACTCTGCTTCGCCGACTGCACCACAGTACACAAACCCACGCCTGCCTGCCATCCGTACCTATCCGTCTCCTCGCACTGCACACCTCGCCCTCGACCCTCTCCTCCGCCCTGTCGCGCGCCATCCGCCCTCGAGGGCGCTGCATCTACACCCGCGAACCGTTGCGACTCCACTCCACCCCGGCCCGCGCTTCGCTACTGTGCGTGCTACTGCCCGCTCCCGCCGCGCCTGTGCTGTCCGCCATCATGGGCGACACCGAAAAGTCCTTCACCTTCCTGCACGACAACATTCCCCACTGGCTCGACGATGTGGCCGGCATCGAGGAGAAAATCGTTGCCATGCAGAGCGAGCTTTCCAAGATCCCCGTCTCGCGCTCCCTGCCCTTCAAGAAGAGATCCGGCTCCGTCGAGTCAATACGGGACCTCAATGCCATCCGAGAAGAGCCAGACGCCTCGGCCACCGGAGCCCACAAGAGTGAACCAGCTGCACGGAAGCGGAAGGAGCCGTCCCTGCTTTCGGGACAGCAATCCGGCCCCTCCAAGTTGCGCTCGCGGACCATGATCGTTGTCAACTACGACGGCCACATACAGACTTCCTTTGAGCAACTCGTGCGTGCCATCGGTACCGGGCGAAACATGCTCCGCAAAGGAAAAATGGCTGCCAAGATGGATGCAATGGCCGCCATGGCCGGTTCTTCGTCGGACGACGACGACGACGACGAAAGCAACGCAGTCATGGCAAAGATCGGCTACCGGCATCGCGGCCTGTCCTCCATGCGGGCACGCGGCATGATGCGCGTGACCCAAAATTCCTCAAACACGCCCGTCGAGCGCTTCGATACCGCTGACAAGGCTTTGGAGGAAGCGCAGGCCCTATGTGAAAGAGCTGCTCATCAATCACTACGCGAGGGCGACTGTCGAAAAGAGCTCGGTGGCGTTCGTAGGTACTTCAATGAGGTTGTAGAGCTCGCCAAAACAGAAGTCGCGCAGTGCACTGCGCAGAAGCTGGTCGCAGACGAGAAGGAACAGCAGCAAGTCTTGCGCCCAGGTCCAAAGCCCGAAAGGCAGTCATCAATGCCGCTGCCCGATGTCGAGAAGGAATTGATGCCTACCATCATCCCGCCTGCTATCAGCACCAACAACACCTCCAAGGTTATCGACATTGAGATTGACGATGAGGAGGACTCAGACGACGGCAGCTTTGTCATGCCCCCCGTACGATTGACCTCTCGCGTCTAGTCATCTTACTTCGACATGCACCATTTCATCATTTTCGTTGTCTGCGTTCAAGCGATTATTCACTCGCCTGCAAGAAGGCTGGCGTTACGGAAGGAGCATTGGGACGGGAACAACCACGAAATTTACGCGAGACGACACCAACTTTGCATCTTGGACACAACATTTGGCGCAGTACCTTTGCCTGTGGCATGTCCGAAAAATCTTCACACTTCTCATACTTTCTTGCGACCTATCGTTAGATTACGTATTGGATCAGCGTCATGGCCCAGCCTTGACGTGCTCGCGCTTCCTCTGGCATCTTGATTCATCATATTGCCATGTGATAGTCAAGTTACTATGGAAGTGACATCGTTATATCACCGTCGTGCGTTTTGTGGAAACATCTAAAAGAATTGTAATTACTTCTGTTCGTCAAAATATCTTTGTCTTAGCCTGCTGCTGCTAATGCGCATGAATTGACAACTCATACCACAACCCTTGATTATTGTGTCTGGGTCTCTTGCTGTGGGTATCGTGTTGCAAACTTATTCATTATATGTCGCCGTTAGGGAACGATGTTCAAGTATCCAAGGCCTCCGCAGTCATCCAAATTTGTTCCCGTACACTATCTACTAATCGTCCAGTCTTTAGCATGTGTTAACGGAACAGCAACGTAATAAAACAGAGAGGAACTTTCCCGCTAATGTACTACATCGCAAGATGAGCCCTCGAAGATCATTCTAAATCATTCGCCTAAGACAATCAAGATCCCTGGGAACCTGTCAATACATGTCTATGATTACAGAAGTCTATATTGGCCCACTCTCGAAATACCCATCCGGTGACCGCGCTCTCGCACATATGCTAGGTAGCAATACCATGCTGCAGTCCCTGGCATCCCGCCCTTGCTTCATACACCTCGAACCCCTTTGCCAGTAATAGTATAACCTGAGATAGGTAGAGCAGATGAAAGAAAAGCAAACGTGCAAACTGTCAAATACGCAGTGCGCGGAAGTTGGAAGCTACACAAAAGTCCACCAACACCAATGCTAAAGCCAAATGCAAGACGTAATTCGTAAACACACACCACACACGGACCCACTGCTCACCGTTGCTCCCCCATCATCTTCTGCACGCTCAACTCCACCAGCTGATCCTTCACCGCCGGGAAAAGCTTCTCCGCCATGAAGACATCCCCCTTCTCATTGGGATGCTCGCCTTCTCGCGTCATCGTCTTGTAGTCGAACCCAGTGTTCAGGTCCACCAGCACAATGGGACTCTTTGCTGTGGTAGTCCTCTTGACCCAGCCTTCCATCGCATAGTTGTAGTCCTTGACCTTGTCGGCGACTGACTGGCCGAAGAGGTTAGGATCTATGGGTATCAATTTTGACGCGATCAAGGTGGTCCGTGGATTTGCGGCGCGCATTTGGCCGATGAGCTTGTCGTATGCGGAGAAAACCTTGGCGGTCGAGATGTTGGCTGAGGCATCGTTGGTCCCAACGTGCATGATGATCATGTCTGGCTTCGCGGCGGAGAGCCACGGAGGTAGTGAGTTGTTGTTTGCGTAATCTGTAACTTTTGCGCCTGAGTGGCCTTCGTTATCTTTGTCGAAGTTGACCGATTGGCCGTTGAGGGTGCAGCCTGCTGCGGGTGTGCCGTGGGAGCCAACGAAGTCGATGTTGGTAATGCCAGAGTCTTGGAGCTTTTTCCAAAGATATGCGCGCCAACATGTCTAGGGGTGTTGTCAGCGAGGAGCTCAACCAGCCGAAGAGTTGTGTATGGAGACGAGCAGATGCACGTGCCGAGGGCATCGGCCACCGAGTGCCAGTTGTGGGTACGGTTTTGACAATAGAGTACAGCATCTGAGGCATCTGATGTTCCCGTGATCTCTCTCTGCCCCTCATGGACTGTTCGACCATCTCCCATCTCTTTCCAAAATGTGCAGATGACAGTGCAGTGGACATGGAACGGCAAGGAGGAAGCTTACAATCTCGACGATAGATGCACCGAAAGGCATCACCTTTACAGTGTTGGCTGCATCGACACGAGTGTCTAGTGGAGCAGCAGCTCCTACTGACACAAGGCTGAGAAGCCCCAGTGCGGATGAGAGTACTGTGGAGCGAACCATGGTTCCGAGTGTTCTGGTAAGAAAAAAGATGTGGTTGCAAAGAAACCCTCTCTCCCTGTGGACACTGATCGTTTGGAAGGCCTATATGCGTTCCAAATAAAAGTCTCTGAATGGAGTGTATCGTTTCGAGTTGCGCAAGTCAAGCTTTATACAATAAGCCTGCGGAGTAGAAGCGCAAGTGATACCGCCTTCGTGACCGAAATGGAAATGGACCAGGAAGCAATGGAACGGCAAGGGGGCATCGATCAACAGTGAAGACCACGAGAAGAACAGGGTTTCATGTAGTATAAATGATTCGTACTTGTCGTGAGATCTGCATCCTTGTCGACATCTTTATACCCATATAGCACACTTATTATATATAACTTCACCCCAGTACCGTTCCGCGAAAATCCCAGCTAACCTCACAGAGATTTTCAGGAACGCGCCGTGACATTGTGAGAAACAGTAAGCTAAGGCGGAGGGGCAGTCACAAACTCGACTTGTCGCGACTATCATCGTGAGGAACCTGAGGGAAAGGGGATACGTCGAAACGTCAACGTGTGTCGTCGAGCCCTGGCAGGGCTGTGTTAAGCGAGGGTCCAGTCTCGCACATCACACCATCTAGCAGCACTAGCAAACAGTTCTGTGCAGAGTATAACTGCGAAGAGTATAGCGCACCTCTGTCAAAACTGCGGAGCACACCGACGAAGTGGAGTGTGAGCATCAGCTTCCCCTGCCCAAACATCCATCTGACTTCGTCTCGACATCACAATAATCTTTTAGTTCGTCGCCGTTCCGCGCACGCCGATGAAATCGAGTCTTTCGGTCCGATGCACATCTGCACGCGCGCAGTTCTAGACTATAAGCCAAATTGATGTGCAGGACGTGGCTCTAGCGAGAGACATCAATTGTGCGGGGACATGGAGTCGCGCGCAAGAATTGCCGGCGGGTGTCAATCGCATAGTGTGACTATACGAGCAGCGGGTTCAACTAATTGAAAAACAACGCCGACTTGCCTTATTTCTCCTTCTGCTCCGAGAACTTCAATGAATGCACACTAGCAGGTTGTACACGGGTAGCGCGACGAAGCGGAAGGTGGCAGCATCAGAAGCACGCGCCTCGTTCAGGTGCGCTATTCTTGACGTACGTTGCTGATAGTCTGGCAGTCTTAGGCTTTCTGGTGACATTCTGGAAACTCTCCGCCGTGGTATGCTGAATTTGGGTCGAAGGGTCGACCCTGCACGCCTCATGCAAACTCCATCGTGTTGTCGGAAGGTCACAAATCTTTGCACCTCCGTCGTCATCCACAGCTTTGCACAAGGCCCTCCTGATCCAGTATCGAGCCAAAGTCATATTTCCGGCATCATCGAGGCTCCCCCGCAGTACTAATTGTGCCCGAGCCACCCTCTCGGAAGCCCATGCTCAGCACCTGATACCATCACCAGCTAGATCAAGAATGATATCGCATCGACTAGCCCATAACTAACACCGCCCCGACGTCTCACCCATCGTTTGTGCTCAGTTCCGCTCACTCATGTCACTTACGGAAGTCGTAGTTCCTGCAGGGAGTGGCAGAGGCGCGATATTTGCAGTGACACCAAGCTTTCGCGGTTCAAGTTGGACAGTAGATCATTTTTGTTCCGAGCGCTAGTTTGTTGAGCCTGTAGCATCGACCGCGTCCAAACCCAATCGATGATCTTCCACGGAAGAAACTGTTTCTTATCGATAACACCGTCTGGCAGATGCTTACTCTGCTAACAGACTATTTCCCTTCATGACTGTGTTTCACGTTGCGTTAGGATGCGGAGCGGAGCGGAGGCGGAGGCGGCCAATGTAGTGAGTCGGGTTTCAGACTGCACATCGCGCGAGGCTTCTTAGCGGAGCTGTCAACATTGCGCACACTGCACCTGAAACAGATGATGCCGGGACCTATTGCGGACCGTAAAACATGAGAATGTAGCTCTGAAATACATGCAAAAAGACGAGACGTCCCCATCATCCAGCGAATAAGAAAAAAACCCACCGCAAGCCCACTGCAATGACTATCTCACCTAAGATATATCGAAATGGCATGGCTCAAGAAAGCCGGTAATATCCACTTCACGCAACCAGATTGAGACGCTGTTCGCATTTCGGCCCCTGCTAAGATCATGTCTCATCGCAAAGTTGTTGAAGCTTCCCCCTGCCACCAGATTGACATGCTTAGAAAATTGGATACCCATACCACAGCATTTGGAGATCATTGCCTAGCCCGGTTACTCCGAAATCGCTGGGTCGATGTCACGACCGAGAACTGAATCGGAATCGATGTTACCGACTTGATCGTGCATTTTGGCAGAGAAGTCGTGGGGATGGGTAACATCGACTTGGTCGCATGGACCATCAAACATTGCCGGATGCAGGTATTGATCGATGATATTTGGGGATTTATCGTCATGATCACAGCCCAGAGGTGCTGGCGATGCGGATTTGTTTTTAAATTGGGTATGAAAGGGCCCTTCATGCAGAGCAGAGTACGTTGACTCCACGCGTGGAGTGGCCGATCGATTGGTGTGGAGCTCGTTGGAAAGAGACTGCTGCACTTTATTGGTGGTCGAGACGGTCGAGAGCGGTGTAGAATGCAGCGGTGAGGAGATAGTCAAAGAAGAGGCCTCATCTGCATGTACGTTAGAGATTGAAGCAACGACAGATCGGTACAAAAGCAGCGGCGACACATCGATAAGATGAAATGTATACTTGAACAGGGAAAGCGGTGACTTGCCCGTGGTATCACCCACCACTTGTTCGTCTTCCTCCTCTGCGGCTTCGCTACTTCCAATTGAGATCATCTCGGCATCCTCTTCAGCGGCCTCATCGACTGTGTCGCCCACCAACTGCTCAAGCTGAGAATCTTGTGGATGGATTTTCATGTTGTAGAGCACATTATGGTTAGTTCTACGGGATGAACGCCGGGTACCTCGTATGATGATTGTGTTAAGCTTGCGCTTCTTCGGTTGCGGTTGATCTTCAGCATCGGTATCGGTATCAGACTCAACACTATGCACCGAATTGGTGTCCTCAAGACCATGTTCTGCTCGACGTTTAGCAGCTTGATAAGGACGGATGTATTCGTCTACTGGATGGTAACTCTGATCGTAGGCAAGGTCATTAGACCGAGCGCCTCTCGTGGATCCTCGTGTTAGATAGGATGACGTTGGCGTATTGTCTTTGACTGTGGAGATGATTACTTCATCAGACGTTATGATATTGCCCGCGTCAAGCCCATTGAGTAGGCCTCCACTCTTACGTGTTCGAGATGGCGAGCTCCCACGCTGTCATAGTGCTTCAGCAGAGCCATGATTCTGGCGGCATCCAGCCTACCTTGGAGCTCGTAGGAGTCGCATTATCTCGATCTGACTCGTAATCGCTCAGTGCTGGGGGCATGGCGTCAAATGTGAGGCGCAGCTGCGTGAGTGAGTGGAGAGAAGCCGTGAACTGGAGAGGGCAGCGCAACCAAGGGTGAGAGGTGACTCGGAAAGTTGCGCTGCCTGAAGCATAACGCTCCATTACGGCAAGAACCGCAGGTGGGTGGGGAGGACAGATGGAAGGAGCGCGTCGCGTGACGCGGGAGTTATGGAGGAAGGAGCGATGGCCTGCCGCTGAGCGAAGCTAATGGCGCGGTAAATTTACACGAGCGAAAGACTTTTTACGAGGTCCTGATGTGCGAAAAGCATCTGAGGGACAAGATATGTCGTACACGTTGTTCCGCTTGGCTGTTTGTTCCCGAGTCTTTCGATCCGCTGGATATCAAACGAGCAAACACGCAGGTTTGTCTATACCACTTCTCGTCACAAAGGCTTCGTGGGCTGCTGGTACTTGAGCAAGACCACCTTAGAGATTACTTGCATGTAGGAGCCAATGCGCTAACATAGGTGGAGCAGCCGTCATCACGGGTTGTGTGCGTCGTGCAAAAGGAAAGAAGAAGATTATTCTTTATATACACAGCCCATTTCATTGCTTCTAGCTCTTGAGCAACTTACTTTGACCTAATGATCTTGAGCTTCTTGGGGCTGTGCGTGAAGTTGTTGGCGTACGCCTTGGGGACGAATTTCCGCTCATTGGGCTCCTGCACAAAGTACTCATATCCCTGCTTGTTCGCAAAGTTGATGGCATCCTCCTTCGACTTGAATTGTATCCGGTGGCCATTCATGAAATCGGCGGACGACTGCCATCCCATCAGTGGGTTCTCCCACCGATGTCCCTTGGGCAAGACGTCCCAATCCATCAGCCAGTGGTGTGAGTGCCAGTCTCCGGACTGCGTGGCCGCCTTGGCCGGGCGGTAGATGCTGCGTTACAGTTAGTGTCCGGGCTTGAGGGTATGCTGTGGGGGATTCCGCGTACCGCACTGTCCTGGCTTGCAGATCGATGGGAGCACCAGAAAGGACTGCAGCAGCCACAACCTCTCCAGGCTCACTGCCGTCCATCACTCGTTTTGGAATGGGGGAGAAGTTCCTGTTGGGCAAGTTAGGTGTGCTAGGTCAACTCGTTTCATCGTGCACATACGAGGTGCGATAGTCGATCGCCACATTGTAGTCCGGCTTGTGTCGCATGGAATCGGCGGCGCTCTCTTGTCTGCCCTGGGCCGACTCGGTGAGGGGCGCGTTGGGTGCTTCGCTGGAGCTGGTCTTGGACGCGACTTCGTTGGATGCATCGTTGGAGGCAAATGCGCGGTACTTGGGTGCGATAGCCCGCGGGGCGGAAGGGCGAATGGCAGCAGGCAGGAGCCGCGAGCCAATTGACCGGGGCAAGGCAGACATGGTGGGCGGGGTGTCGAGTTTGAGGGGTGGGAGCTTACGGTGATGTCCACGACGCCGGGGTGTATCCGCCGTCGCCAAGCACTTTTAGCTCGAAGGTGCTTTGAGGTCTCTTACCGACAACCTCCATCGCCTCAGCACGACTTCCATCCCCACTCTACCATCTTGCCAGCCCAGGTGCGTCACCCGAATCGACCCGAACCCGCCGACACGACCTAATTGATGCTAATTGAGGGCCAGCCGACAAGATGAGCTACATCACGAAGCGCGCGTTGTCCACGCTCATCCCGCCCAAGGTACGAGCCGCGTACGCACCGCATGACGGAATATGACACTGATAGCTTGCTCTAGGTGGCCTCTCCCAATGTATGATACCCGGCAAGCCCTGCCAGCCGCGCCCGGCGACCCCCTATCGCATTCAAACGCTTGTCGGACCACCGTAAATTTGTTCCGGCAGCGACGGGGAGGCTGTATTGCGGCCCGCGCTCTGGGCAGGACACATCTGGAGCACCTGCTGATGGGCTATACAGGCTATCGGATCCTCGCCAAATGCTCTGCGCATGCAGAAAGTCGTGAGCTTCTACGAGAAGCTGCCGCGAGGCGCTGCCCCCGAGATCCAGGCAAAGGGTCTTCTGGGTCGCTACCAGAAGAGATACTTCGGCAAGAACGCCTCTGCCATGCGTAGGTGCCCTCGATGCGGACTGTTGTGTCTGCACATAGATGATACTGGAATCGAGTACTAACAAGACGCCACAGCCCTCGTCCATGTAATCGGCGCCCTTATCGCCCTTGGCTATGCGCAGAACTACTACTTCCACTTGCGTATGTCCTGTATGCTTGCTTTTGTCATAACCATCGGACTGACATGTTCTAGGCCACCACAAGAACAACGTGCACCACTAAGTGGGTAGGACACTGCTGGATCGAAATATGAGCGTGACGGATGGCATGTGTAAATATAGAGTGTAGCAGATTCAATCTCAATCGTGGCAAGCATGTGCGTGTCCGGTGCTGAACTTGATTGCGGATGCGTCTTTCTTCCGACCGTTGCGCAGCAAGAGAGCCGTTCAGCAAGACCGGTACCTTAGTATATGGTGCATGGTCGCAACGACATCAGTAGACGTGAAGCAGCACTAACGTGATATGAACATGAACACTACGGCAGCAGGTCCAGCAAGAGGTCCGGTGGTCATTGAGTTGGAGAGTTGGATACATTTAGAGCACGTGCGGCACTGCGGACCCTGTGACTACTTCGCAGGACAGCTTTGCGCGTGTGCTACCTCTGATGTGTCGACCTAGGATGCAAACGATCCGTACACGCACCCGGACTGGTCCCATGACCGCAGTGAAGTTGGAGCGGACGTGGGGCGTGCGGCCCGGCAAGGCTTCAGCTTCAAAGAGTGCCAAGGCGCTGGCCCTGGGGACCGCAGACGTAGAGCCTATCATCAACTGTGCGCTGGCCTACACCTCACCCAAACATCCCATCTCCACCGCGATCTGGCCAGACCCCCGAGGCCCTCTCTCCTCTGTACATCTTTGGCACGAGACATCCGCGACCCTGCGAGCCCGCCGCCCTCTGCCGCAGCCGTAGCTTGAACACGCCTCGTCACCCACGCCGACCCGCCGCCGCACAGCTCTCGGAGCACGGCCGTCGTCGTTTCTGCGGAAGCGCCAACTCACTCCCCGTGGCGACGCTTTACATCTGACACTAGGTGAATACTTTTCGATCTTCACCCTTGATCTGCATGGACAGCCGGTCGCACGCGTCCGCGCTTGTTCCTGCGCATGTCTTCTCGTAAAGAGCGCCCTTCTGACAAAGAGCCCCCCGCTGCCACGACAGACCTACACATTGTTATGGCAGAGCAGATCACCCGCGATGTGGTAAAGGAAGCACAGTCGGTGGGTGGCCCCGCGCCCATCGACGATACTGCATCAACTACCAACAACTTCGCCGGCAACGGTGAGGCGCCCTCGGGCCCGAACCCACGCGACTCGAGCCTTTCCGACGAACTGACCACGACGAACGCGACGAATCCCCCGAAGACTGTCAACGCGGCGCGACCTTCGGAGAGCGCCGATGGAGCCATCGACAACGTGAGTAGGAAAGATCAGCTGTCGAACGTGTACCCTAACATGCCCAGTTCTCCGCCGCGACTCCGGATCGCCAGGCGACACCGGACACGCCGTCGAACGAGAAGAGGGAATCACTGGTGAACGGTGACGCGGGCGAGAGCTCCGCAACGGAATCTCAAAATGCACTCGGGGAGGGCAGCGTGGGATCAGACACGGACATCAGTCGTCCAGGAAGCGTAGACCCGGCAAAGCAGCCAGGTGGACATTTACGAACCAATTCCTCGGTCAAGAAGCCCGCAGCGTTCAAGTCTGTTTCTGTGACAAAGAACTTCCTGGCAAAGTCGGCAGTAGCCGCACCTGTAGCACGTCCCGGTGACAAAGGTCCCTCGTCGAGCTCGGTAGCCGCATCTACTGTGCAGACTGCCCGACCCCGCCTCGTGGCCAAGTCTGGTGGCAGCAATACGCCCCGAACGTTGGGAAAGCTTAATGGCGCGGGCTCAGGACCGGACGCCAGTAAAGTGTGGAATAAAAACCAGCCAATTCCGCCTGCGCCACCGAAACAGTTCACTGATGAAGAGCTCAAGCAGCAGTATGGTATTCATCTGGCAACTCGACTACAAGCAGACGATGGTGGGAAGGAGGCAAAGTGGGCAGACATAGACGACGACGAGGACGACTGGGCGCCGGAAACTGTGCAGTGGATGGATGGTACCAAGTCGACCGTTGCGGCGGAAAACCAACCACCACCACCTGACGACACTAAATCTGCGCCCAAAATTGAAGCATCTTTGGCAGTTGCGAAACCAGCTCCAGCTTCAGCGCTGGCTCCAGCTGCACCGCCAGCGCCAGCACCAGTGCCATCGTCAAGCTCACAACGGGCTGTTCTGACTGGTGGGACGAAGACCATTCTAAAACCAGGAGCAAGTGCGCAAGCAAGTGCCGCCAAACCCAAAGGTCAGCTTGAAAAGCCTACCTTGGTGGCCAAACCTTCTTCTGCTGCTCCAGTCAAGTCGCCTTGGGCTCAGCTACCTCCAGTCGAAAAAGTTTCTCCCATACAGATTAATCCTCCAGCACAACAGCCTCAACCTCGTTACTCCAGAGATTCGTATGGCTACGATGATATGCCACCATCGCACGCTATGGCAAAGGAAATAGCGCCCGATGATTTCAACCGTGCTTGGCGAGATGAACGTGGTCACCGGGAGTTATTCAACTCGCATAGTGGCCGGTACGAACCTGTTAGTGAGATGAGGCGCGGCTCTGTGCGAGACAATTCATATCGTCAACAGCCTTCGGTCCTCCAGCGACCGTCACAAGATGGTCCTGCGGAACCCTCCGCAGCCTTTCAAACCTCGAGGACTAGCGCCGATGGACCAGGCTGGGGCCGACGGAGGAATTCCTCGAACGTCAGTGGAGGCAGCGGTCGCCGCATGTCCTTCGATAGGCGAGGCCCCGACCTACCTCCTGTGCCAATGAACACGCAACGACGAGATTCGCAATCGATAAACGGGTTCGACGTGGGCGCTTCAGGAGCGCCACGGCATGCGTTGCTTAATAAGACGGGACCTACCGATCAGCCGCCACTGATAGAACCTGCGAACTTGACGCAGATTACGTCGCCAAATGTTGCACATGTGCAACCGGCATCACCGTTGGAATCTGCAGCCTCACACGATGCCGGCACGCCCGGTGCTCCCTCTCAGATTCAGAACCTCGTCGAGGTGCAAGAGCGACTCCTCCATTCCAACATCGAAGCCATTAGGTTACGAAAACAGAAGGAAAAAGAGCAGGAGGAGAAGGAAGAGGCAGAACGGAAGGAGCGGCTTCGCAAGCGCTTGGAGGCTCTAGGGTTCACGGACGATGCCAAGTCAAAAGCGAAGGAGCCGTCGCCATCGCGAGCTCCTCAGAAGTCGCCGCAGAAAGGGAAGGCAGTACCAGCCTCAGTGCAGTCGCCACCTAAGCCCCCTGTGCCTACCTCAGAAGGTGAGGTGGCTCAATACGGGATGATGAAGGTCCACCAGGCTCAACCAGTCCGAAAACCAGTCTCTACCGAACCAGCGTCAAAACCTGGTGCTCCCAAGTCCAGCCCCTCGCCAATGAAAGCGCAGGCCGAAGTCCAGCCGCTGCCTTCACTTGCTCAGTCTATGTCGCCCGCGAACGAACTCTCTCGCGAAAGTGATAGCTCTAAGCCTCGACCCGACCACGCGCAAGCACAGGCGCAGCAGGCAAGACCGGCCGGCGCGACGGATGATAAAGTTGGTCAACCTCCACAAGGCCCTTGGTCATCGAAGCTTCCTCCACAACGACCGGTTGGCTGGGGTTCAAGTGGCTCGAGCGTTTGGGGTCCTCCTCAAGCTAGAGACAGAGCTCTCGGAAACGGCACTTTTGGTCAACAAGTGGCAGCCCCGCCGCAGTCGAGTGCAGCTCCAATCGGGCTCCCTTCTTCCTTGAAGAGCATTCCCCCACAGTCTCAGGCCGCGCCTGTTCCGCCATTCACGCAACAGAACATGTACCCTCAAGCTGTGCCAGCTCTGACTCAGGGTAGCGGAGTCTCTAAACCCGGGCCCATCGCCCCTCCTCCCGCTGACAAAGGCTGGGGTAACTTCCAAGCACACATTCGCCAGGATGATCTTGACATACGTGTGAAAGCTGAGCGGGAGCGTGAACGCGTAGGTACAGACTTCCGCCCGGAGCTTCGGGAAACATACAAGGACCAGAAAGGGAACACGGAAACAACCGTGCATCCAAAGGTGGGTGGCATTGACTCCAAGGCCTCACAGCCAGCAACTACTCCCGAGTCGAAGCATGAAGCTCTCCAAGCACATGAGGCCCCAATCAGCCAAGGTGCTTCGCATCAACCAGCTACCCAAGGCGGTCGCTCATCGCGTTTCTTCCCCAAGCCCCCACCAGCCTCTAAACAAGAGTCACCTCCCCCTCCTGAGACAGAGTCCCATCCAGCATTCAGTGGCGACATATCGCACCCTGTTGTAAGGATGCCTAAACCTTCACCGCGAGTACGATTACCACCCACTGCTGTGGGAACTGCGGCGCATACGGAAGCGCCCGTGAGTATGCCGCCTCGAAGCCGCCTTGGCATCGGAGCGCGACCTCTCGCCCTTACACAAGAATGGCAGGCAAGGTTCAACAGTCTTTTAGATAAGACTCCAGCCGCGGGACCGGGATCTGCACCGATCACTAGGCCCTCACCTTCGGTCCAGGCACCACTGAACTCCAAGCCCGGCTCTCTCGCCATAGCACCGTCATCGAAGGCCCCTCTTGAAGTTCGTGAGACCTCTGCCTCTGCCACTGTTTCTCTTCCAGTGTCTACCAACCGAAGGAGTTTCATCAAAGATGGCAGCAGTGATGTCACAACCCGCGAAGGCGCTGAAGACCTTCTTGAGGACAGAGAATTTGGCTCGTTGCCGACAGTGAAGGTGCCGAAGACCCCGCACTTAGCTGCCAACGAACCGCCCGTTGGTTTCCCGCCCAGTGTCCGTCAGCATTCAAAGTACGGAGGCAAGTTCTACCCTACCAGTAAACCTACTTTGCAGGAAGACAAGCCAGAGAGGCACGACAACACGATTGACGTCAACATCCGTATCGGCAATATTCGGGAGCTTGTAACGAAGTCAATGTCAATCAAACGTAAGGGAACCAGAGGTTACAGTCAGCAGAAGCCACGACGCAGTCCAGCAAATGGCGCAGGCAACGCGTCTTCTGTTGGACAAAATTCGCGCACTCGTAAGCCCGCAAGTTATCAGGGTCAGGGCACGAGCTCGAACGGTTCATCTCAAAGTCCAGCAAGCAACGCCTGGTCGAACAACCGGTCATCACCGGCTCACACCAACCCTTGGACTACCAAACGGCAGACACCCTCAGCTCCCGTTCATTAAAGCCCATCGAATCGAAGTAATAACACCACTGGTTCTTTGCGTTACCCTTGCGTCTTATAGCACGGATACATGCAATCCTAGAACACGTGGCGTTTAATCGCGGTTCACGCTCGCTGATCTGCATAGAAGGCGTTTATCGTGGTCCTGCGCATTTTTGTTTCGCCTCTATACAAGAGGGTTTCTGACGAACTAGGCGTACGTTGATTTGGGTACCCTTGTATTTCTGTCACTATGTCTTTCTTCCTGCTTGCGGATCAGCATACCTTTTTCAGTACTGTACCATTACTGTTTGCTGCGTTGCAATCAGTCAGATGTCTTCGCCGAAGCGTCCTGGATTTGCAGTGCTTTCTCTATATTGGGCTTCTTCAGAGTCTTGCTGTCAAAGTAGGATTACGATTCGGGTGTACAAAGGTCACACAGTTCGACTCTGTCTGGTGCAACTCATGCAGCCAAGATCAGAGGGCATACTTATGGCTGACGACGGTTGCTCAAAGAAGTGCTTCTTTCTGTATTGCAAATAATAGTTGAAACCCCCCAATGGCCCACTCATCGGTGTGTCTTTGTGATCAGTATGTCTGATAGTGCCCGGATCGCCTTATTGACAGACTGATAATGGCAGCCTAGTGTACTAAGCAGTTTGCGGCTAGATTGATCCTTCGCGATATGAGTCCCCCTATCTAAGCCTTGCTCTATTAAAGTGATGTCCTGTCACCGCGGTGCGGGTCGATCGCGTTTGTGCACTGATACTCTTGAGGTGTACCAGAAAGAACAAGTCTCTTCGAAGATCATTCACTCGCAAAGCCTTGAGCTAGCCGTATTCGGGGTTACAGAAAGCTACGATTGCGGCTTTGACGCTCGTACAACATTGGCCTGGGAAGTTGTTCAGCACGTAAGCCAGCAATAGTCGTACGGGAATCGTGCTATTAGTAGCACACCAAGTTCCAAGGACTCGTTTCGATTTGTGGGCTACGTGTTCACGACTGTGAGCATTAGCAGACATAGCCACCGTCACCATCTCCCTCGGCTTGCCCCGCGATCATCCAGGGCAACAATGCCAATGCCATCTCTTTTGAACAAACTCCTCCACCCTGCCGCAGCCTCAGGCAGGAAGCAAAACCCCTACACCGATCCGCATTCCCCCAACCATCCCAGCACTTCTCAGCCGGCCCCACCTTCAACAACCGCAGGGCAAGTATTCTCAACGGCACAACCGCAGGCATGGCGAACTCAAGCGCCACGTCCCATGTCGCCGCGGGACCCACATGATTACCTCGCCGAAGCCAGAATCGCCTCTGGCAAAGATCCAGTCACCGGCCACGCATCCCCTCAGAATGGCGGGCAGACCAGCGCTGGAGGAAATCCAGAGCGAAGAGCGAAAAGCGTGTATCAAGAAACTAGCGAGGGTCGATCCAAAACGCCTGGAACCAAGTACGACTTGTATGTGAAGGAGATGAAAGCGAGGAAGGCGGGACGATGGAGAGCGCCCGATGGGGGCTTCTATGCACCCGAGAGGCGGTTGGGAGAGTTTTATCAGCCGGAGAGAAGGGGTGGGCAAGGCTGAGGGGGGTGAAGCAGGGGGTGGAAGGGGTAGTGAGGCGGTCTGCGCGTGGTAAGGTGTGTATGGACGTATGGTACCATGTGTGCTGAATAGGACCTGCAATTGAGCGTGTTCTCGCAAGATTCCTCTTGCACATACCGTGGGCGCAAGTGCGATGCCCATTCGGCTGCAGGATCCTGATAGAAGCAATGCTTGTGATGCGCATGTTCTTGACTTGGATCAATGCTCTCAAACACTACTCAGGAATCGTTTACAGGTCGTTCTCCGTGGCCGGTCGAGCTTTCCCAGTGCCTGGATTGTCGCGTGAGCAATACGCATCCTGCGTAGGCCAGCGACGAGATAGAGCCCAAACCGTTTGACACGGCACTGCTAGCGAGACCCTAATTGTTACTATCATCTCGCTATCGATGGTATGCTGCAGTGAAATGCACACAGCAATCTCGGCATATCTGCGCTGCTTGCCTGTCTATCTAATGATGTAACGTCCGTCCCTACGTGCCGAGACGCACAGTCTGCTGGGACACCTTTTCTTCCGTATGCTCGGATTGCCTGCAATACCCTCAAATACAGACAAGCGCGACACGCATCCATTCTGCAAATTCTCGTTCTCTCAGCACATCAGCCTCCGACGCCGAAAAGCGCGTCGTTGACCATGCTGTCGCTCGTTCTGTCAGTGCCGTTCATCAACTCTCCTCTGATACCCCCAGTTCATTCGCGACAGTGCATATCTGTGATGAGTTTGATGGGTTAGAAAGCAAGCCAAGATGGCAAAGAGCAACTCTGCACACTTGAAGGATCGACTTAAGGTAGGAGGTGTGCATCCTGGCAGTTTCTCCGCTCAAACGGCGAGATCATCAAAACGAGGACTGCGGCTTCCACTGATCGTCCGACGGCCAAACAACTCTTATTCCTGGCCGTGCAGGCAGCCGTTTCCCCCAATCGTACTCGCCTCCGTCGCATAGCGCCAGGCGAGACGCTATAATGACAAGCTTCATATATCTCCTCCATTCACTAACATCTTACCCACATGTGCACCCCTGTAACATGAGTTCACAAGACAAACACAGCCTCAGCGCAGATGGTGAGGCGAGGCGACACCGGACGCTGGGCGCTTGATGTAGCCAGCAGCACCTTCAGCCCGGTTGCTGCACTGCCTGCCAGGCTGCCTTCTCTGCCTTGTCGCAACCATATCATTCTAATCTCACTACAGTACCACAAAAGACGTTCGCGCTTCTAATTACCCAGGGTCAAATCCCAAGCTGCAAGCGCCATGCGGCTTCTCCATTTGGACGCGCTGGGCAGACTGATCTTGACAGACTTTCGCGGCAAGCCAATTCCGCCCCACGCTATCCTATCGCACCGATGGAGCGACTCCGAGATCCTCATCGAAGACATATCGAATGGAAACTACAAAGAGAAAGAAGAAGGCTACCGGAAGCTCAAGTTCTGCGCCGAGCAGGCGGCTCAGGACGGGCTGCAGTACTTCTGGATCGACACATGCTGCATTGACAGATGGGACAACAACGAGCGCTCGAAGGCGATCAACTCGATGTTCACGTGGTACCGGAACGCCGCCCGATGCTACGTCTTCTTGTCAGACGTGTCGCTCTCAGCTGTGACGGAGACGGCTACATGCAGCGACTGGGAGGTGTCGTTCCGTGCAAGTGCATGGTTCACTAGAGGATGGACGCTCCAAGAGCTGGTCGCGCCAGTGTCAGTCGAGTTCTTCTCGCGTGAAGGACAGCGCATAGGCGACAAAGCGTCACTTGATCGACTACTACACGATATCACTGACATCCCGCTCGCCGCGCTGCGCAACTGTCCTTTAGACCAGTTCAGCACATCTGAGCGAAGGCGATGGGTCGAAAATCGCAAAACGAGCGAAGAGGAAGACATTGTATACTGCCTGCTTGGAGTTCTTGGTGTCTCTATGCTTACGGCGTATGGAGAAGGAGAGGAGGGCGCACTAAGGAGAATGCAGGCTGAAGTTGAGGGAGCTGGCAGTGCACCGTCGATTATTCCATTCTCGCGAAACCAGTCTTTCGTGGGCCGTGAACTACAGCTTGGAGAGCTAGAAGCGAAGCTCTTCAGCAATAAGCAGACCACCACCACCCTAGCCATTATTGGCCCTTGCGGAATAGGCAAATCGCAGCTCGCGCTCGAGGCTGCCCACAAAACAAAGCAGAACAGCAGAAGCTGCTCAGTTTTCTGGGTGGACGCGAGCGATATAGACAGCCTCTACCGGTCTTATACAAGCGTTGCGCAGAAGCTCAGTATTCCTGGTTATAACGATGACCAGGCAGACATAAAGCAAGTTGCAAAACGTTGTGTGGCAGCAATTGGTGCGCGACAGTGTTTGCTGATCTACGACAACGTAGAGGGCACCACTCTACGGCATAGCGGCTCGTCTACAACACAAGCTGCAGACTTGGCCGACTTTCTGCCGCACTCTAAGCTATGTTCTGTCATCTTCACAATGACAGAGAGCAGTACAGCTGAGGCGCTTGCTCCACAGAACGTAATAGCGCTACATGAGCTTATGCCAGACGCAGCGCTGAGGATGCTGCAAAATCGCTTGAAAACGCCGCTTTCGAACGCTGAGCAGCAGGAAGCCATGCACTTGTTAGAAGAGCTATCGTATCTGCCTCTAGCAATCGCGCAGGCAGCAGCGCACATGAACGTTAGTAGTATGACAGTGCAGCAGTACCAAGCACAGCTAGACCAGCACAAAGACGCAGCTCTCAAGTACAGCGATGACTCGTCTGAAGGCGAGCAGCGGGAATCTGGTCGGAGAAAGGTTATAGCTGCTACACTATCTCTCTCCATGAGCCAAGTCCGCCATAGCAATGCGGTCGCTGCGGACTATCTCTTCTTTGCTGCATGCGTAGATCGAAAGGACATCTCGCTCGATCTTTTAGAGGCAGCTTCGCCGCAGACCCGTGAAGATGCTGTCAAAGTACTTGACAAGTATGCGCTCGTCACCAGGCGACCTGCTGAGTCTGCTCTCGATATCCATCAACTAGTTCACCAAGCCTTACGAAAGCATCTGAAGGCGCAAGGAAGGATCCGATATTGGACTCGACGCACTATCACACAACTACACCGGATATTTCCAAATGATGATCACAGTAACAGGAGCAAGTGGAGACGACTGCTACCGCATGCACAATACGCTCTTTCTTGTAGTCAGGTGGGTGATGGTGGTAGAGAGAGATTAGATCTTGCACGGAAATGTGCCATGTCTCTACATAGTGATGGACGGTACAAGGAAGCTGAAGAGCTATTTGTGCAAGTGGTGCAGATAACAAAGGGAGTGCTTGATGATGAGCATCCGAACAGGCTGGCCAGCATGGGAAACCTAGCGTCAACATATAGAAGCCACGGGCGATGGCGCGAGGCCGAAGAGCTAGAATTGCAAGTGACGCAGAAAATGCAACGAGCGCTTGGCGGCGAGCATCCACACACACTTCTCAGCATGGGCAACTTAGCGTGCACGTATGCGCACCAAGGGAGATGGCACGAGGCCGCAGAGCTAGAAGTGCAAGTGATGCAAACAAGGAAGAATGTACTTGGAGACGAGCATCCGCACACGCT